TTTTCGGGAAAACAAAAACCAAAATTTCCGTAAATTTCCTCGTTCGGTTTGCGTTTTATTTTCAGATTTGCACAATTATTGAAAAAACTATAAAGAAAATCAAAAAACGACATGGTCACCAACTAGATTAAAAATTAAGCAAAAAAAATCTCTTGTGGTTTTTCTATTAAAGCAATATTTCTGGTAAAAAACATCGTGTGTAAAAATTCAAAATAAAGTAATCATTTAACACCGTAAATTTATCAGTTTTCATTTTTCGTTTTTTTTGGTTTTTCTGATTATTATGAAAACTCTTTTGAAAATCAAAAAATGTTATCCCCAATCCCAATCCCAACAAGGTATAATTTCTTTTTATAAAAAGCACTACACTTGATACATAGGAGCAAGATTTCTGCTAGGAAAGTTGCTCACGAACACAAAAAAAAAAAACACAAAAACATACATAATAAAACATCCAAATCTAAAAAAAATAAATAAAGTAACACGTCATAGTAATACCAATAATATTTTTAGATATTTAAGAACAATTTTTGACAAGAATCTTAAAAATTATGGCATTTCAAAACATGTAATTAAACCAAACTTCACTCAGAATTTGTTTGTGTTATCAATGGTCTATCGTTGTTTATAGATATAAATTAAATAAGTAACTTTATGATGTATCCTTCCTTCCTTATTTTCCATCTGCAACACTGGCACATTCATCCCTGTTTATTTTAATTTATTTTACAGTGGTTTTCAGCATAGTCATACATTTTTTTTCTATATGCATTTTTTTCACTTGCCTTTTTGTTCCGAATCCTACTATGTATATATATTATACCTATTTATATTCTCCGCAGAATATGCGGAGATAATATATTTTCCAAATATTAGACCGTACAATTTTTGTGAAATACTATGAGTTGGAAATGCTCTTTCAGATTGTTTTGCAGGTTAGTTTTTCCAACGAACATTTATATAAATATATATTGTATATAATTTCGGCAAGTGGCCTTTTAATATTCAACGGCAGATATTATAGTTACATATATAGTGGAAGTATTTTTTGAATTCCTTAAGTCATACCGTCATTCGAATAAATACATATATACACTACAACTCGACAAAAAAAATGTAATAAATAATAGACAATATCGTCGTACATTATAATACATGCATACTTCATTATATGGATTAATATTATTTATTGTAACAAAGATTATTCCGTATAATCAGTAAATTGTATAGCGTACACTCAGAAGCACACAATTAATCAGAGTACCTACTAATATTAGTGTTATAGGTTTATATACAAATTATAATTATTATACTTTTATAAAATTAAGCAAATCATTACGTTATTTCCAGAAGTTTATCGGCAACACAAAATACATTTCTCGATGTAATACATATTTTACCGAAATACGAGTAAAATCGTAGTAAGCCGTACGAATGTATATATTAATATACAAATACATAATCCTATAATAAATCTATATTTACAACAAAAAAAAAAGTGTGTTAAATAAAAAATGTGAATGGTGTTTTAAATAGTCGAAAAAGACGAAGAGTTTTAGAAAAGTGTACATGTATTTTTTCTTTCAGTATAACGTGTATTATACATTTCTTTTTTATAGATTTTTTCCTGGCGACCTGCAGATGGTAGGGTTTTTTATACGCTATACTGCAGCTGCAGTGCTGCACGGGGGATGCCGCAGTGGCGTAATTTGAGCATAATGTCAGGGGTTGCAAAAATTACTCAGGATCCACAAACCCACACCATTATAAAACAAAGAATGTTTTAATTTTGGTTATTTCAATTTTTGTTCAAGTATTATTTTTTACTTTTTATTACTTAATAACTAAAACATTCCGTAACTTATATTAAAAAACAATAATAGTAAATCAAATAGTATGAGTAAAAATACGACGAAAGAAAAATTTAAATCTAAAAATCGATTAATTTTTATTTTATTTATGATAGTGAATTGTAATCAATTTTAATTTCATTTACGGAGTATAAATAATATATAATTTCAACTTTATAATATTTTCGAACATGTCTTTTTCATAATTAAATAATTAAATAATTGTGATTAAATAACTTACCTATTTTAGTTTTTTTTACTAACAAAATACCATAAATACAGAAATGTCAGGGATTGCAAGTTAATACTTTTGTAACCCTAATATTATGCATGAGGTCCCAAGTGCGACTCCTTACCCCCAATTATGCCACTGAGGGATGGGGTGACAATGGGGAAAAGATTATAATATCCGTCCTGCACAAGTTCTATCCTGTTTATGCCTGCACATCAGCACATATATGTACCTACCTCGATATAAATCTTGAAACTCTTGCACTTACTAAAATTGTCCTATACATATATTTACTTAAGATTTATAGGGGTAACACTTAGATGCAATATCATCTTTTTTCTATATGTTTCAAATCGTCGCTCTGTAAATGGAAAATGTGTTTTAAAGATGATACTCAGGTAATACTGAGAACTTAAATAATATACTGTATAGTTATTATTTTATATTTTATTTCGAAAAATGTCAGTTTTTTTCTTCAATAAAAATGAATAAATGCTTTACCTAATAAAAATATTGCAGGCTATCTGATCAATTCTATATAATTTATTGCCTATAAATGGTCACTGTAGAATTACAGTTTATTATTATAAAACAAGCGTAATCATTTTATTGTTGAAGACAGTGAATTTAGACTGTTTTTACTGTTTTTTTGATATTTTTTTAAAGCCTTAAAATCCCAACTATATTATAGACTAACATAGTAATAACATTATAATATTATATTGGTAACCTTTTATAGCTATCGTTCGAAATTATTTTCTAATGACTTATCGTCACGTAGAGCTGTTACATTAAATACCTAGTTACTTTAATAGGTATAGGTGCAAGGTTAAACTTTGGTGTTCTGTTTAAAGATTTACGTAGATTTGAACGATTTTTTTTTTTAATTGTTATTATTTATTTATTTATTTTTTTTACACTTTTAAACTGTAGGTATTATCAGTTTTAGTTCAACGACTACCGTTAAAACTTTACAAAAAAACAGCAAATTATTCTGCAGTAGGTACCAATAAAATCATAAAATTAAAAACTCGTAATTCGGTTACATATTTTGATGAGCATAATAGATGTACTTGAACAAAAGAAACAAAAGTACTCAAAAAACAGTAAGTAAATCAAAGTAAACGATAGGTAACCCATCATCCTACTATAATGACATTATATTATCTGTGTTTATTTATTTTTATTTAGTAGGTAGGTACCGATAATATCGGTTTTCTCCCGGATATGGAATATTATATTATATCTACGCATATATGCCGATTATTTTTTAATTACACGTTTATTTGACTAGGTATATAGTGTATAATTATTATCACTATAATTTATAGGTATACAGCGAATATATCTCGTAATTTGTATAAGTTATATAATGCAATTTTAAATTTGCATTAATTACTATGCAAAGAATATTCCTCTATTTCCACATACCTTTATTAATATAACAGTATTATAGCAATCGTACAGTGTCAGCGGCGACAGTTATCAAATCAAAATTATAAAATTGCAATATTAGTATTACAAAAAAAAAACAAACACGATATTTATCTTTCTAAGACTCTAAGTAAGTGAGTAAGTAAGTATAACTATAGTCTATACTCGTATTTAAGACTGGGCATAGTGAGAAATGTATTGGTATCTCTGAGCCTACCTTTTTTTGTTTTTCCAATAACCTTCACCGGGCAGGGAAGAGGAATCAAGTTAAAGTTGCTTCCCCCAATCCACCCTAAACTTATAAGCGGATTCGTCAGTCAGAGGGCAAGACAGTTTAATCAGACAGCTACGTGGCATCGGCACCTACGTCTAGCTGGCAGATATGCCGCATGTTTTGCTCCCTCATCTTCTACCTTCCTCATTATAATCCTTTCAATCATGGTGAGAAGCCATGTCTAAGCTACTCCTTATATATCCATTCCTTGCCCTATATTTTCTCGTCACTCCAATCATCCATCTAAGCATTCTCATCTCTGCTACACTTATTTTCCAACTGTTCTATTTTTCCGTATACCGCTCAGCACTCCGAACCATATTACAACATGGTCCAAAATAAAAAAAACTAAGTTTTTTTTTTTTTTTTAAATATATTGTTAAAATTTGTATTGTTATATTTTGTGTTGAATTAATTATTCTGGTCAAAAACGTGTAGTTACAATTAATCAAATGACATCTCGCATCTCGCCGCATGGCCAGTATCCGAACTGATCAGGTAGGCAACCAAATCAACATTTCAGTATTGATCTCCGCGTCGAATGTTTATGGTGCACATATTTCCGCCACACGCACCAGCTGTAGAATAATATTATTATGCATTATTAATGTTGATTCGAAGATACACATTATAATACCGGTATTGGCGGTATAATTAAAAAACCAATATCATTTTTACTTAGTAGGCAGTATAGGTACAACTGCCTAGGCTGAAAACGGCCAAAGCGAATCGTTCGAACAATAAATTGTGAACAAGGATGTAGAAAAAGGGAAAAAAACAGTACGATTTTACAAGTATGGTTGTTCGACCATCAACAACTTCGACAGCTCAACTGTTCACTATGCCCTTTTTAACAAGTCGTAAACGCATACCTACAACAGTTTTTACGCCGAGCACCTATCGATTGAATTACGATTATTTTTATTTGTTTATTTTATGTCCTAATTCTTATAATATTTTATAGCCAATATTCCACCGATTCGTAATCATAATTACAGAAACTATAATCATGACGGCTTATATTACACTATAAATTATGGTATCGAATGTGACGGTTTGCAGCACGGTCTTCGAAGATATCTTCAAAGACCGTGGTTTGCAGCGACGGGTGACATTTTGTCGCTTCGGTGCGTCTTAACGTGAACCCGTTTTCAAGCGATAACGATTTCCCGTGAAAAGCCTCTGTATGACTATAGTAGATAGTCTAATAGTGACACTCATATTTGACACTACATGAGTAATGACGATAATAATTTGAAAAGAATATATTGTTTAAAATTGCATACCGATTTAATACTTAAATCAAATTGATTTTTAGTCGCTGTTTATTTTTCTCAAATGTGACCGCACTCGTCAGACGAGGATTGCAACTATATTAAATATTGCAACAGTACTACTTTCGCTGTCTTCAAGCCCACCAACCTGAGGGGTATGTATTAAAATAAAAATATCTATCAATTTCTTTTTTTCTAATTTTTCACTGTAAAAATACAGGCGCCGAAATTTACAATAAATATGGACTCCAATATTGCCATGAATTGTAACTTTATCTATGAAAATTTGAATTTGTAAGTATCATATTCAATAAACCAAAATTTTAATACTATACCTGACTTAACCTAACATTATACAGAAATGTTTTATTTACTTGATGTGTTTGGTGTTAATATATCATTTAATATATCTATTAAAACTAGAAACTGTTAATGTAATGATTAATTATCAACACGTTAATATGTGTCCACACATAATGTGGATAGGTATACTTACCTATAAATATTTCAATGTATCAATTTGTCTGTGTGTTTTTAGTAATAAATAGGAAGTCTACTATTAATATATTTAGAGCTGTAATAAGGCTTTTTAGCGTTTTTGGCAACACTTAATTTTCTGCTTTTATAGCCTATCTATTAATTTCATTAAAATTATATATTTTTATTATATATCAATTCTGGATTTTATGCCCTTTTTTGACATATGTCACTTACCTGAGCCAGACTTATATATTAGAATATATTAGTTTGAGCACTTAATAATAATAATAATATATTTGTCAATACACTTACATAGAACTATATAATTATCAAGAATATACAATTAATATTTTATGATTTTCTGTTAGTTATGTTTCAATATAATATACTTATTATTTGTAATGCTTTTCAAGGTCTTTTTGATTCTATTCACTTGAGTACCTACTTAAAAACATTAATATTAACATTTTGGTATAATTAATTTTAATCTTTTTTTTTAATAATGTAATAATATTTCTGACTGTTATAAGTAATAATTTATTTGTATTATTTTCAGATATATTTGCCCAGAAAATATATTCATTGAGCCCGTACAAAATACAAATGTTATATTGAACATTGATCGCATTGATTTTACTTCACAAAAACAAAGTAATTTATAGAAATATTATCTTCTTTAAATTGTATTATATATTATATTTTAACACTAATTTCAACCTAAACCTCACAATTCAAATTCTAAAACGTGTGACACTATAATATATATTCCTGTGATCCCTACATATAGCTAGGTATTATAACCAGTGATGTTCCCATGGAGTATACTATATATATATATGTTGTATTCTCAACATTTTGCTGAAAAATCACAGGTATTGATACTGCGTACACTCTCAAATAGTTTTGATAGTCAAAATAATCAAAAAATAAACAAATTTGTGATGATATATTATCGGTGCCTGTTCATACCATAATATGCCATTAAAACCATTATATAGTATTACATATTTTATTTATTTCAATAATTATAACTAAAAATTCACAATATTCTTACGGTTTACAATAATATCTTTTAAAAAAAAAATTTGACTGTTATTTTGGAAATTTTAATTTAGTTTTTATAAGTTAATATTTATTTTCTTACAAACAGTATAAACCTGAAAAATATAAAATATCCAATGTAAGGTATGGAGAATACTATACTAATAGTAATAGTAATAGTATACTATAGAATAGTATACTCTCGAGAAAATATATGACAACACCACTGATTATAACTTATCTATAATGGACATTGACAGTAATATTTCTCCTCATTGTCAACAATTTTACAGTCAGATCTAGGAAAACCAACGAATCATACAATATATGTTATAAGTTATACTTTAATATTGCTGAGAATAATATGCTTATTCTATGGTAATTTTCTATTGGTCAATATAGATACAATATTATGTTATACCTATTATGCTATTTCAACCATAAACCGTCATTTTGTATGTATTCTAAAACCAAATTTTAATTAATAAAAAAAAGCTGCCATATTCAAGGCTATATAAACATGTCATTAACAGTTACATACAAGTTATTCATATTTTGAAATTTTAAACAGAAAATATCTGGTTTATAAATTTATTTAAATGTATTTAAAAAAAAAACATTTTTTTGTAATATTTTATTATAATATATATTATGTATAATTGGTTCAATATTAAACTAAATAATAATTTGATTATATACATGTATATATATCTATACACGGTCCACTTTTATTATAAAATCGCAGTTATTCATAGTGATTTAAACCATTAAGATAATTGTAGGTTCATGATAAAAAAAATATGGGCATACTTCGCACAATGGGTGGGCCGCTGTTATAGGTGAAAAGTTGGAAATGTAGGATATAGAGGGGAATTTAATGTATTTCTGTACACAATGATTAATCTTTACTAACGAAAAATGATCCTGAGCAGAGTTCGGTTTTACATGTTTTGAAAGACCATAATATTTACGATTTGAAAATAATATATTTCATAAATTGTCCCATTTTTCCTAAGTTATTTTCCCATTTATGAAAATCAAAAAATAATTTCCCTAAAGTATTACCTCAGTTAAATTTCTTGGAGGATTTAAAATTGCACAAATTTAATTTATTTATTTTATTACTTTAAATAGTTATTTTACTGTTCATATTTCAGCAAATAATGGCCAAATACCAAATGCACATACACGCATACAAATCGCTGGCATATTGGGTGTCGTTAAATTAATAGCCGGTCCTTATATTATTGTAATACAAGAAAAAAAGCTTGTGGGTAAAATAAGTGGTCATGACATTTGGCAATTGGTAAAAATTGATATGATAGGAATACCTAAAACTAAACTTCATTTAAATGATACACAAGTAAAAATTGTTTTATTTTATTTATTGAATAATGTAAGTTATTAATTTGTTTTAAAATAATGTCTTTGTTTAATACAGGCCCGAATGAATTTGGAATATTTGAATATGGTTAAGCAAACTTTCAACACACCATATTATTATTTTTCATATTCATATGATTTAACTCATACCATGCAGAGAATTTACAATAGTTCTACTACATTTTTGAATGTAAATAATTTTATAATTAAAAAAAAAAAAGTATTATATGAAAAACAAATATGTATATTTTTTTGTGGAAAATGTAGTTTTATTCAAATATCTATATATTAAATACAAATATCTTTTAGATTCCAATGTATAAACGGGCAGATCAACGATTTCTGTGGAATAATTATTTATTGACAGAATTTTGTAATAACAATCACGAGTTTTGTGTTCCGATCATTCATGGATGTAAGCTGTAATTATGTCACTAGTGGACAAATCTGTTACCTATATGTAGTATTATATTTGAATCTGTTTTAGTTTATTTAGTAGTAGTTAATCTGAGGAAAAATACTTTTTAATCTATTTATTTATTTTTTTTTTTTTGTAATTATAATAAGTTATATTTCTTACTAATATAATTATGTATTTAGACAAATTGAAAATAATTTTTTATCATTTATTCTAAAGAACTTTTTTTAGATTATTATTTAATACAAATATATTTTTATTTCTAGTCATTGCGATAAATAACTGCATATTAAATGGAAAAGAATTTGTCTGGACAATAGTATCTAGACGTTCGCGATATCGTCATGGTCCAAGATTATTAAAACGAGGAATTGACCGGATGGGAAATGTGGCTAATTTTGTGGAGACAGAAATGATTGTTGAATTTAATAACACTCAAAGTTCCTATGTTCAGGTATACACAATATTAGTCTTGTTACTATTCAATTTGATATATACAAGGAAATAATCACATTCTATTTTTGTAGACTCGTGGATCAATTCCTCTGTATTGGTCGCAATATCCAACACTTAAGTATAAGCCCATGGTACAAATATCTCAGAATGAAAATCATTTAGAAGCAGCAACAATTCATTTCAGGGAGCAAATTGCTTTTTATGGCCATCAAATTTTATTAAACTTGGTATTAAAAATTATTTTGATTAGATTTATTAATTTTAAAATTAACACCTATTAATATTAATTTAATAAAAGATTGATCACAGAGGCGTAGAACAAGAATTAGAACACAAATATCGTGATATTGTTAATATGTTAGACGACAGTAAAATTAAATATGAAGCATTTGATTTTCATTATGAATGTAAAAAAATGAGATGGGACAGACTTTCCATTTTGGTTAATAGAGTAGCCCATGAACAAGATAACTTAAAGTACTTTCTTCTTGGATCAGATGGAAAATTGTTAATTTTACAAAAAGGAGTATTCAGAACAAATTGTATTGATTGTTTGGACAGAACAAATGTTGTACAGAGTTTATTGGGTCGTAGAATATTGACTGTTATGCTGCAGGTAAAAATTGTGATATTTTATTTTAATTTTATATTTAACTTAAACATGATTATTTAAGAAATTGGATGTATTAAACTTTGGGCAAAAAGTTGAAGATCAATATGAATTTGAAAGTCTATTCAAATCTGTGTGGGCCGATCACGCTGATATAATATCTCTTCAATATTCTGGAACAGGAGCCCTGAAGACAGATTTTACACGAACTGGTAAACGTACTTACAATGGCATGCTGAAAGATTTAAAAAATGCACTTTTACGATATTACAAAAATAATCTCAGAGATGGAGTTCGACAAGTAAGTAGAATATAAGTAATTATTAGTGCCGGATGTAATTTAATTATTATATCATTTTATAAATTGTAAAAATTGTGTTTTTAATGACAATAGTTCAAGTCTACCTATTTTTTTTTTAGCTTTATTCATTAAAATATTATTACTTTTTCACAGGATTGTATTGACATTGTATTGGGGAATTATGTTGTTGATGCCAATGAATGTGCATCCTTACCATGTCCACTAGAAGTTAAGCCTGCCCTAAAATATGTTATGGTATGTATAATATACACACACTAGTAGGCAGTTATTTTAATTACACAGTATACATAACAAAATAAAATAAAACTAAATATTTGTTTGAATTATAATTATATTACCTTAGAAATAAGATTATGATTTGAATCGATGATTTCAGAAACAATTGTGTTTTTGAAAAAGGTAATTTTATGTATTCATATGTCAATCTTTAATTTTTTAAAATTGTATTAAGTTTTATTTTTGCAATCATCGATTTGTTCTGACAACGATTTATAATAGAGAATTTATTTTAATTAATTTTAAAGGCAAATATTGACAACTAAGAAAGTTATGAGATGTTCAATGAAAGCTTTTGAAATATATACCAATAAAAGTAATAAATATTATTATCGAATAGATCAGTTAGAATTCACGGTTAGGTGCATTTTGACAGACCCTTGTTTGTTTCGTATTTATAAAATCAATTGTATTATATTCAAATAATTCAGTCTTTACAAATAGAATATAAAAATAATAATTGCTGAAGAGACTTTAATGATGATTTATTAAAAACTACTTATTTATTAGGTTAAAAAAAGGTTTAAGTAATAGTGATTTAACATTAACTAAAAATTATAGAATTAACTTGGTACTAGACATATTAAATACTGTTATACGGTAGGTTGCATATTACATAAGTACCTTTTTATTTTTATTTTAAAGACCAGACATTATATTTTCACTAATGATTGACACTGGTTCAAAATTTAAAAGGAGTCAGGATTATTTGTATACAACCATTATTTTATATCAATACATAATTTGGGATTGCTGTCTATATGATAAAACTTGGGCACAAATCAGTATAAACGATCACTCTTTGTGCTGACAAAATGCACCTTTCACGGTTTGCATAATATATCATTTTGTTTATTATTATTCTGACATAGACATGTTGAACATATGAACTCCAGTTTTAGCTTACAGCTCCTTATATGATATTTCTAATCTTAGTAGAATATGTATCATATATGTTCATCTATAAACTGACACTAAAAAAAAGAAAATAACTCTCTAAAGACATTTAATTATTAGTACGAGTATTTCAGAACAATGTAAATAAACCAATATAAAATTGCTAATTATGAATTATTGCTACTTAAATTCTATGTACAAACATAAAGGAAAACATGAACTGTAAAAATGAAAACCATTATACATTTTGTGTACAAAAAGTATATTTTTAATAATAATTTTCATTTACATTGAGTATGGTTGCTAAACATTAATATTTTATAGTGCGTGGTTAAAAAATATTATGTAAATATAACAAAATATTCATATTTATCATAAAACCATAAAAAAAATCATTTAGTTAGATAAATGATTTGTTTTATATAAGCTGGCTATTAATGAACATAATATTCCTTTGGTAGAAATCAGTATTAATATGTCCATTGACATTTAATTCTATGCAACATGTAATTTGTCAACTATAACACAGATATCTTATCAATCTATTGATTTCGAACCAAAAATTTGGAATAAATACAAAGAATACTAATTGATTTAGCTAGCACGTCTGGTCCATTTATTACCTCATATAAAACACTCATATTTCATACACCAAATTCACTGAATATTTATTAAGTTATATTTATAATTATTTTTCTAGTACCCTATGATTTTGATGATTGCATTAGCAATGTTCATGGCTAACGCAGTGTTCACTTCAGGTTAGTGCTATATTTTATTAAGTTTCATTATACATATTGAGTTTTTTTTTTTTTTTTAGAATACAACACTGGAACATATCTATTCCTCCTGTTCTGGGGTACAATGGTTATATGTGTACTTTTACTGATATTTTATTATGGAAAAGAGTTTGTTAACTATCCACAGCTATCCAATTTTGACAACGGTAAAAGGCATCATCAATCTTAATGCATTCCAATAAAAATTCATTTTTGTTATTTTAGAATATAATATGAAATGTATTATTGTTAACAATTTATTAATTATTCTATCATTATTATTATAAATACATATAAATATGGCCTTAGCAATACTTAACTTCATTTTATTTATTAATAGTGATATTTTACCTTAAATTATAATTTTTTTTTTTTTATACTATAGTTTCCAATGTTTGTAATGCAATAATAAATACGAAAAACTTAATGATTAACTTCCAAAATCAGTAACTTTGTAATGATTTTCATCAATAGTTGAAAAAATATGTCCCTCTTCAATGAAAAAGGAGAGGATTTTTTCTATTTCCGTAGTAGACATTTTTTCTGGAAGTATCTTTTGTATATCAGACGCTGAATAACCTGCTTCATCCTGGCACTGCTTGATCACAGTATAAACCTTTAACTGCTTTGGATTAAGTGACAAACTATTAGTGGAATCCATATAACCGCCACCAATATCATTATTAACTGGAAACTCCTTGTGGTTTGTCATAGTAATACTCAATTTTGCATTACTTGTCTGTAAATAAAATTTGATCATTGTTAATGTTGTATATTTATAATAGTCAAAATATTAAATTACCATGTTTACTTCCTCCATTTGGTATGGTAATGCAATAATGCTCAACAAGTGATGTGTTAATTCATTGATGCTGTCCAAAGGTCTTACACTGTGACAGAGCAAAGTGACTTTTTCATTCTGAATCCGTTTACTACCAACTACTTTGAAATATGCATTTTCAATTAGCTTTGGATACCTGGATAATTCGTTTTCGTCACCCCATTGAATGCATACTAAGCGGCCGGTATTATCTTCGATTGTGAACATATTCTTCAATGATTGTGCTTCGACCTAAAAAAAAAATTAATTAAATATTATAATAATAATGAATATTTAATATATCTCAGTAAATACACATTTATAAAACAATATTATCATTTTGTTGATGTCATTGTTATAAAGATAAGTACTTGCCAAAATTAACAATATTTTTACCTGTTTGATAATACCGACTACTATAACATGTGTATTTTTATTTTCTTCATTACTTTGTAATAGTTCAGAAATAGCTACAGACATCACAGTATTTTGTTTGGGTTCCATTCCTGATCCAGTAGCGGGACTTTGTTGTGTCATTGTTATGTTGAATCCACCTCCATCATCATTCGTGTCGGCACCCCACATTTTTAAAACTAAACACAAATTATTACAATTTTACAATTGATATAATTCAATGAAAATGCCTGTTATTGAAATAAAATAATTAAAAATACTAACAAGTATAATCATTACGGATTGTTATCATACACGACTGTGGAAAATTAAGGAATTAAGGATAGAAATCTTTGAAAGAAAAGAAGTATTAAGTATTATATTATATGGTCCATATTGGGATTGCGAGAGTTTGGGATACAGGTTCTCAAATATTGAAGGAACCAAAGGAGACCTCTTTTCTTGGAACAAAAATATAATAATATTATATTAAGTTTAATGTTTATCTATTGTAAATTTAAAAATGCTATTTTTTTAAATTTAATTCCATAGTAATATTTATAAATAGATTTGCATTGTTTGCATTTGAGGCCTATTCAAATTCTAAAAAATTAAAGAATTTAAATTTTCTAAGTTTAAATTTAAATACTATTGTTGTATAAAATAAGTAAAATGAAAATTTACTGTCATAAACTCATAACAGACACCTAACACATTATATTAAACACTTTTAAGGAAACTATTTACAACTGTACAATCGTTTCATTTGTATTTTATTTTATTTTTTTAAAGGGGGTGAAATTGGTAATTGTGATAAATAGTGTAAGCCTTTGGACTATCAGGCTCTGGAACCAATAAACTCTTAATCCAATCGTGGAAAATGGAGAAGAAATTCTAAATTAATCCTAACAGTAGTATATTATGAAATAAATAGAAAAAAAAGATTAAAGGAGACCTAGTATGCAAGGTGAAAAGAATGGTGCCATGATAAAAACTGAATAAATGTAATAATAAATAATAATTCTTATACCCTACAAGTACAATATATTATGAACACATATTCAATATAAAATTGAATAGAAACATAATTTTTCCCAACATAGGCATACCCAGTTCTAGAATCTGACCATTGTTTACACTATCTACACTTAATATTGGAAAGTATCTTACTAAAAAAATAAAAAAAAAAATGGGAATCAATTTAACTCATGGGCAGATTTAAGAGACTATAATTATTTATTGAAACATTGTGTTTTTGATTATATCTTAATATAAAATTTAGTAAGGTAATGTGATTTTGCACTGCTTATTCTCTCAACATTCAGTTGAAGAATGTGGAGCTGATGGCACATTCTGAGTATGATAGTCCTGAAAAGCTCGGTTTTCTAGTAACCTTAACCTAGGATGATGTTAGAGGGCCATTGTTGGTTCTAAAATGGAAATACCACAGGTTCTACTGTCAAATGTTGATAGGGCTTTAACCATCCAAGACGCTCTCGGAGTGCACTATGTGGAAGGGCTCTATCTGAGCACCCTAGTTTTTTTTTTACATTATTTAATAAACGGTTACGTGCTTATTACTACTTAAATTATCCATCATCATTTCATTGTCTACGCCATATGAATAAATAAATATACAATTTGGAGAAATACAGTTTCTAACTTAACAAATTCAAAGAATATTTGTGTCTAGTCGGAATTACAAATATTACAATTTCAATTCAAGTAAACAAGCATTATTTTTTATTTTTCACTTGTCGTAAATGTTTAAACAAAATTATTATAACTAGTTACGAAATTCGTTAAACGTTTTATCGAATAATCTTACCTGTAGTAGTGTAGTTGGACACGTACCAAATAGAGTGAACTGAAATCAATTACTGTGTATTAAACAGTAGGTATAGATGTTTTAACGATTTGTAAAGATGAAGACTTGTAAATCGACAAAAAAATCAACAGAATTGCAACACACGCTGCACGCTTTGTCTGCAGATTGCCTATAAGACCGTAAATACTCACAAGCTATAGATTAAAATATATTACTAGCGCTAGCCTCAAACTATAACGTCTGCTGTGTTATTATGGCGCCAAAATAATAAAATAATATCGTGATAACAGATCTAGGACAATTTGATCCACAGGAAAAAACGACATATGCGGACAATTGTTCCCCGCCATAATTATCTACACGGACAATTAGTCACGGCTAATTTTTTTCCTTGTAATTGAACATTGTTTTTTTTTTCCATCAAATTTGAATCAGTTGAGTATAAATCAGTACTGTCTACTGCTGCCACATAGAAAATTAATGTCTTAAATTCTAATACATATAAAAAGCTTAATTGTTGAGGTACTGGCACGAATTAAGATATACGTAACACATATCGAGGTATATAATCCATGGGTACTGGTCTAGTTGACCGCCGCGCGCCGCCCTGAAAATATTCCCCGTTACTCAGGTTTAGTTGACGCCCCACATATTTTACATCTCCCGTGTTTTCGATGTTCTAATCACTTGTTATAAAATGTTTATACTGCAGATAAAGGCAAATTCCTACAAAAATGACCTTTTTACCTAAATTTAACACATAGTGTAAACAATTTACACTGTTACTCCTACATAGTCCCTTTTTATTTGCTTAAAATAGACAGTGTAATCTCCTACCCATACCTATTTACATTTTTAAGTTTAAGTTAGGTAATGGATTATTTCAAATTACAACACTTCTTACATACTATGGTAGGTACTTTTAGTTTGTTTATATTGTATGTTCTCATTATTTTAGAGATAATATATTAAAATCATCATTTTAAAATAATAACAAAAATACAATTTTTTCTTATAGTAAACATATAATCGTATAAACGTTATTTCTGTATATGGATATCCAATATCTTACTCTTTTTTCCGCCACTTAGAGATAAAAGGCTTAAAGCATCCATACTAGTAATCGCAGAACAAATTGAATAACTATTTACTTATTTAAAAAAAATCTATCTTTTGTAGGACTTAACATTATGTCAATGTAGAAAATTACTATTAACTTTATATTAAGTATACACTAGTATAAAGTCAATGGAGATTACCAATTTGTATAGGAGTTTATACCGTGCCACTAGAAAAATACAAAATGTACCAAAATTCAGAATTTTGGCAACCTATATAATTTATGATGGAATATCTATTTTTTTGTATAATTATTTTACGATTTATTTATTTATTTATTTTATTTTGACCGCTTGAATTTTATAAAATGTTTAATTTAAATGTATAATCTATAAACTAGGTGATAAATGGTTTAAATAGTTTTCGTATCTTTTTTATAAATTTTAAAATATCAGATAATGCATATAACAATCGAAACATGGAAAACACGGGAGATGTAAACGGCGGGCGTATGCTAAACTTAAGTGGCGGGTACAAGATCTGTTCCATTTTTGAAAACGTTTACAGAATTATCATATTGTTGTAAAGTAAAGAATGCAATGTAATAACATAAATTACAATTCAAACTATAGTTTAAAAAAAAAGTAATAATCAAATTATTAAAAATAATTTATAAAAAAGCTGTTCTAGGATAATGGCCACTGTTGTTGGTGAGAAGTTGGGAAGGTAGGAATGTAGGATAAAATAGGGAAATTAATTTGCATCTTTAAGCAACGATAAACCGTTACTAACTAGAAACGATTCTGAGCCGTGTTCAGCTGATAGTGATGCTTTGTCAACAATATATATATATATGCCATTTTATGGTAAAATAATTAAATAAGCATTATATAATATATTTTCTTCAAGAATATTTGTTTAATATAGCACTGATTTTACTTAGTACTCCCCATGTTTTTTCACGGATTTTTATATTTGCTGGGAAAACTCTTGAGAAAATCGAAACATGACCTCCCCAAGAAAAATTCATTTCAAAAAAGGTCTATATTGTATACATTGGAGCAAAATTTTTGAAGAATTTTTGAACACAGTATCAAAAAATAAAAATAAATAAACATCTTTTTAAAACCAATACATTATTCACTATACTCAGAACTTAATATTTAAAATATTTTTGAAGTATATAATGTTGTGTTATTAGCTTTGTTTATTTCAACAAAAGTGTACACTATTTTTACATAGAATTTTCACTTTTTAGGTACTATATTTTTGATAACGAATACATTACTTACACCAGCCACATCATCAAATGTGTATCTAGGTGTCGAATCGATAGGTGCAACTAGACTAGGCATCTTTGGGGATGCTAAAATTATGGTCACGTTTTTTTGCGGCGATTTATTAGTAATTACTTATCAATTTCTGATAATAGCATGATATGATTACTGGATAAGATAGTGATTTTCGATACTCCGAGGTAAAACTGTACATGGAAATTAGTTGGAATAAAACAAATAATTGTAAACGACGATTTCTAAATATTTTGGCCTATCATTTTCATAATATTGTTCCGAGTAGGTCAAATCATCACAAATGAACATTATGATTACAGCCTCTGCTACATTTTGATGTCTACCACGGACTGAGATAATATATTCTGTGTTGTTTACATTGAACTCATCTATCATCTATCACATCACAGAGTTCAATGGTTGTATAGGATCACGGACCAAGTTATATATCTTAGGTATATAATATTTGTATTTAAGAAAAAAAGATATTCTTTTATAGATTATAGTCAATGTCTAGGATTTACGAACAAATTGCACCATGATAAAATTTGTATCACGATTCACAATTCTATCATCATACCACGACCACGGTCGTGACTCGTGTATAGTTTAATCGTGTTATTGACGAACGGAAGTGAGTAACGACGCGTTACTCCGGGCTCGTGGTGGTCGGAAACGAATAACATAAACATAAAAATTAATTCCCGGTAAAAAAAAATAACAACAATTTTTACTTATATTTCAATTTGGGAGTATAACGCGATTATGAGCAGTATTAATGTGTGAATATAACTCAAGGAGCAACGACGTCCGCCGCTGCCATAATGATAATTTTGAAACCGGCATGGATTACTCACAATGGTATGCCAATATTTTCGATAGATATTCATCCGGATGGAACTCGTTTGGCTACCGGTGGCCAGGGACGAGATTCTGGATTAGTTATGCTGTGGAATACGGCCGCCGTTCTAGACGAAAACAGTGAAAACGATGAAAATGTACCCAAAATTCTTTGTCAGGTATGTGTTTCATGGCACTAAATATTATGGTTTACAAAAGAAAAAAAAAAAATCGAATTTCATGATTTCAGGTTGATAGCCACCTGGCGTGTGTGAATTGTGTCCGATGGAGTAATTCCGGCAAGTATTTGGCTTCCGGTGGTGATGATAAAATTATTATGGTATGGTCATTGACCAAATATCCAAATAGTGGAAATATTGTATTTGGTACCAAGAATATTGTCAACATTGAAACATGGAAATGTATGTTCACTTTACGATCACACTCTGGCGATATACTTGATTTGGCATGGTCACCCGATGATTCATATTTAGCATCATGTTCAGTGGACAACTCAATAATTATATGGAATGCTCAAAAATTTCCAACCGTACATAAAGTTCTTTCTGGTCACACTGGTCTAGTGAAAGGAGTTTCTTGGGATCCAATTGGTAAATATCTCTCTTCACAATCTGATGATAAGTCTTTAAGAATATGGAGAACATCAGATTGGCAAACAGATACTATTGTTACAACGCCTTTTAAAGACTGTGGGGGAAACACGGCTGTACTACGGCATAGCTGGTCTCCAGATGGTCAATATTTAATATCTGCCCACGCCATGAATAATACTGGTCCTGTTGCTAAAGTTATTGAAAGAGATGGGTGGACTTATGAAAAAGATTATGTTGGACATAGGAAAGCCATTAATTGTGTACGGTTTAGTAGTTCAATTATGGAACGTAAAGTTGGTAAGAAGACTCATCACATGTGTTTATGTGCTGTAGGTTCTAGGGATTCAAATGTATCAGTATGGTTAACTGGTCTAACGAGACCAGTTGTTGTTCTTGAGAGTTTATTCCAGGGTCCTGTTTTAGATTTGTCATGGTCAAAAAATGGATTGAATCTATATACATGTTCATTTGATGGATCTATAGCAATTTTGATTTTTGAGCAAAAAGATATTGGAAAAGCACTTACAGAAAAAGAAAAAAACACCATTTATGAAAAAATTTACGGTATTTCTCTTTTAGAAAGGCATAGTAACACATTACTTATTGAAAATCCAGCAATACTAAGTATGAATGGTATTAGTACACAATCTGATGTTCCAAAAGCTGATACTAAAAAAGAAACGAAACAACCGCCTAAATGTTTATCTAAACCTTTACCACCTATTTTGAAAAAACAAATTGAAACTCGCACGTCTGATGGCCGCAGGCGCATTACACCTATTTTTATACCACCAACACCTGACAATGCAGAAGAAATTAACGTTTTACCATTTTCTTCATCTAGTGAAAATAAGAGTCAAGTAATTGTTGAAAGGGTAAATGATATCATTGAACCTAATATAAGTAACAGCTGTAGTAATTTTAGTCAAGAATCTCAAACTCCATTAATTATCGACTCAACAATACGAAGGAGTACACCAACATCTGTTTTACAAACATCTCCCAATAAATCGGAATCCAAAAAAAGGCCAGAACCTATATCAAATTTATTTTCAACTAAAAAAATTAAATTCAGTAATATAGAAGATGTAGATGAAGAACTTTCCACAGATATTAAACCTAATTTTCCTCATAGTATTACACATAACCGAAGATTCGCCATTACCAATTTTTCTGTTGATCAATCCACAGATAAAGTTATCGTAGAAAATGATAAATGTAATACTTTAAATGGGCCTATTTCTAAAATGAAAATTTGTAATAATAATGTAGTTGTTTGGGAGAAAGTATTCAACTCTAGTGTAATAAAATACTGCTCCAACAAAACACTGTCATTGATAATTGTGGCATTAAAAAATTGTACTATTCATGTGTTAAGATCTAAAAATGGTTCATTAATATGTCCTCCATTTGTTTTATCATCACCAGTGACTTCTATTAGTTCTAATAATCACTACTTATTATGTATGACTCAAAATTCTCTTTCTGTTTGGAATATTTATAAACAAGAATGTGTTTTACACGAAGAGAAACTCAACACATTGATTTGTTCAAACAAAAACAAACCAATCAGTGTTCAAAAATGCATGTTAACTGAAAATGGAACATCAATTATTACACTGACTACTGGTAAATCATATATGTTTTCTATAAGTGCAAAATGTTGGATGTTGATCGGTGATAGTGGAGATGCAATATATTCAAACTCGTCTCAAAAAAATAAACATAATGGTTTGAATAAAAATAGCTCCAAATACCCACTGAGTGTAATGCAAGCGTATTCTTCCAAGTATAAATCACATTTAGATTGTACGGACACAGATGGGATTAGTGAATTGTGTTCAAAATCGTTTTTGGAACAACAGATGTCTGCTGCTTTAGCTCTGGAGTCGGACAGTGAATATAAATATTGGTTATTAGCCTATGTTTCGTTTTTAACCGAAAGAGAAGACTGTGAAAGATTACGGATTCTATGTCAGGATTTATTAGGAGTTTCACATGGTTATACCAGTCATAAAAAAATAGAAACAATAATAGGCATGTCAAAACATGATCTTTTAAAAGAAGTATTAATAATAATTGCTGCTTCTCGGAGCACTCAAAGATTGTTTACAGAATTCCATGACCAATTACAACTAATATCTCAAATGTAATGACTGATTCATTATTTATTTCATAAAATTAATAACAGTGAATGTTCAACAAGATGATCATAAATCACGTTACCCAATTGTTGAGGTTTCTTTTAATCCTTATAAAATACCCACAATTTTTAAAAGATTAGTTTTTGATCATCCCTGTATGTACACACAAGCGTTTTTTAATTGGATGTTTTGGCTATAACTGTTTGGTTATTTATTAGAATATTCGCGTATTTGTATTGCTAATAGAACATTAGATATAATACAAGTCTTATTAATACTTTACAGTATTTCATTAAATTAATAGAAAATAGACTTTTTCAGTCCAAGTATTGAACAGTTATAATTAAGAAATTGAGTTAAAACAATATAATTATTAAATGTATAGAATTTGTAAAAATAATAAAAATATCATCTATACAAATATATTTCCCCAAGATCTCCAATATCATTTTTTTAAAATAGCTAATAAAAATGTATTTTAAAAAAATTGTAATCATTGAAACTCAATGTTATCTTTGATATTGCATTATACTAACAGGAATACAATTTTTAAAGAAATCTTATTTTGACGCTAAATATATATATTTTTTTAATTAAAAATTATATTTTTACTTTTTTCTCTGTTGTAGGATTTATCTTATACAGATAGTATTTTTATAAAATTTATTTTATTTTACCTTTCATTTAGAAAGACTTAAATGAAATTAAAAAAAATTTGAATTACTCTGCCCGATTTGAATATTCACTTGTGCACGCATACACTGGTGTCTTCGTATTCTGAATAAAGTATACATGCCATATTAATATTGTATGGGCTATCTGTATATTGTATAATTGATGTTAAAAAATTTCATTTGAATTATTTACAATTTTTTGGCATTTAAATCCATATTTTTCTGGAAAATTTATTATTAATACATTGTATAATAATTAATTGATTGTTATTTACCCCTATTGTGTTATACTTATTTGTAAAAATAATAATTTTGTATTCCTTATTACTGGAAAAAACAAATTGTAAATTTTGTATTGAATGTTAATATATCAGTAGATATTTTTTTATAATTATAGATTTTTGAAATTATTTGATTTGTCATTTTTAAATGTATTTTATGTATAAGAAGCCTAATAGTATTAAAAATAATAATAATACTTAAGAACAAAGAGTTTTTGAAATAAAATATGAAAATTTTTCTAATGAAATGACTAATATATTTTTTTAGGACAAATACCCTCGATTGCATAGGTTTCTGAAAATGATTTATTTAAATACCAATAAGAATAAAAATAAATAATTAAATGATTACAAATATTAGTAGTGAAGAAAGACCAATTGTGGTGTAAGATGAACAAAACATTTAACATCAGTCGTCCCAATCACCTTCGGTGTCATCATCTCCATCTGCCTCACTTTCAGATTCTGGATTAGGAGGTAACATAGTTGAAGCCATACGGTAAATGACTCCCTCTATGCCATTATCGTTTTGCTTATTGTTACCAGAAATGCCTTGCCTTCGCATAGCCAATTTTTTATGTAAATCAGCCATCAAGCCATCGCCTGTTGGTAACATTTCATCACATGTTTTCCTATCAATAACTGAGCGTAAATTGGCTTTTTGCAACCCTCCAGCATTCCGTATCTCATCCATTAACACACTATGTGTATTAATATTATCGTTAAACGTAGTTTTATGTATGTTTTTTTCACTTTTAATAGCAACTTCTCTATCAATGTGATCTTCAATATTATCATCAATTTTATTTTGTGTAGATGGTGCAATAGCAGTTAACAATTGTTCATGTCCAAGTTTAGTGATCTCTTTTTCAACAGTAATTATCGCCGAATCATCAGCAATCATTTGGTCATCTTTTAGGTCATCCAATTCGTCAAAACTGGGAAGGCCCACCACTACATTGGATGGTTTAGAAATAACAACAGGCTCAGCAATGATTTTCTCTTCTTCGAAATATTGTACATCGCCTGCGATACCAGGGAGGTCGGGTAAATCAGCTGGCACATCAATAGAAGGTACTTCTTCGTCCACCGGAGTATAAGAATAGTTGAACTGACTATCGACTTCGTTCAAAGGTAACGTAAACACTGGTTTGTGAATGTTTTCAACATGTTGGTCTTTTTCAGTATCTGATGGTGCAATGGTGTTATTTACTTTGTACGGGTTTGACAAAACATAATTCTTATACAAATTAACATTAGAATTAAACAAAAGTAGTGAGTTGACGTATTTCACATTGTCGGGCAAATCACCTAATCCCCTAGTCGAATAGATGTCTTTATTTTTCAAAAGTTTTATATTTTCATTGTTCACCCTGTAAAATTTAAGTTTGGCAGACGGGTCTTTGAACACAGATATTTTATGGGTGACCGGTATATTTTCAATAATATCGGATTTAACGTCGAAATCGTAATAATATTCATAATCTTTTTGACAATGGGCAGCGGGGTATTTCGAACTCGAGTACACTTGAATAGATTTCTTGATGTTTGACAAACGGTGTACTTTGTTGGTGACGCTATTTAGTCTGTCGCACAGTTTAACTACTTCCAATTTCTGTAAGTTTATATTATCTCGGACGTGTTCGTAAACGCATTCAACGACTTTATTGAGGCAATCCAATGATTTGATTAATTGTAAAACGGTCTCTTCGTATCCCAGATCGTAGGGCAGCAATGGTATATAAGCTTCTTTGTTGACTTTGACCATATTATTTACGAGATCATATGCGTATAAACGAAATTATAATATTTTATATCCCGGAATTAAAACTTAAAAAATATTAAATTACTAAGAAAATAAATAATATGTTATATTTTGATTTCTATGATTATGAGCCCATGATTATAAATAGTAAACACTACCTATTGCGCATAGATAATAGTGTGTTATCATTATCAACGTATGAGGGAATGTTATCTCTTTTTTTTTATCACAGTAATAATACATTTTATTTTTAACCATTCATGGGTACATTTATATATGTATAAGGTATAACATAATTTTATATAAAAATAACAATACATGGTATGTTTGTAAATATATTAATTTGTCTTGTTATTCAGTTATTGTTTTGAATAAATAGGCGATATGATTTATAATTTTTTGTTAAAATAAAATAAAATGTCTGATTGATGTGTGCAAGTGTCAAGTGTACAGATGTAATGTAAAAACCAAACTATAATCGTAGAAGTATTTTGTGTTACTATGTATAATATATTTAGTACAATAATACAGCGAATCTTAAATTGTGGAGAGAAGCAGTTGTATGGTCAGAAGATACTGATAATAAGACGGTATCATTAGCATATGTTTCGACTATAGTATTTTCAGATGTTGGAAGGTCCAACAAGTAAATAGTATATAAGAATGAAGCAATATCACTGCTTTGAGGGATTCCAACAGAGACAAGATATTAATTTATTAAGAAAGAATTAGTAGAGTAGAGGGCAATAATTATTGTCAACTTTTCTCCCGATGTGCATTCTCATATGACATTTTAACATTGATTTTGGAAAAAATGAGTTAGCACAATTGTGGCATGTATATTGTTTTTTTCTAAGTTTTGATTTTTGGTATGATATCAATTCCATGGGATCATTTTCAATAGTAATTATACTTTTAAACTCATAAATGTTTATTAAATCAAATTCTTTTTTTATTTCAATTGTTTGTGCATTTGGATGTTTTATTTCATCTTTTAAGTTACTTGTAAATCTGAAAAGTTTTAAAATCATAATAATTTGTTATTACCCTAAAAACACATTACAGCAGTGTCAGCCTGACCATAGGTAGTAGAGAATGAATGTGGCCGAGATCCTCAGTAGTATTTGTGTCTAGGAGTGTCTAGCCTCAAGACCCAAGATATATAAAATATCATCAATTAACTACTGACTGTTTTTTGTGCAGTGATTAAATACACAACTATAAATATATTATAGAATTGTTTAGACTTAATTAACTGTTGTAGACTACAGTCAAATAATAAAAATATAATAATAAATTATCAATTACTTTAATTACATACTTTAATTTATATGTACATGTATATAGGTCTCCGCGAAATCTATTATTTTTTAGAAATATGACAGACTATATATGAATGTGAATATGAATATGAAATATGATCATGGCCTTTTTATTTTTCATCTATGAGGCTCCTAAAAATAAAATGGTTCAGGGGCCTATGGTATACACTGCATTAGTGGTTTTTACAATAAAATATTTTATGTTGGTATTAAATATATATTGTATGCTGTGAATATCAGAAATATAACAAAAATCATATTTAGTGAGTAGAGAAGTATATAATGACAAATAGTAAATTATAACAAAATTTAATTTTTTTTTTCTAAGTATTTTAAGGTTTATACTGGTACACTCAAATAAATTATATTCATAATACACTTATCATAATAATCCAGGCAACGAATTCATTCATTCATTTTTTATTTCTATATTTATTTACGAGTATTAACCAATGTATATGTCATATTATGATAAAATGATTACATGTGCGTTTCCATGACAACAATGATTGTTTAAAAAAAGATTAAAATAATAAAAACTTAATAATAACGAAAAATAAATAAAAACAATTGCAATGACAACCTTATTCTTAATCTTTCAATCTTTTTTAATCTAAAGACCGAGGTTTTCCTCATTATCTCGAATATTAATGAGAATTTTAAAAAGTGATCTCTTTAAAGTATCACCTAGAGAACATTTCCTTTCAGGAAAAGTACTATACTTGATAATTGGGGTACGCTTCTGGTAGAAAAAGTGTTCACCTTAAAAAAAAAAAAGTAATAATTTATAATATAATAATCCATTATCAATAATTTGAATAATTTTTTTGGCGGGTTATTTCATGTTTATCATTTAATATTCCTACATTCCTAACCTCAAAATACGTCTACCCGGCACCGTTTTGCTGCAACACGGGAAACGTTTTTTCCTCAGTAAACGAAAATATTGTAATTGGAGGGAGAGTAGGAGGTTAAACCTTGTCTCCTAAGACCATGGTTACTACGATATCTATAATTGTGGTTATTACCACGGCTGTAGATTAAAATCGAGAATGTGTTTGTTTTGGAAATCCACTGTGTGCCTGACGTCTGTCGTCTTTGTAACGTCTACTCATCATCTACCGGTATTTTTGTTATTTGGATCTCGTAACGTCTTATTTACATCAAGATTAGGATTTTAAAGTAATTCATCTGTGAAACCGGTAAGTGTTTTCGACCATTCATCATAATTTTAATTTAACTAATTTTAATTTTTATACTTAAGATATTAAAAGAATATTTATACTAAACTCACTCTTAAAGTAAGATGAAACTTTGGCTTTTAGGTACCATGTTACACATTTAATAAAATTAAATATATTTGATTATTTACCCAGATTACTACGTGATTGTTATCGTATTTACTTGTCTTTGTTTTGTTTTTCTTATTAATTCTATTATTAATGTGCCCAAAAATGTTCAAAATTCCAACATTCCCAACTGACTGCTTACTGTTTATTGAATTTTACTTTACACCGTTTCAAAGATGCTCATTAATTATAAATCCATATTGTTGTATTATTTACTATTTGTTCAATTTGTTGTAGGTAGATAAGTACATTAAAAATATGTTTAGCCATGTATTTAAATTGTTAATTTTTAATGTCTAGAATAAATTGAAATTAACCTATATATCTGTTGAAAACCAAAGTTCTATAAACTTTTTTATATTCCAGAGATACAGACATTTTTTCCTGAAATATCGAGTATTGGTCTTGATAAAATCTGATATTCCAATACTAATATTGGTTTGTGCCTATACTCACCACTAATTATAATACATTATATAGGTATGATTTTAATTATTTTTATTTTTTACTAATTGGTATAGGTATATTTTTTTATTCATTTGATTTTTATGTGTTATACTGGTAGAGGTTATCTAAGTTGTGAGTAATTTATTCCAAAGATTTAATATAGCTAGCTAACTACTGTACTTTGTCCCACAAGAAAGCATGCTGGATCTGGCTAGTTGACTGACTGGGCCATCGGTTCCCCTCTATGCATTCAAATTTCATCGTCGACAACAATGGGTATGCTCAGAGCTGACCAATTTCTGTTATCGCGCAGCATGCTCTCTTGTGGTACAGAGTATAGAATCTATTGTTTTTATTTGTGTATAAAATTGTAAATTGTATCATTTTATTAAATACACAATACGGTTTAGTTATTATATTAGGTTCCTACATTATTTTTATTATTATTTTTTGTATTATTAGTTTATATTTTAGTCTTGTAAAAAATAAAAATGTTTATTTATTATATAATAATAAAAAAAAATAGAATATAAAAATTATTATGTTATATCAGGTTAGTGAAATATGGATAAAACAACCAACTAAACTATTTACTCGTTTCACACTCTTAGGATGTTCATAATAAATAAATTAGTCCCATCCTTAAATTTATTAATTTTTGTATTCTAACTGATATATTGTATTATTTTGTTTTAGGAGCTATGGAAATTGATAACCCATACATGGACACTATTTATAGACAAGTAGTTACTGAACATTTTCAATCAAACGAATGGAGGGAAATTTTGATTAATCCTGAAGGTGCTTCAACTACTCTCCGTGATGAAAGCACATTACCCCGATCAGGTGGACACTGCTTCAAAGATATTCCTAATCGTTTTATATTTTGGCGAGTTTTGTATGATAAACTAGAATTAGTTGAACATAGTTTAGATACAAATCTTACTGAGAACCAGGTTCGTATACATTTTCGTGATTCCCCAGTATTGGATAGTGGAATTTCTGTATATGAGACTTCAGAGTTTGTTGTATTATTAGTACCTACAGCATGTAGTTGTCACCGTTTGACATTTCCACGTCCAAGTTGTGTAAGATATATGGATAATGATATTCAAAATGAAAATGTTTTTACAGACGCATCAATTTTTTCAAATTTCAATGTACCATCAGTTGATGACCCAGCAACATTTTATTCATATAATGCTGAACTTAGTCATCCATATACAGCTGCTTCTTGTTTAGATCAAAAACATGATGCTATTTTTATAATAGCATTGCAAAACAACGTTATGCTCTATATACGTATGGAGTATATTTCTGGACTTCCCACTCTAAAAGAAATTTGTCAAGAATCTGCTGTACCTCGAATGCTGTCAAATATAACTAAAGTGTTTACAGCTCATATAGAAAATCCAGTTATCAATAGCCTGGCTGTACATCCATTTCAACATGATATATACATATATTCTCTTGATAATGCTTGCGAATTGAAAGTTTGGTCTATTGAGAAATCTGTTTATATTTATATAATGGATATGAAAAAAACGTATGTAGGTTCAGCAGACAATGGTTCAAGACCACATATAATTTACAAACGTGCAGATGATCAACTTTTACTTACTGTATACCTTAGTTTATCGGAAAGTTCAAAATTTGTAGTCTTTGAGCCATATAGTGATTACGGCATGTTTAAACTACAACAAAAGTTTTATGTATGTTCACCCATGAACAATAGATTAGTCGATATGGCATTATATGGTAATGAAATTTGGTGTATTTGGAGAACTGGAAAGGACATTGCTTGTATTAAGTCTGTGAATATCAAGAATGGTGACTGGAAAAACTGCAACTTGGATACTACTAATTTTGATCAACATTCTCAATATTTATCAAATCCAAAACAAACATATTTGGATAAAATATTTTCATCATTAACTTATTTTACTGAAGAAGATTTGAAAAACGCCATTGCCGTTTATGATACATCTGATAATTCTGAACGTGTAACTGATTACCGTACAAAGATAAGTAATGCAATCGATAGAAAGGTTTCTCAGGAAATGGATAAATATGACTCAGCAGATGTAGAGTCACAAATGCAACTCATTGAACAGTGCAGCGCCAGTTTTTATAAAAGTTGTTTGGATTATCGCCGTAAGAGATTAGCTCCTTTAGGAATTATTTGGCTGGGTCCACCATCCTTTTTACTAGTTGTGGTAACAAATTCAAGTTTTTGTTTTCTACGGCCTACAGATTATATTGAAAACAATATATTTTCTTTAAAAAATCTCGAACCTAATACTAAATTCAATGGTTTACTTAATGTGTTGATGCCAGAATCAAAAATCAAATTCAATATGTTTTTGGACATAAATATACCCCAAAATAAGCTTTTAGAATTGGTTAAAGAATCTTATTCATTTGACAACAGTGATCCAAATATAATATTATTTTTAAATAATCCCAATATTAGTGATCAAATTCGTTCACTAGTTCCAATGATGTATTGTAATTTTGAGGAAGATAAAAATATGCAAACTAACCAATATTCAAAATGTTTCAGAAGTAAATTGGGAGCCAGTGTTGTTTCTCATAGTTTCCATCAAATGGTTGTTACTCGTTTTGAACTGTCTTGTAGATTATTTACTTTAATGGATATGCATTCTAAATGTTATGGGCAGACTAAAGAATTTGTAATAGATGCAAAAAACCTAATGTTTAGTTATTGGATCCAGGCATTATTTTCACATGATATAAAATTATGTGAAAAATTACTCATGACTAATACATTTCTGTCTAGAGAACCATTTATGAACTATATCAGTAGCTTATTAAATTATACATGGACGTTTAATGATGGATCTAGTCTTGTACAATTTTTGTTGCAAGAAGGACGATACAATTTCATACAACAGATAGCCCAATTATTGGACTATAAACAATGGGAAGAAACTTTGGTAACTTCTTATATGTTAAATAATGAACCAGATAAAGCACTTGATGTATTAAAAAATGATGTTAACAAAAGTTCAAAACATTATCTCAGATCGATCACTCTGTTTGAAAAGCACAATTTCTATGGCCATGCAGTACAACTAGGAAATCATGTGTTGGAAATATTTGCACGTTCTGAAAATCAAAATATGGTATCAATGTTTCATTCTAATATTTTTCTTAACAATTTAAAACTGAAAGCATACCAAAATGCATATAGCAATATTTTGAGTCTAAATGATCAAGATCGGAAATTGAATTGTTTACACACATTTGTATTAACATTATTAGAAAATGGCGAACAAGTGAAACTTCTAAATTTTAATTTTTCTGGTTTACAGAGTTCAGTGGAAGACATAGTTCTAAAAAAAGCACGTTCTTTGTCAAATGTGGATGCAGCTCCCTTTTATACATTCTTATGTGCATTACACAACAAATATTGCAAATACAAAAAGCTAGCCATGACATTTTATGAACTTTATTTACGTGCTGAAACATGTATTGCGCAAGAAGAGAATTTAAGACTGTCTCTTTTATATTTAAAAACTCTAAATCCCAAAGATGCTTGGTTTGTTGCAACAAAATTACCCTTTTTTTCAAAGACTGATGGTGTTCAAAACGGATTCATACAAATCAAAGATCTGAATAAACTGTGTTGGTTAGCCCGTGCTCGTCAAGCAGTAGATGATTCTTCAACCACCCTGGACGCACAGAGTGCAGTATCAATATTAATAATGAAACATCAATATAAAGAAGCCATGTGTTTGTCTAAAATGTGGAATTTACCTCTTCACATTCCATTAAGAGAATTAGTAAAAACATGTTTGACTCTTACTAATCCTGAAGAATGTGATAAAGCATGGTTTTGGTTAGCTAAGAATGAAGTTAGTGGTGATGGAATAAATTGTGGGCAAATTGCATGGGATTTTTTGGAGACTTTAGTAAACAGATATGAAGAAAAAGAAAAAACATTATTGCACTATCATGTGGCTGACGAACTATTAAGACATAAAGCTTTTCTTCCTAATTGGCTTATAAGAACATATAAAAAAATTAATGTTAGCGAATTATTACAATTATACTTAAGTTATGGGGAACTGATTAATTGTTCAGATTTAATATTTGGACTGATTGAAGAAGAAATGGCTGGTATAAATTCATTTGGTAAAGTAATACCATCAGACCTTATAGAATGTGTAATTGCAAATTTAAAACATCTTAAATTACAGGTTGGAGATGATCTTTTAACTAGCTATAAATTGTTTTATGATAATATTGTCACAAGCTAGAATTTTAGTTTTAGAGTTATGAGTAAGTTGTATTAACTATGTTCAACCACAAAATTAATATATTCTGTAAAAGTGAACTAATTTAAACATTTTGTATTTATTCATTAATTGTATATACATTGAGTCTTGTAATTGTATCATGATTAAATTATGTTTTACAACAATTTTTTCTTCTTTTAATTTTCTTGTAAAATTCAATTTGTTTGATATTTTATTATGATGTAAGGTAATTTTCTTTTAAAAAATTTAAAGTAAAATAAAAAAAATTATACTGGGGATAGATGGTTGTAGATGAAAAGTTGGAAAAGTAGTACAATATATACAATTAAATAATTTATTTCTGTATGGAACAATGCACCATTGTTAGTAAAAACAGTTCTGAGTAAAGTTTGATTAAACATGTTTTGAAACATCATCATTTTTATGATTATCGTCAAAATTTGTTCTTAAATCACTTATAAAAGAAAACTATTAAACTATTACATTAGACTCGACTTTTACAATTTCACTAAGGTAAATTTACAATAAACCTCATATTAAATGTTCTGCTAAACAATTATATCCTCATTAAACAAAATTAAAAATAAAAAAATTTACCACGTTTCGTTAACAATGGTTAATCATTGCCTACAGATATACATTAAATTTCCTCTCTACCTTCCCAACTTCTCACACATAACAGTGTCCACCTATGTGCAAAGTATGTCCATCTCTTTTCATGCCACATCTATATTGTAATTTCAACATTTAACAAGATTTATTATTTTACCATATTGTAGTTTAGTAACTACCAACTTTTTTTATTTTAAGAACGAAAAAAAAATATACTTATGAAATGTAAAACTGAAAACAATTGTCACTTTTAACATAGTTAACAAATGCTCAAGGGATAATAAAAGTAAGTACTGAATACTGTTATGAATAAACTATCTATAACCGTGATACTGGGTATCTATATTTTTTTTTCAGCTTATGTTAGAGCTGATTTTTTTTGATAATTTGTATCTATTGCAAATTTTTTTATGTAAGTAAGTACCTATTACCTACCAATATTATGTTTGTTAGTTATTTAATTAACAGTAAGTGCAATTGGTGAAAACTATAAGTAGATACCTATAAACATTTTTTGCTGCACATTAAAAATATGGACTTAATTATTGTATCTACGTTATTTATTTTTATTTCACTTTCAAAAATGCTTAATTCTATAATTTATGATCAAGGATCAAGATTTATGGATATTAGGTACCTAGGTACTTATTGTTCATTGATGAAAACAACATTTTTGGTATTTAATGAATTTGTTAAAATCATATAAATAAGTGTAGTAGGATATCTGCAATAAATAGGATGCTAAAAAATATTTGACGACAATAATTATAATTTAATGTTTCTGATACACAGGTAATTGTATAGGTAATACTAGCAAGTATTTTTTTTTATATTAAGTATTAATGGCTTCTATTTACGATATATATTTTTTTTTTTTTGATACATGGGAAGCCGTATTATTTAATTTCAATCCTATAAAATAATATTGTGCTTGGTTTCTGTAATAAAAGAAACCATTGAAGTATTTAATCATTTTTTTATTCATTGGATATTATATTATCAACTATATAATTATATTATTATTGTTACAAATAATTTATCATTATTATATTGATGATGACAAATTCACAAATTCTTAGTTACCTATTATAGGTGTGTGCAGACATTGCTGACAGAGGGGCATAATTTATATATATTATACAATTTATAATTTTATTTTATTTTGGTTCAATAGTTTAGTTCAATTATCTAATATTAGTGATGGATGTATTTAAATTTTATGTACCTATCATTAATTTTATTACAAATTTAAAATAGTAACTGAAATTTCACAGTATTATTTATGTTATAATAATAGTATACATAAAAAAAGAAAATTAAATACATTCTTTACAATTTCTAAACAAAATGTTGTTATTTTAGCACTTCAGAGTATTATTTTTTTCTTGGAGGGAGTTAATATTTTAAATTGTTCAAATACATTGTCAATGTTCATTTCTGTTCAATTGACATGGTGAGTAGTTCATCTAGTCGATACTGATGCATTGTACTACCTACGAAAATTTTGTTTCAATTTAACTTAATTTTGAGAATATCCTTTCACAAGAACAACAGCTAGTCTCAGAAAGATTAGGTACCACATATTTTGAACATTTTAAACAGGTACATTATTGAACTCCGCACATGGAAGAACAATTTAGCCCGCAGGAGGGGCAGTCGCCCCCCTCCCATGCGCACGTCTATGTTACCTATACTATAACATTTTAATTAATAATTTTATTATTACTGATAAACAAATAGATTAAACATGTATAATATTAACAATATTGTAAGTGAAGACCCTGTTCAAAATCTTTTTGAGCTGGCACATTTACCTATATATATATAATAGGTACAAATAGATTTTGGTTCAAGACACATATTTTACAATAAAACATGATCCCATGTTTGGATACTCCAATATGGAGTAAGTTTGTTGACAATTCAAACTATGAATTTACAGAACAGGTATTCAAGTCAGTGACGTAGTACAAATTGTATATGTAAGGGGATGTGAATATAACGACAAATTGATAAGAGCTTCCACTCCCCCACATCTTCTTTTGGCCTAACCATATATTCTGTCATTTTCATTATAAGTACAAAAAGTACCTATCTATAAAAAATGTATAATACTATAGAATATAATATATTCTAATATTAGATTATAATACAATTTCTAGTTTTTTTGATGTTTTCACGAATTCGTTAATAATTCTTAATTTGTTTTTTCTTCGATATAATTATACATGTTAAATATTGATAAACCATTTAAAATATTCTTCTCTTTCGCCTTCATCTCAATTATTTGGAGGTTAGCTATTAAATTAGCTCATCTTAAATTTTCACTTAACCCAATTCCCTATATCGTCCTCGCATGGGGGAATATCGATCACTTAAGTAAGAATTGTTAGGTATATCTATCGGGTTCAAAATATTATGCTAATATAATAAATGGATACATACACATGTCGACAACATTTTGTCAACGTTTCAGACTTTTAAAACAAGCTAGCTAGTACCTTTTTTTTTTTATTTAAAAAAACAATGAAAATGACCGATATTCCCCATATCCTCGGGTAATACCATTCATACAAAAATTTCATATAAACATAACATAGGTGATTCAAAATTTATTTTCAAATACTACTTACGTGGCATCTAAGTAAAAATATACTTAATTAAAGATAATAAATCAAATATCTAAGTGTATTTTATTCGGTACCTAATCGGTAAAAAAGAACAACAATTTTAAAATTTTAAATATATTAATTACAAAAAATATATTTCGTATGAAAAACATTGAATGGTTGCAATATATCAAAAATGTCAACACTAAAATTTATTTTAACTAATACTCCATCTATTTATGGACTTTTTGACTTTTTTTCTTGCTGTTTGAAAATCAAAAGTCGGTAGTCGTTTCACTTCTAAAAATTAGGGTGACAAAAAATAATGTAGATGTTAAATTTCCAAAAAAAATTAAAAAAGTAAATGTGAGTGTACCAACTTAAATGGATCACTCTGCATTGTACTAAAATAAAGCTCCTCTCTCTCTTGTTGTCCCTCCGTTCGAGATTGTAATTTTGATTTCGATGATAACCCATCAGAGTAATAACGGTTATTGTTTGTGGTAGTACATAGATTCACTGGTATACGATCATGGCATAAATGGCCTGTAACAAAAAAACCAAATCTATTATATTTTCATTGGGTAAATAAAGTATAAAGTCAAACGATTATCGGATAAAAATTAATATTAACTATTACAACAAATTCATTATTGCTCATTTGATACTAAAACTAGATTGTTAATATGTTACGTCCTATTTCATTATGTGGAGTTGAAACTTGGACGTTAACAAAAAAATCGAGCAGAAAAATTGAGACTCTAGAAATGTGGCTAAATCGTCGAATTTTAAATATTCCATGCAGATCGTGTAGTGTATTCAACTTGAGGGCATTTCAAAACATGTGAAAGGAAAAAGGATTACTTATACCTAATTATAAAATCTCTTAAACTATAATTTCTAGGTAAACATAACAAAACAAGAAATATCCAAAAACGTGGGCTGCTGGAACTTATAATTCAAGAGAACATAGAAGGGGATAGAGTTAGTATTGTAACAAGAAGTATCTCGTAATTGACAAAATTGTAATTTATATTACAGGTATACATCAAATATATTATAGAGAACTTTGTGCATCATTAGAAAGATAAAAAATACTTATTATGATTTCCGACATCTAAAACAGTTGTAGTCGTAAAATATGAGTAATTACAAAAAAAAATACATACCTACCAACTATATAGATAGGTTTCTGACGATATATTCTACTTATAAGTTTGGACAGGGATAGATTACAGAAGTGGAGCATCATTTGTGTGTCAGCGCGGGTCTTATCTACCGGATCTATATAGAATCGCATTGGTGCCTGCAATGATTTATCGTTGCGTTCATATTGGATAATAATTATAATATTAGTAAGAATAATCAGAATAATCAGAATAATAATTACTATTATACCCTATAAAAGTTTCTTTTTCTTTTTTTTTAATATTATAATTTCAAAAAAAAAGTACACCTATCGGTTTGTTTAGGTACTTATCGATAAAACACACACCCTCGCACGGGTAGGTATTGCCTCTTATAATGTACAATATTAACGCATTATAAAAATTACCGGGGATTAGCATCATTTGATGGGCTACGGACTTGTCATTTAATCCAAATCGCCCGCGGTTTATTTTTTTTTTTTAAATTTATATACAAGCGTGTGTATGTATTTTTAAATGTGTTCACTCATATACACACACTCACAAATATAATACATTATCGGTATATATAGACTAGGGAACGGCTTAAAAATGGCGTTTGCGTTCGTATATTATCGAAAGTAGTGTTTTAGTTGTCCGCGGATACGCCGTCCGAAACCGCATCATTTATCACATCGCACCTATATATGTTATACCAATAAACGCAATGATGATGATGGACTTCAACCGGACCGTATCGAAACCTTTACCGGAACTGGGGTAGGCACCGCGGAAAATATCGTACATTTCTTTTGTGGAAAAGGCCAGATCCGTCTGTCTGTAACGCTTTTTTTCTTGTACTTAGAACGTTAATTGCCGCATTTAGATCGAAATTGGCGTAAATATACAAATAAAAAAATTTAAAGAGAAGAATATTTTGTCAAGGACCGTACGTAGATTTTGTCTAAAAAATTGTCATACAAAAAGTTACAGCCATGTTGGTTTTCGCGTTTTTTTTTTAAACAGCCTAAATTTGATGAACTTTTTTATTTGTGATTAAACACTCTAATTTCAATCTAAACGCCACAATTTATGTTTTAAGTTACGCGTAATGTTGTTATGTTGTACAGTTAGTGAGAGGCGTACAACACATAATGACAGCCTCTTAACCAAAATAATTGTAGATGTACCTATTTACCCACGTCCCACATATTTATAATTTATTCTTTGTAATAGTTACGATTGCAATGTAAATGTGTGTCGTGGTGCACCCAGTTTCCTAAATTGTAAGTACACATCAACCGTGTTGTATTTGCCGTAGTAGTCAACTTTATCAGAAGAGTGCGTTTGCCGTACAATAAATATTATTGTCAGTTGTTCTTTAATCATTAATTAATTTAGTTATTTATTAATAAAGGGCATAGCCCAACAGTACAGCACATAGAAATAATGATACATGATATTTATATTTCAGTCCGAGCGGTGCGCTGTTTACGAGTGTGTACGACCGTACATAATATTCGTATCGATGATTGTTTCAATAATAATGTTTACAACAACGAAATAAAACGTCCGTTAAAACGTTTGATTAAAATTCGTATGTAAAAACGTGTTCGCCATAAAGATTTGTAGCGTTGTTGGGTTTATAACTAGACATTTTAAACATTTCAATGACCGCTAAAACCCGTCATATATATCACGGGCCTACGATTAGTTATGGTACGATGCTGTACACGTACGAAAGATATCATTATTATATCGGTTATAATAATATAATTCCCATAAGATTTCGCATTGGCGTCATAATGGGGTAGCGAGAGGTAGCAACTGTTATCTCGCCGTTTTTACCAGAGTCGCAAATTAATAGCTGCGCTACCCAACTTGCTTCACTAGACCACAACTGACTGGGATATCGAATATTTTGTTATAAACCCAGTTAGGTGACCCGTTTTCAATTCGTAAATTATTGTTTTGATTTTAGATTTTCGGTAGAGGCGTAGTGGTGGTTTTATCTACGATGTGTTTCTTTTGTGTGTGCGTGTCTGTTAACAAATTCGCAACTGTAAATCTTGCTCCTAGTAAAATATCAATAGAAATTTTCTTGTAGCATTTTAGATGCAGGTAATTGGTACATTGGCAATGTTTTAATGCGGGAAATTCACGCAATAACGGTTTCTGAAGACATTTTCGATTTTGTGTTTTTAGATTCCGAGCGTAGCGATGATCGCTATGGGTTTTACAATGCTGTTTATTTCTTTATTATTTGTTTTAGTCTGTGGACACGTTTTTCCTAGAAAATTTGCTTCGATTTTTACGTGTAGCACATTTTCTGAAAACTGAAGTTGTCTTAATTGTACTTTAAACAGGTCATTTTTTTTATTTCGACGTCATTTTTTAAATAAAAGCATTTAAGTAGGAAAAAACATAGGAAAATGTACAAGTTCACGATTTCATTATTTTATAAAAACACGGACGATGTTTTCTACCAGAAAAAATGATTTAATCGAAAAATCACAAGACATGTTTTTTGTTGTCTTTTTGATTTAATTAATATCATCGTCAAACCTTTTGAACCACTTTTGAGCCTTTAAGAAATTGTAATTTTTGGGATTTTTTTTGCTGTAACTCAATGGTTATAAATTTACATAGAGATTTGAAATTTGGTAATAATAATTATATTGGATTTACCTACACTTGGTAAAATTTTCAAAACCATCAGACTTTTTTTTTTTAAATTATTATTTTTTTAATTTTTGAAATCAAATTTAAAAGAAAATCACAAAAAATTACGGCACTTCAAATTATGTATTACCGAACTGCGCTCGGAATCGTTTTTTCGTCAAGCAATAGTTTATCGTTGCTTACAGATATAAATTAAATAACCTTATGTATCTTACCTCACTAACTTCTCACCTATAACAGTGGCCGCTCTCATCCCCAGTATCAGCTCTTTTTTTTTTATACTGTAGACCACTTTTATCTTGGATAACTTGCTCCGGTGTACGGGTGGATCTAGAAATTTTTAATGGGGAGAGGGCTTATTTGTATTTATAGAAAGGCAAATTATATAATTTTAGTAAATACATTTGTATATTAGTTAGTTATAATATGTTTGAAAATGATAAAATATGAAAAATTAATAAGTTCATTTATCTTTTGACCAATCTTCAATTTCCATTAGCCTTTGCTTTTTTCGAGAAAATCTGTTTATGATTTCATCGATGTCAATAGGTATTGTCATAGAAATAGATTACACGCAAGTTTCGATATCGCCGACACTGAACTGACTGGCTAACCGGCTCGCTATGAGCCATATAAAGATGACAGTGGTTCTAGAAAGTTCGATAACATTCCAGATTAAATACCGGGCATCAATATCGAACAGTCGTTGTTCGAACATAATTATACTTACATTTTAAATGTTTACCTAGATGTAAAGAAATACCTATTAAGTATTTAATAGAAATTTACATAATATAAAACACGTCCGTTCTTATTTTAAATATTATTAAATCGATATATTTTAAAAGACCCTTGTAATTATTAATCTTATTAAGTCGATTCTACGAAACAATCAGTTGAAATATTATAAACGTAGTTTTTGTTTTTTACCACAGAATATTACAATTTTAACTGCGATTTGTTGGTAATTCATAAGTGATGAACTACATAGTTATTTAATAAGACATTTCAGTATTTTTGGTACCGTTAAAGGTACTAGACTAGTGAACCTAAATCGCCGAGTGTTATAACATTATTATAAATGGTAAAATTACTGCAGTTATAATATTCATTATTGTGTACACTTTCCACTTTTTTTGGTTATGTGAAAAAGATAAAAAACATTATATATTTGTACACTTTTTACCTTTTTGCGAAGGATTGAAACATGCAACCCGATTACGCAAAAGAAAATAATCACAATTTTCCTTAAATAATAATTATAAATACATAGGTAATTATTTTTAAATTGATCGTTTTTAATTAGGTATCTCGTATGAAAACAATTGACACCGGTCTGACGTTTAATGCGATGTATTACCTACTGCATCGGTGTTGGTGAATTGCGGCCCATTTCTAAATCAAGTACGACTAGCGATCCGGGTTTATGAGACGGACATATGAATTGCGACCCCATAATACGAGTAGTTCATCATTTCATAATATCAACCTATTAAAATATTAGGATTGCCCAAGAGACTGTACCATCGGGAACTATCAGTTGGCTGAGTCGTCTTCTATATCTTCTAGTCTCTTTCTTTTTAGTCAATGACTCAAAATTTGCGTGTTTGAACCTTGAGGACTTTTTTTATTGTTTTATTACGTTTGTGATCAGTGTTACTTTCAACTATAATATTTGCAGGAGAAAATTTTAAAAAGCACTTTGAATTTTTTACATAGCAAGGCCACCCTTTACCGTTGTACATGTCATCTTTAAGTGATTTATGGAAACGGAATTTGTAGTTTTCGTGGATAGTGGTTCGAATAAGAATAAGTGGTTCGATTTTTCATAATAAACAAATTCCATGATAATTGATTGTACAAGAAACTATAACGGACTAACAGAGTAATATTTTATGTCTGAACTATCAACGTTTATTGTCCGTCGTTATATTTTAGATTGTATTTGTATTTTTAAATTGTAGTTAATAAATATTTATGACATAACTTAAAATATAAAAATAAAGTGAAAAAGATACCTTACTTACTTACAGCCATAAGGTTTACCGGGCCAAAATTCATATAGAACAAGCCGGGCCGTAATTCACACTTAGTTTACAGCAGCCGAGCAGTTGTAATTTTGGTTATGTTGGCACTTCATATACCAGTGGTTGATTTTCGACATTTTTCTGGGGTCCTGAAAAATCAAATGTATTTGAAAGGTACCTTTTATTTTTATTTTCATTTCTACTCAACTATAAGTTTGAGAACCATTTGATAGTTAGCCAAGTTAGTCAGGGACCACAGCGAAGGGACGTCATTGACTCCATAAAATTGTTTTTTTTTTTTTTATTTATATTTTTATTATTAAATTCATCATTACACTTTAATAGATAAATTTGTGTTACGAAGTTGATCGAAAATGTCCAACAGTTCTTTGAATCACATTCGCAAAATAATATATTCTTAAACAATTTTAGAATAATTGATGAACTCTTTTTATGAAATATTTAATTTTTTTAGAAACTATTTATTTGAATATTCTTCGAGTGCTTTTTTAGTGTTAAACATTTTTTTTTATAATATCAAACAGTTTATCCCGAATCTCGATATCATCGATAGTACTAGTAATAGATTTATCATTACTATAACTAGAAGATTTACACAATAATATATATAGTATTTTTACCTATATTTTTGAACTACGATTTGACGGAAAATAAAATCGAACCTTTTTTTCATTTTGGATCATGGACGCCCACAATGGCATAAGCGTCACGTTATAGCATTCAGAGAAATGGCACATCATACTTATTATACCACGACAGTAACACAATGAGAAAGATTTGTTATATATATATATAGATTGATTATTTTTTTAATGACGGTACATCGCACGTTGGACCGGTTACATCAAACAATTATTCAAAGAATAAATTTAAGTAGGAAAAAGACAAATTATTACATTATTTTTCGTCGAGTCAACAATATAAGTAATAATAAAAACCTACGCTGGTAATTGAGAAGTAAATTGTAAATTCCTGTTTTTTTTTTTTTTTTTTTTTTAATGAAAATGATGTATATTTTTCAGAAAACAACACTTTTCAAACCAAAAGTAAAACTTTTTCTTTTATTATATGATGAAAAGGTAAAAAGTGTGCAATCGTATTGCGTCGAAAATGTCTTCCTCTACTATGGTACCTACGTTTGTACATCTCTCTAAATTATCTACATAAGTACACGATAAATTTCGGTTTTTGTCACGCCGTTCAAACTTAAAAAAATATTTAACTAATCAATAATTTATCACAATTTTGGATTGCTTTATTTATTTATTCTAACAGTTTATTGGAAAACGAACCGGGAGAAACCGGTCGCCAACTGTTGGGATGGAACCTTGCCGCCGAAGATCTTGTTCACATTCCGGATCACTGGTTGAACTATCAAGAGCCGAGTTCGCTTTCCCATTATTACTTGGCGTTTATGTATAGTATTTTTACAATTTTCGCGTTGGTTGGAAACGGCTTGGTCATATGGATATTTTGTGTGTAAGTATATCTATTACCTATAATTTGTATTTAAAATTTCGTCATCCTATTTAAATTAAATATGATAAAACAAGATCAAATTGTTAGACCAAACATAAATATTTGAAAATTTAACAAGAGGTTCATTGAAGTTGTACAAAGTGCTAAAAAAAAAAAAATGGTACCGTGTAATTAAGTTTTTTTTTTTTTATATGAATTTTAGTATCAAATTTGACGAAAATCGTTTTTGTAAAAAATTATGTGGAACAAATCTAGATACTGTTCCATACAAATTTTTTCAATAGATACATTATAGGCTATTATTATGTAAGCCCAAAATGACCAAAATCTAACAAACTATAGGTAGGTACTATTTTCGTCCAGTTAAAACAATGTTGTGTTAGTTATTCACTTGTAATAGAAATTTATACATTTAATTATATTAAAGTTATTAAATCTGATCGATAAAAAAAATAAATAAAATATGAAATTAAAAAACATTAACTTGTATTTTGTTTGCAATACATTCAAAAACGAATTTGAAAACACTGAAAATAAGTAAACTCAATCATTATTTATTTTCAGACCTCAATAGTCTCTAAAATGGATATTTGTAAAAGTAAACTGTACAAAGTCAAGTTTTAAACTAGATTTAAGTTAATTTTATTTAACGATAAAAATAATCAAGTAAAAATGCCAAGTAGAAAGTTTAAAAAATAAATTTGAATATTCAATTATGGCTGAACCACAGTTTAGCGCATATTTGGACCAACTCAAAATATGCACACATGTAATTATGAAATAAAAACGAATATCAAAATAAAGAATTGTTCGGAGAAGAGGCTATAATATTCAGATACTTAAAGGAAAAATAATGAGCTGATTAGGATAATCTTTCCTATTTATTGAAATCGATTTATTGTTCGTTTTTATCTAAAGTTAAATAATAAGGTATATACAGAGTGATCAATCTTCAAAAAGACAAAAATTATTTCAGAAAATATAAACTTTTCGGAATTTTTTTTTGCCCAACATTACCGTTATTTATTGTTACTCTTATTTTCGGGAGTGAAACCACAGTATACTTTTGATTTTAAAAAAGCAACCTATGCAATAAAAATTCCATAAAAAATGAAGTATTAAAACATCATCCGTTTAAAGAATTTTAATGTAATGTTGCTATTTGAAAATCAAAAACGGTTAGTGGTTTCAGGCCTGTCGTAAGATATTTTAAACCATAAAGCGAAAATTATATTGCTGTACTTTTTGACGATTATTAATTTCATTTTGCCGCTTCAATTTCTTTAAAGTTGTATGCCACCCTAAAATAACGCATGATTTGCTTGTATCCTAGCGACGTGCCTGAGCGGTTTCACACCCAACAATAAGGGGTGACAAAAAAGAAAAGTAATGTGATTTGTTTTGTAAGTTGTCTCCCTCCCAAAAAAACGAAATTATGAGTCTCCGAGAATTGATCCCATTGAATGTATTATTTTAATATGATAACTTTTTTCTCGTGATAATAAACGTTATTTTCTAAATTAAATGATACAAATTCTTATGTTTTATTTCAGAGCAAAACCATTGCGAACGCCGTCCAACATATTCGTAATCAATTTGGCGCTTTGCGATTTTTGTATGATGGCCAAAGCGCCAATTTTCATTTACAATTCGATCCAGCGTGGATATCAGGGTCATTTAAACTGCCAGATTTTTGCTATGGCCGGATCCATCAGTGGAATCGGAGCGAGTGCAACGAATGCAGCAATTGCATACGACAGATTCAGGTATAAAATATTGATCGATTTGATTTGTTTCCCCACCTATAATAATTATACTTTATATCTACACCCATACTTTTGATTTTCATTCGCAAAAAGGCCTGATCGTCTCGTCAAACCGCTCAAATTCGTCATCTTATATGCAATGCTCTGTTATAAAGTATATCCGTAGGTACTTTATATTACAACACGTTTTTGAATTGTTCAGGAAAATGTTCAATATTTTTGTGGGATTGTAAAAACGACCGATTAGTTTCCACTCTATTGTGTTTGTAATAGTACCAACAACTATACTTTATCATTATAAATAGTTGTTATTGAATTTTTCCTGTTCGACACTGTCATATTTGCGAAAAGCCAGCAAAATACAAGACGGGTTTTAATCCTGAGCCTCACAAAGAATGATTTTTAAATAATATCAAAGATTATTATTGTATTCAATTTACAAAAAAAAAAAATTATATTTCATCGCTATATTGAAGTCAACGGGTGCCGTGTTCTGCCTAACAGTCATTAACACCCGGTTTTCGCATCTTATTTTTGAATTTAATTGTTCGTATAATAATGTTAAACCTCCAGACACGACAACCATTTATTTAAATATTAATTTATTGATATGTATCAATATAATTAATATACCTTTAGAGTATATTCTCGTTTATGTCTACTTAATATTTGATATTTTAAGTAGTGGAACAATATTTATTATAAATCGCAAAAAAAAAAATTGTCTATGTAGAATATATTTAACATGTTTTATATACTTACTTGACATATTTCAGTACAATCGCAAAACCATTTGACGGACGTATGACATTCGGTAAAGCCTTCATTCTAATCATATGCATTTGGACTTATGTTTTGCCATGGTGCTTTTTGCCTCTAACTGAAAAATGGAATCGATTTGTGCCAGGTGAGTTATCAATTCGCAATAGATAGAACTATAATTTAGATTCTGAGCGGAGCGAAGAATGTATTGATTTTACAATGATGTTTATTTTTTTTCTGTGAACAATTTTCTACCAGTAATTTTATCCGATATTTAAGTATAACACTTTTTCTGAAAGGAAAGCTGACTGGGGTGGTACTATAAGGAAGTAATTGTTTGATTTTCCCAGGGGTTTTCATAATATACGGGAAAATGTACAAAATGTATTATTTTTAAATCGCAAATATTATGGCCTTTCAAAACATATATAACCGAAATCCCCTTACCATCGTTTTTCGTCAGGAATGATTAATCTTTGCGTGTAGATATACATTGAATTTCCCCTTTACTTTCTCAATTTCTCACCTACAGGTTACAGGTTACAATAACGTCCTAATCATCGTGCAAAGCATGTCCGTTTCTTTTTTGTTTAAGTATTTTTAACACCTTAAGCCATTGAAAAAATAAAAACTTTATTTTTTAATTTATATTATTACTTATAAGCAACTATCAGTTATCATTTTTTTTTAAACTTAAATATGTTTGTACTATATGTATATAAAATGTCCTAATCGCAGCCATAGATGTTGACGACTATAGGGCCGAATGTTATAATATTGTAGAAGGAGTCAGAATACGCACGACCACTGTGGCGGTCATTGGGTGATAGACAGCTGTCGGATGGTCTTCTGAACTCCTGGTACCAATTTCAGATTTTCAAAAGTTCATTGAGTTATTTTAAAGATTTTACAGTTGCATTTTTTATACCAGGAGGTCAGAAGCTGCCATCGCAGCGGTCGAGCGGGGTTGACTGTTTTTAGGTCGTGAACGGCCGTTACGTGGATCAATGGCCACATAGTTATGGTAACATTTCTATTTTAACTCACAATGATTCGATCACTGTTCCATCGGGAATTTTCATGGTAGTTTGCCGGCCCCTGATCAGGCTTATGTGAAACTGAAGACTTTCGTTTTCAATTTTTTTTATAATTCTATAGATCCTGATATTACTATATTTCAATCACAGATATGTATGATAATATAATATATTATACATATCTGTGGACTGTGATTCCAATATTGTAATTGCATAATCACGTGTTAATTGTTGACACCACAAGAGTGGGCCATGTTGCCACAAAAGTTGGTCCCGTACAATCATAAATAGATTGTGGTTGATTAAACTATTATGGTATTATAATTAGAATCATAAACATTGTAATTGTATTTGTGTTGTAAAAAAATTGATGAGAACCCTCCAGATTTCTGCTCTGGATCCGTGCCTGATATACACACTGGAATATAGAAAAATGGAATGTACCACGTATAATATGTATAATAGGATAATAATTGTTCAAATAAACGACTCGTACGACGATAATTATTTAATCCTTTAAGGCATACATTCATATTTTTTTGGAAAATATTAAAATTTAGCACTAATTTAACATGAAAAAAAAAATAGGTGGTTTTACTATCATACCTGCACAATGCCTCAAAAGGTTAAAAATCGTCCATCGTATTTGTTTCAGAGGGTTATTTGACAAGCTGTACTTTTGACTATTTATCACCAACGGACGAAACAAAAGCTTTTGTCGGAATTATGTTTGTGATTTGCTACGTGATTCCAATGTCGTTGGTTGTATATTTTTACTCACAAATCGTTACGCATGTTTTCAATCACGAAAAAGCACTCCGCGAACAGGTAATAATCGCATATAATATACGGTTTTCGATCCGGCAAAATTAACTAAGAAATCTTTTCAATACGGGGGCTTGTAAAATATTGGAAAATGTTTTGTTGGAACCGTTTTTTTTCGAAAAAATAATAAGTCGGGAAATATTTTGTCAGAAAATAATTTTTACCAAACATTCAGTCATGGAGTGCTTATCAGCGGCGCCGACACCAGCAGTCAAAGGTGGCGGTCGCCACCCTTCTTTTAATGGGTGGGTGGCGGTGGATCCATGATTAGTATCTGAGTGATATTTTTTATTGAATTGGTAAGTATGAAATATTAATATTAAGAGTGTTGTATGGGAGTTTGTTTTGTAAACGAGGGTAGTGGTCTATACAACTTTTCATCTGCCCACCTTCTTAAAACATGGTTCGGCACCACTGGTAATTATGATGAAATTATGTTGAACAGTTCCGACAAAACATTTTCCGATGAATTATTTTTCCGAAAAAATTCTTTCTAACAAATTATAGCCCTCCCCCAATACCTATACATTGTTATTTTATACATTCAAAAATGGCAAACCGAATCGAACGAATTAAAAATTTAAAGTATAAGTCAATTTCATTAAAAAAAAATCACAAATTATATAAAATTACAATTAGGAAAATTTTGAAATTTATGGAGTTATTGAAAAAAATTACATAAGAAAAGTATAAAAGATAAATTCAGAAATTGCCTTAAGCACTTTTTTCTTTGGGACCAATGACCAATGATATATAATTAATGATAATTTATACATTTTTCACTCGATTATTTAGGCTAAAAAAATGAACGTCGAATCATTGCGGAGTAATCAAGATGCAAATGCTCAATCAGCCGAAGTTAGGATTGCTAAAGCTGCTATCACGATATGTTTCTTATTTATAGCAGCCTGGACACCGTACGCGGTCGTTGCCATGATTGGAGCTTTTGGAGACAAGTGAGCGATTTTTTTTTAATCTATTGTTACTTATAAAAATTTACCTTATTATTATACTTACTAATTATTACTGTTTTTATATTATTTCAAGATCGTTGCTGACCCCCGGTGTCACAATGATACCGGCAATATTTTGCAAAACCGTGGCCTGTTTCGACCCCTATGTGTATGCAATAAGTCATCCGAGATACAGGTAAGCTAATCTCAGGCAATTAATTATAAATAATAATTCGTATAATAATATAAATTACTCGGTGTCGTGGTGATTTGTTTTATTATGTTCCATAACAATTATGAGTTCCCTACTTCTCCGATTTAAATTTTAAACTGTCATAAATTATTATAACTTATAAATAAACGGTTAGTACAATATAAGTATTATGCATATGAACGTAAAATATTTTATAATAGTATTAAAAAGAATTTATCTAAACAAAAAATAAAATATTAAATGGGTAACTAGTCAGATTTGTTTTAAACAGATATTGATCTTTTAAAAAAATATGCAATAGACTAGTACCTAAGTAGTAGATAATAAAAAATGTATACTGTTAAAAAATTGTGTTTATTAAAAAATATTTGGCTTTTTGCTGAAACCGATTACGATAAATTTTAATTGATTTTGTATTTAGATTGGAACTGTCAAAACGTATTCCGTGTCTTGGCATCAACGAAAAACCTCCGGCAACAGTATCCGAGACCCAATCTGCGACAACTACCGCTTAATACATAATGTTTTTAATCTATATACCTACGTATGCATATATGTATATTTATTTATATTATATTTTAAGCTTCATTACAAATTATTGATAATTCAATAATAATATTTACGTCTATGGTTTATCTCAACAAATATTTTGTAAAATATTATTACTTATTAATCAATTGATTAAATATGGTTTACTCCATTAAGAAAATTAGGTGTTTACTTAAAAAAAATGTGCACGTATAACATTTAAATTTATTTATTTTAGAATGAAATTCGTGAATTTTTTACAATGGATTGCAAAATTAATTAGGAAATACTTATATGACATAATATTATATAATTTTAAATTTAGTGGATTTATAAACTCTAAACATATATTATAGCTTCATGTGTGAACTGAAATTCAAATTCAGTTTATATCGTATATGTATTAATTGAGTATTTTAATAGTAAAGTATATGTGGATAAATTAATATGTACCTAGATATATAATGTCTGTCTCTGAGTCATGTTGGGTCCTCCATTAATGTGGGTTGACGTTGAGCTAATCACCCAACTCGTTTATGTTCCAAAAAAAAAAAAAAAAACAAACCTCAGCTTCAGATGAACAATAATAAGTTAGAAAATTTGAGTTTAGGAACTTGGAATGTGCAAATGCTATATGCGGTGGGCACCTGTGCTATCTAGAAATAGAATGCAAGTAGTTAAACATAGCATTAGTATACAAATTTGCATCAACAGAAAAAAAGGAGATCATATCAAGGAAAAATACTAAAACGAGTTAGATATGATATAATACACGAATGCATACCGAAGAGAATACCGAAAATCGTAATGTGGGAGTCTTTAACATGAAAATTGGCAAAGAGAAAGTTTTTAAACCTGGCCAAGAACGTCTACATCAGATATCCAAAGACAGCGGGATATGGCTCATTATGTTTGCAATGTCTAAGGGAATGTTGATCAGTAGTACATTTTTTCCACATAGAAATATCTACAAGCTGACATGGATTTCTCCAATTAGAATCACAAAAAACCAAATTGACCACGTAGTAACAAATAATATAATAAAACACCGGATCCAGAATGTTAAAAGCCACAGAGGGATGGGATTCCACTAAGACCACTTCTTAGATGAAATAACGATATTAATAAAACTACTAAGATAATGGTATCGAAAGCCTAAAGACAAAACAAGACTGAATATAGAGAGCATGAGAGATAAGATAATTGTAAGAAATCGCAAACAAACATTGGTGACTAAATTAAGCACAGTAGAACAGACATAAGATATTCAAAAGAAATGGAGAAACTTAAAAACCATTAATGAAACAACAGCGGAAGAAACCATCATTGGGCTCAAGTCTAAGAGAAAACTAAATAAATGGTTCAATGATAATAGCAAGAAAGCGGTAGACATAGACGTTAGGGACAAAGCAAAACTAGAAATATTTAAATCTAACACAGAGGAAAAAAGGCGGATCCTTAGTACAAAAACCGAAAGAATGTAAGCGTATAATAAGAAAAGAAAAAAGAATATGGAAGAATTAAAAAATAAAAAACAAAAAAGAAGAATACTTGAATTTCCGCAATTTTTTTGGCATAACAAATGAGCTAACGAAAAAGCGTAAACCTAGAACAATGATAATGAAGGACAGTAATAAGTAATGATAAACTTATAACACAAGAAAAAAATATCGTGGAAGAATTTAGGAAGTGTTTAATGAGATATTATATATTAGGATGGAAAACTATTATCAGTGAATAATCATACAGACCATCTAATTTACCAATTACTGTCACAAATGAACATTTAGAATAGTTTCTAACGATTTTTTATAAAAGAATTAATAATTTTTATAAGATTAAAAAGTAATATTTTCAAGTTTCAAGGAGTACATTTAAAAAAAACCCTCTAAAATTTTATAATTTTCGAAAAATACGTATTTTGTATTTTCTTCATATTTGTGTTATTTTGTAAATTAAAAATGGGCGGTGGGTAAAATATGAAAATAATTTGTTTTATAGAGTATACTTTGTCAATCATTTTAATGTATTAATTTTTTTCTATAGGTTAAAATTTGTTAGTAGATAAATTGAAAAAACACGAATTTTAAAAATGAAGAGAATCGGTGGCATGAGTTAATGTCTGAAAATGTTTGTGAATTTGTGAATTTTGTGAACTTAACCTCTAGGTAGGTATGTAAATAAGTGTGTCCAACAAAAAAATTAATTCTTCGGGTTATAACTAAGAACCTAATAATTATGAATATAATTTACAACAGAAGAATATCGATAGGAATTCAATTGAAAGCAGCTAGATAATATCGACAAGATTGTATAGTAAATTTGCATAAAAACCGACAATATTGTGATAGGTAATGTTTTTTCATAAAATTTACAATAAATATATAATTAATTATTATGTAAACCGATAAGATTATATTAATGTTATTTTCAGAAATTCTTAATGACGCTAAACACATACTTTAAGTAAGTATTTCAGTTGCACTGTCTTGTAAAATTAGTAGGAGGGGGTCATGACAATAGACTCAATAATTGTCTTATTCATTTATTTAAAGTACATGTTGATGACCCAATGATTACAACAATTACAAATAAAACTAAAACTAACAAAAATAATAATAAGATAATACAATATAATCAATTAAGATAGAGAAAAGGAGGGTTCAGCATTGGTAATTCTCATCATTCTCGTAAGGGGCTCAGCAGTAGAGTAGTTAGTTGTAAACACTGGGACATAGAAAACGGAGCAATAACGTGAAGAAAAAGAATGCACTTTAAAGTTAATGCTTCGAAGAAAGTACGGGGAATCTATAAAACCTGAGACTAACTTGCTTAGAAAATCTAAATTTGCTTGAACTCGTCTGTCAAATAGAGAGGACAATTGTAGAGAATCAAGATCAGCAGAGTAATTGTGTGTTAGGTGATCTATTTTCAACACAAACCCTGCAAAGGAAAAGAATTTACGCTGCACTCGCTTCATGGCAAAACTATAAGTAGTAATATGCGGATCCCATAACACAGACGCATATTCCAAAATGGTCTGTAATAGGGCACAGTATAAAGATTTGATTAGCACAACAAAAAATGTCACCATCTCTTCTCAGGGTATAAAATGTCACCCTTCTTAAAGAAAAAAAAAAAATTTAAATTTAAAGAAAAGATTTCATCCAGAGGATACAATTGATAAACAATGTTAAAATTTACTGTAGATACGTGCCTATAATGCCTATATGTAAATACGCCTCTGGTAGTATAGGAATTAATAATATTGCACAGTGATGAATTGATAGTTGTAGGAATTTTTAAATGTACCTATGAACGGTTTTTTTTGGGACAGAATATAGTATTATTAATACTATATTCTATATAATACATTATACTGTATACTGACATGAGATGTCTGAAACTATAGTAGAATTTATATACGTGTATGACATTTTTACACAAACATAAGTTAAAAATAAAATTGGTTCCCTTCAATATTCAAGAGATTGCTGGTAGAAAGGAGAAAGAGAGACGATGAAAACGGTAAAAAACAATGACTATCTACGACGATTGGTAGCACTATTTATATGTGTATTAGGATAGCCCATATATGCTATAGCTTACTCTTGTAATTTTTTTTTTTTTCGTAAAATTTGCACCGTCCCCTTATTTGTTTAAAAAACTCCAAAATATAATATCTGTAAAATATGAAATCAATCATTGAAGTTTAAGTCATGCTTCCAGGCACTTGAAGTTGATTAATTTAGTAATTTTTACTAAAAAAGGTTAAACAAAATAAATTACTGATAATAATATATAACTATTACTATAACTGTTATAAATTGTTTGAGTATTTCAAAAATGCAATTTTTAATGATATAACGTTTTTTTTTTTTACCAAAATAGTTGCAATTTTAAGGAAACACTAAGTAAAAGCTCAACAAAACCAACAAAATAGTATTTTTGTTGTATTCATCACATCTATCATTTGAACGTTAATAATATAATACATTTATTTAGTTACCTAGACCTATGGAAAATAATTTTAAATTAAATTATTTAAACTTATTTTAAGCTATACAATTTTGATTTTATCAAACGCTATAGACTTATAGACTAAATATAATATACAATTTAATAAAAATATGTTACAAATAATTTAATATATTTAGTAGCATTGAATTTAATCTTTTTGATAGGTATTTGTTTTTTTTTTTTTTATCGTTACATCTAAAATCCGACATATTTCGCACAATGGACGTGCCACTGTTATAGGTAAGAAGTTGAGAAAGTACGATACAGAGAGAAATTTAATTTACATCGGAACGCAACGATCATTGCTAACGAAAAACAATTCTAAGCGGAGTTCGGTTATACATATCTTGATAAGCTGTAATATTTACAATTTCCATCAAACTTTGATACTAAAATCATTATAAAAAAAAAAAATGTCTTCGTTACAATCAATTTTATAGATTCGAAGTGTAGTGAGGTTTTTTTTTGATTTTTCAAGGAGTTTTCGAATTGAATAAAACCGAAAGAAAATTGTTGGTAAAATGGCAAATATTTACGGCGTTACCTTTTTCTTTGTTTTTATTATGGTAACACGATGTTTTCTACTAGAAATATTGCTCCAATTCAAAAATAACAAGTGATCGATTTTGTTCCTTATAATATTTCGCCACTATCAAAGACAGTCATTTTTCTATATCTTAAGTATTTTGGATTCTAAATGGAGCAAATAAGCTTATGATTTTACAAAATTGTTTATTTTTTTATTTTATTTTTTTTTAACTGTCAACAACTTTTCTACCAGAAAACTTGCTCAGATTTCGAAGTGTAGTACGTTTTTCGAAAGGAAATCAGTGTGGGGAGGTACTTTAAAAGGTCATTTTTCGATGTTCTCAGAAGTTTTCCGGAAAAAAACAACGGGTAAATATAAGAAATGTAGATATTAATTAAAATATATTACGGCCTTCTTTTTTTCTTCGCACAACTTTTCTACCAGCAATTTTTCTCTAATTTTTAATGATAGCAATGGTTTTAAAGGAAATTTCACTAGGGTGGTATTTTAGAAAGGTAATTTTCTGATTTTCCCAGCAAATGTGAAAAACTAGGAAAATCGGTATAAAATTAAACAAATATTATTAAAGAAAATGTATTAAGCCTATTTAATTATTTTACCTTAAAATTACATATACATTGCTAAAAAAGCATCTCTGTATCACAAGTATCAACTGAACTCCACACAGAATCGTTTTTTCGTAAGCAATGTTTTATCGTTATTTACAGGTATGCATTAAATTGTCTATAACAGTGACTGCACTCGCCTCTATTATCCTAGGACGTCTTTTTTCATAATAATTTAGAAAAACCAAAAAAGACGAAATATACGGTTTTTTACAAATTTTTGAATATATATCTAGTTGGAGAATAAGAAAGTTGTTTTTTTGATTTTTTCTGCAATTTTTTTAATAATTGTGCAAAACCGAATAATACGTAGGAAAAACGGGCAAATTTATGGAAATAAATCTTTTATTTTAAATTTTTTTTTTTTTTAAGTAATCCAATTGAAAATATTTGTAAAGACTTGAAATTTTAATAGAAAACTTATTTTTTAAATTGAATATAGTAAAAGCATTATTTTAGTACATTTTCCTGTTTTTTCTACGTTTTTTTCGGGTTTACTCAATTATTACAAAAAACTGGGCAAGAAATAAGAAAACATTTATGCTAATCACTAACTAGATTAATAACTCAACAACAATGATCTGTTGTTATTTTTTTATTGGAGCAATATGTCTGGTAGAAAATATAAACCATTCTAATTTAAAATAATGAAACGCCGTAAATTTTTCAGTTTTCATTTTTTTTTCTTTTGGTTTTTCCCTATTATTATGAAAATTACTTGGAAAATAAAACACGACATCCTTTAAGGGCAACTAGATCCGAAATTCAACAAAAGGGGTCTCTTTTTATTTTTGAATTGAAGAAAGATTTCTAAGATACAATATAAGTTACAAAAATTCTGAAAAAAATGAAAAATCATGAAATTGTTATAGGACGTAAATATTTGTCGATTTATCCCTACATTTTTCTCTAAGTTTCTCTAAATTTCCAAAACGGTTACTTCACGCATCGAAACAAGTTTTTAAACCGTTTCAAACTAAATAAGTTTCAAATTATAGAAAAAAACCGTCCCTCGATCATTTCTAGTATAAATAGTATAAAATATTTTATACAATCATATAATAAATTATTAGTCTGGGCGCTTATTGAAATGCCACCCCACTCAAAAAAACCTAAATAATTTTTAAAAAGCAGATACAGACACAATACACATAGTAAAACTAGTACATTCGTCGTTCCTCTATAGAATCAAAAAAAATAAAATATCTTACCTTATTATTATATTCGATCTGACATATAACTTGAAAATGATGAAACGTAATATTTGGTTTAAAAACATTTTCAACTCGTATAAAATAAATACACGTCGTGATACACGGTAGGCATAGTATTATATTGTTTATATTGTTTTACAAGTTAAAAAAGAAGTATCGTAAACCATTCGCATCAATACATAGTATACCTGTACTTATCACACCCCCTCACAAGCACGCCATATTAATTAGTTACACGATTTTTTTAAATCTGTTGTATCACGAAGACTTACAACATTAAACATAGAATTTAATGATAAAGTAATATTATTTATTACTATGTTTTCCGATACACGCACATTTCATTAATTTTCTGCATATGTAGCTATTTTTCACTTTACCTGCTTTAATTGGTTTTTTTTTTCTAATTATTTCGTATAAAATAACTTTTATTTTTTATCTACATTTTAACGTATTAACCGTGTACAAATTGGGAAACATCGACTTATCTTCAACGCCTAAAATAAATTCGATTAAGTAGATAAAATCGTACAAAGTGGACACTGTACGCCCACCAATTAGAAACTTAATATAAGTATAATGAAATTGGGCGCACAAAACAGGAATTAATTTCACACGACCGATTCCGTGAACACAAAACACAAATATATTATAACTTATACTATGGCTGGATATTTATGGAGAAGTATATAATACGATCAACGTACACATTTTTTCGTTAAATAATTAAAATAGTATCAAAAATAGAATGATAGCTTTACGCTTTTGTTTTTAATTTTTCTAAAAATATTTAAAAAAATTGAAACAGGTTCGGAGTTGATCGGAGAAAGACCTACACAAAACTTTTTTTCTTTCATATATCTGTAAAAATTTGTATTATATTGTATTAATACAATATCATTATATTATGTTATATTTATTATATAAATATAATATAACTAGTTGTCCCGCGCCCGGCGTTGCCCGTGCCAATTTGTATTATTATTATTTTACCCATATTCATTTTTAGTTTTTGACCGTGTGAGTAATGAATAAAAAATGTCGAAAGTGGGAAGTCTACCTTCGGCGGAATAAGTCTTCTATTATGACATTTTTTTCATGATTTTCATACGAAAAATAACGAAACCTCGAATTTTTTTTAAATGGGGAGGGTTGATGGATTTCAAAGGAAGTAAAGCCTAATCTAACTTATCGGGGAGTGGAGACGCTCGACAGCGGGAAAGCGCGTATTATAGCTAATTGTCGTTCGCAGACGGCATGGTGTTTGTTTTATACCTTCCTGTGAACATTGGCCGACAATTTATATTAATATAGAGTTAATAATTCAGTTGTTAATCTGCATATATAAAAATGGATCGATATTTTGTCAGCGGTGATGCCTTAACTTGAATACCATCTAAATTTCAAACTTTTTTGGTAGATTCTCCAAAAATCGTCCTTCAATAACTTTACGAATACACGAAAAATATAATCAGGCATATCGGTCCGTCCGTTTTCAAGTTATGGCGTCGGCGAAAAATATCAATTAATTTATATATATAATACATATAATATAAATGTGCATATTTGCCTATATATTCAAATTTATATTTAAAAAAATAATAACTCGATTGTATCACTCTCTTGGCACCCTCTGATGAATATTTATTTTTTAATTTTCTATCAGTTCATTCTATTCAATTATAATTTTGGGACAACTTACACGAAATATCTTACTGATTATTCATTTTTTTATTTTTTTATTTCATCCGTATCACCAAGGTAACCCATAAATCAACAAAAAAAATCGCTGTACTAAAAATACCAAATACTCTGTGTCAGCTACCCTTGCAATGCCACCTATCGGGTCCAATTGTGAATCTAAACCATCAGGGACCCATTCAAACACAAATTTCGTCAAAATCGGTCCAGGCGTTTAAGAGGAATTCAGTGACATGGCACTCTCCATGGCAAAATAATAATTGTTGAATATCGTGCGTGCTAGTATATTTTGACTTAAGAGGCCATAACTCCGGAACCACTTATCGCAGAGCATACAAACTTAGATAGTAGCCGATTCTCAGACCTACTGAATATGCATATAAAATTTCATGAGAATCGATCAAGCCGTCTCGGAGGAGTATGGGAACGAACATTGTGACACGATAATTATATTACTCAGATTCGTTCGTATGCAGTTTTGTAATGAAAAATGTTTTAGTAAACAAATCCAGAAAATTATAAAAAAAGTAAATGCATTAATTTTGATATACATAGAACCAACTTTTACATAGAGATTTTCGATTAAACAAAAAATCACGTGAATCATCATAATGATGCATAGGTACTGCAGCATATAAAATATACTTATAATGGGACGTACGCAGAAAAAAGTTTTGGGAGTTGTTTTTTAAAATCAGTTATTAAAAATTAGAACTTTTTTTTAATAAACATATGAAATATTAAGTTAGGTTAGGTTAAACAAAATACTTCGAGGGGTGTTTAAACATCCAAAACACCCCCCCCCTCTTTCCTCTGTGTGCGTGCCTGACATATAAACATATGAAGTAGCCGGCATAGGCATTAACCGATAAATCTAATCAACTGGCAACCACTTACTGTGATGTTACTTATCACCTCCTTGGGTTCAGTGTAATTGTGATAACATTGAGTTTTTTTTTAAATTTTGAACGATGTTATAATTTATTACTAAAGATATGTTTAGGTACATAAAAATGTTTTCCTGAAATATTGATAGATATATAGGTAATTTAATACTAGTATACTATGAAGGTGAACAATATAATTTTTAATGAATCGATATTTTGTATTCACTATCTTCTTTGTTTAGGGGGAAGAATACAAGGCTAACGAATAACAGCCCGTTTTCTTTATGGCACAACCTGCGAAAAAATCCTACGCATGCCTATGGTAGCCGGTTTGGAGATGAGAATTTTCCAGATAGTCTGGACCATTCCCATTATTATTAAAAAAATATTGTGAATTTCGTCGATTATAATAAAGGTTTTCTAAATATGGTCAAAATGGAAATAACGAGCTTAATTTAAAATAGAGCTACTCTGACAATCGTACAATTTCTCACACATTCAACTCTTATCATAAAGGAAATTAAATATATATTGCTTTTAAACAAGGGGGTCGGGTAGCACGTGTCGTCTAAATCCATTTTAATCGCCTTTTATGACAGAAATGGACTAAAAAGGGTATATTTTGGCTCCCATCTTCAGTGGCAGTAGAATATTATAATTTCAATGCTGCACATGCACAGATTATTATAACGGAATTCTTACATCACTGTTTCTTAGATTATTTAGTCTTCAAAAATCACTTCTACACCCTCAAACGTTAGTAGGCAAAACATATGAAAACATTTTCGTTCTCTTCCCAAACCACCTAAATCCTAGGCCATTAATGATTCCCAACAGATTATCAACGACAAACAAAGTGAAGGAAAATTCATTGCTTGTAAATTGTAGATCTAAGAACATTGTCAGTATCTTAGATCATACACTGTGGAAAAAGCTACGTGTATTCAACTGTATCCAATATAAACTTCCAATCAGGTTATGTGTTATGTTAGTGCCCTTGCGTGCCACGGCTGCTGCAGGCCGTTGTTGTTGATAAAAATATGCTAAACAATGATCAATTTATAAAACATATTGCAATTTTAGATTTTTCTTATTGGTTGTTTATTAGTTTGTGCATGCGCACTAGCATATGTCATCCGAAATTATGACGGTATGAATGAGGTGTTGTTTTAGACACAGCGAGCAGCCGACATTGCTCCATCTACTTATATAGTATATGATTTAACTGATTTAAAGATAATATCTAGACTTCTATTCTAGAATGATGTTATTGTGTTATTTGATTTTGTTTTTATGTGCATGAAATTGTTTTGGCCGATCAGTAATAGTTGACCATTTTAGGTTTCAAGAGAAATTATTTTATTTTATTTTTTTTTTTTTTGTAAATTGCTGAATTTTGTTTGAAAAGTGGTGGAGGAGTAAAAGGTTAGGTTGATCTCAATCATAGAAAGGTACATTAATTTATATTAAGAGACTTCGTAGTTCCTCTTTTTTTAGATTCTAAGAGGACGGGGGGGAATGTATTGGTTTCACAATGATATTAATTTTTTTTTTTCCGTGAACAACTTTTCTACCAGCAATTTTGCTCGGATTTTCAAGTGTAGGATATTTTCTAAAATAAAATCTTACTGGGGTGGTACTTTAAGGATGTATTTTTTTGATTTTTCAGAGAGTTTTCCCAGTAAATGGGAAAAACCCGTAAAAACATGGTAAAAAATGTATGAAAACGGGAAAATAGGTAAAATATTAAACAAATATTATTAAAGAAAATATATAATGAATATTTAATTATGTTACCATTATAATATGACATATATATTATTGACAAAAGCAATACTGTTAAACAAACTCCGCTCAGAACCGTTTTTCATTAGGAATTGTTAATCTTTGAGTACAGATATACATTCAATTTTCCTTCTACCTTCTTAACTTCTCACCTATACAACAATGGTTTACCCATCGCGCGAAGTATGTCTGTCTTTTAAATTTCCCAATTCGAACACAACACTGTAACCATGATCGCATAGGTATATATATATATAAAAAAAAATACATATTATTATGATTGCTCAAAATCATCTATAATATGACATGTATATTTCTATACAACCTGCAGGCTGTAATAATTGGTTCAATGTAGCTATATTTTTTTTATTATTTTTTTTTTTTTGTAAATAAAAATAGTGTTTTTTTCATATGCATGTATTCATTCAACACATCTACTGCATGTACATAATATTGCTGATAAAGCTATAGGTTATATAAACACAATATATATTCCGAATCTAATTATGATATTACACGGTGTAATCATTATGTAAATAGCAAAATAATACGGGGGTATCTAACAGAGGCCGAGGATAAATGAAAAAAAAAAAAAAATAAAAATAATATTACAATAACAATAACGATGACATCCCTCGTAAGTTAACGGGGATTATCATTTGATAGGCTGCAACAGCGTAATCCTCGTCGAACCCGCGATATCGCGCGTATCGTTTATATAAACCCAGATAGGCCGACGTAAACGATCGCGTTTGACTTGGACGTGCAGTATTCTAGTAGTGTATTAGACAAACGAATATGGATTTCAACGGGAGCGTGTTGAGACCTTTACCACAACTCGGGTACGGTATAAAGAATAATAAATAAATATCAAACGTAATTTTCTTTTATAGGCTACAATATAATATTGGACCATCCCGTTGTAAATACAATTGCTTTTCTATTGGTCTCCTACAGTTTTCTTCAATCCGATCTACTTGTATTTTCCTGTTGTACTATACCCTATATACTAATAGTACTATCTGCTTCTTCTCCTAAATCAGTTTTCACATAATATATTTTTTTTTAACTCGTAACTCATATTACTATACTAGAGAATCGTTTAGGTGTGTGTACTCAGGCCTGTCGCTAGGGTACAAGCAAAACATATGTTGTTTTAGGGCGACATTAAATTTTAAAGAAATTAAAGCGGCAAAATGAAATTAATTATCGTCAAAAAGGACTGCAATAAAATTTTCGCTTTATGGCGGAAAATATTTTACGGCGGGCCTATGCATACTGTGTGCCATATTGACATAAAGCTGTGTGTGTACATTCTTATGAATTCTAGGCCAATGGATAACGACGAAGAAGCCCATTTAATGGGTTGGAATCTCACTCCCGAAGACCTCGTCCATGTACCGGAACATTGGTTATCGTACCCAGAAGTCAGATCGATGTACCATTATATCATGGCGTTTTCGTACTCGATTTTATTTGTTATCGGTATCATTGGCAACGGCTTGGTTATATGGATATTTTCTTTGTGAGTACCTACAAGCAATGTCCACAATATGTGTATATTATATGTAATATGTATACATTTCAATAGTGTCTTCCTGATAGTCAAAATAATGGTAGGGATTAAAATAAGCTGAAAAAAAATAGCTGTAGAAGTTTTATATATATATAAAATAAATAAAACACGACAGAGTGCAGAGAAATAATTATAACGTGAAAAACAAGCAAATATTGCGTATATTATGATTATACACAAACAAAAGAGGAAAGTTCTAAGAAACTTCAAAAAGGCACCCACCCTTCCTCTACAATGCATCATTTAAATCAAAAAATAGTATCAGACATCTTCATAGAAATTGTGTGATTGGAACAAATTTAGTTTTCTGGTCGAATCGTGTTTATGAACAAAAAACAATTTGAAAATAAAAATGTATTTTTTTAATAGCTACTAATATATATATATATATACTATACTGGATACCTATAACCAAACATTTGATGAAAACCACATATAAATATTTAAAAATATTATTTTAATTAGGCATAAGCGATTCATACCTTATTACTTTAATACCTTCGATATCGAACTCTAGGTGATTTTCGATATTGATGTCGATATTTTAGTATGTTAAATGATAAAGGATAACGTAATAATCATGTCACGGTTAAATAAATTACAATATTTTTATTTTAAAATAAATTTCGAGTATCAAAATAAAACGAATATCGAATATACAAATTTTTGGTATCGCCCTTCTGTAGTTTTGATATTTATAAGGCCTCGAAATAAACATTACTATAAATTGTAGTTGGTTTTTTCTTTTATAATAAAATATAAAATATGTATTTCTTTTGCCGAAAGGATAATTATTAATATGTGCACACTGCCATATAAATATATAATTATTGTTATTTCAGATCAAAACCATTGCGAACGCCGTCTAATTTATTCGTTCTCAATTTAGCCTTGTGTGATTTTTCAATGGTGTTAGTATTGCCGATACTCATATACGATTCGATAGATCACAAATACCCCGGACATTTACAATGTCAGATATTTGCATTATGCGGATCAATCAGTGGCATCGGTGCGGGTGCCACGAACGCTGCAATTGCATACGACCGATACAGGTATCTGGTATATTGGACTCTGGTATATTAGTATCTGGTATATAGAATATTACACAAAAGCATATCCGTCGGAAAAGAACCGTATAATGACGGGGCTTCATAAGTATATAAAGTGGAAATACTAAATTTCCACGAAAAATACACGACTAAAAATTATCTTTACAAAACCCCGATTTTTAATAAGGCCTTAACCAACCGGTATTTAAGGGGTTGTGTATAGATATTTTGTGAACATTCGTCAACTAAAAATGATTTAAATTCACTTTAAAAGTGAAAAATTAAAAATGTAATAATAATATGGATCCGTTCCATAAAAATCACCAATAGCTATTTATTGTGTAATCGTGATATTTGTTTAAAAAAAAGAAGTTTTAACGCAAAACAGAGTAAATAGATACAAAATAAGTACGTTTCAAAATGATTTTAGAATTTGACACTGATTTTCATACTTTTTAGTTTTTAAACACCTTATTTATTATTTTTTTATACGAGTATTATGACCGTGAATGACTCTAAAAAAACTTCATTTCTGCAGACAACTATAATAATAAACTTATAGTAATCAGTAATAACTAATTTGAGTAAGGCCTTACTGTAATTTTTAGTACAATAGCGAAACCATTTGAGGGCCGTATGACTTACGGTAAAGCGTTAATATTGATCGTTTGCATTTGGATTTGGGTTTTTCCATGGTGTTATTTACCACTGAGCGAAAAATGGAATCGATACGTACCAGGTTAGTAATTTGTTAAATACCTAGATAATTGTTTATGTATAGTCACTATAGTCACGTTTTAAGAAATACAGAATGTAGTATACTTTACATATAACTAACTAGAAAAATATCGTAAGTTACATTAAACTTATTTTAATTGCAATACTTCAACAAAACCAATACAAATTTTCTATTTTTAATACTGTCTACAGTAAAAGCAAATTGACATATAGGTAGACATCCAGTTTAAAGACAAAACCTGTGTTACCTGTGCTCTCTAGCTGGATATGGGTATTATAATTTGTAATATTTTTAACGCCCATGTATGTATATTATATGTGTGTAATACTACCTTTAATATAGAAATATTGAAACAAAAACCGACTGAAGTATTAAAAATTAAAAAGCTCTAGATATTGTTTACGTATGTTGAAAATGAACTATGTTACGTATAGAGGTACGTTAAACAGATTTCGGTATGAAACGTATTTGGGCTACAAATAATATTTGTCCTACAATTTGTTATTTATAAATAAAACACGATATTTGCATTTTCACAAAATGGTAAAATAAATATAATTTTAAAAAATAGTTACTGCATTACGCCATTTATACCGAAATAAAAATAAAATGATTAACGATATTAATAAAAGTGTATGTTTTCCAGAGGGATTTCTAACAAGTTGTTCTTTTGACTACTTGACACAAACAGACGAAACAAAATTTTTCGTCGGAGTCTTGTTCGTGATTTGTTACGTTATACCTCTTTCATTTATAATATACTTTTATTCGCAAATTGTTAATCACGTGTTCAACCACGAAAGAGCTCTACGTGAACAGGTAATTTTTAATATCTTTATCATTTATAAAAGTTATTGTTTTGTTCAAATATTTTGAAATAGGTACCTATTTAACCTATTTTATAGTATCTACCTGTGAGAGGGGATCAGAATACTTCCACGATACCTCTACCTGTCTAAGAGGCGACAAATGGAATTGTGTTAGATCGGCAGCCAGTGTAATATTCTGTTAAATAGTATGAGGAGTTCTAGAAGACTTTGGTAGATTGTCGTCCCATCTCGAATTCAGAGACAACAGGTGGAAGGAGGTATCATGGTGTAATGTTTTGCAAATGACATAGCTTTGATATAGGAGAAAATATTAAATAAGTTAACAATAGACTTGAGTTATGGAGAGTAGCATTTGAAAGATAGAGATTAAGAATAAGTAGAAATAAAACAAAGTATGAGTTTAGAGGAACAGGATAAGATAGATAACGACAATAAGCAATTATAAGTAAGGTTGAGAGTTTTACTTTCCCAGGATCTTTTGTACAAAAGAACAGTGGCTATCATGAGCATCTGAATTATAGAATTCCATGTGTTTGGATAAAGTGAAAATAAGTGAAAAATGTTTTATGAAACAAGAAAATTCCAATGAAACATAAAGTTGAGTTCTACAGAAGTATGGTGAGACTGACAATGTTGTATAGTTAGGAATTTTGAGCGGTAGACAAAAAAATGGAATAGAGAATGAGTGTTCCAGAGATAAGAGTGCTTAGGTAGGCTATTGGAATGACGAGAAAATATAAGATAAGGAATGAGTACATAAGAAGTAGCTAAGGCATGGCTTCGATAGTAAACAAAATGAGATAAAATAGACTGAGATATCATGGGAAAAGAAGAATCTGAAGCAGTGAGTATTGTAATGAAAATAAACGTAGGAAGAAATAGGTGGAGAGGAAAACTAAAAGAGATGGTTGCGTGCGATTGAGAATAATATGAGGTGTATGCGAAGTTTAGTGGCTGATTCCAAATAGTTGGAATGAAAGCGAAGGAGAAGAAGAGAAGGTATTTTGTATTATATTTTTCAATTCAGTTGTATATTATATAATTTGCATGTATGTATATTGTAAATAATATTATTTAGGACACTTTTGTACGACAAATATTTTTTATTTTACTTTTTACTACATTCATAAAATCCCAAACAAATCAAAATATTAAATGATTATTTTGTTCATAAACAACCATGAATACATAGTAACAATTTTATTGTCATTTAAAAACAATTTAAGGGTACGATGGAAGAAGCCAAAAAAGATAGTAGCCCATTTTTGAATATTGTTCATTAGACCAAAACTTTCTTCCGGATATATGAGTTATATTATTTTTTAACCGGTACATTTAATATTTCACTTTCAGTTTTATCCACCAACTAAAAAATTTTTTTCACTGAATAGAACTCAACATTTGATGACAATCTCAAACTATCAAATGGTATCATTATCTCAAAAAAAAAAAAAAATTCTAGGAAAAAGAAGAATACTATCCTTCTTTTCTTGTGCCCTTCAATAGAAAATTTTTTTTCGACTTAACAGTTAAACAAAAACACAACACAAGTTTCTAAAAAAAAAAAATAAGTTTATATTATAGTCTATATAATAGGGGTATAAACAGGGTTCTCAACATAATGCAAGACAGTTATTATTAAGGAAACTATTTATTTTTTTCGTAATTTGCAATATAAAAATTATAAGTAATAAAGAGCTCTAATATGTTAAATTACCGTATTTTTTTGTTTTCAACCATATTTTTGAGAGTGAAACTATTATCTACTTTTTATTTCAAAATAAATATATAGGCTAAAAAGATGAACGTCGAATCGTTACGAAGTAATCAAGACGCAAATGCTCAATCGGCGGAAGTGAGAATCGCGAAGGCCGCGATAACGATTTGTTTCCTGTTCATAGCTGCTTGGACACCTTACGCAGCAGTTGCACTAATTGGTGCTTTTGGAGATCAGTAAGCGTTTTTAAAAAAAACATTATAAATATTATATACGTAAGTATATCCAATGGTACAACTCGAAAATTTGCAAATTTGTATGAATTATTAATTTATACTACAATATCAAACATTTTCATGCAATTTTGAATGCATATACGCCGTGCACAACCAATTAGTAATTTATTCTCCTAAAAACTTACCAAGATATTTGTTTGAAATTCATATGCCCTCCCTCCTACCATGATAATGAATCCTGGTTTTATCCAGGTAGCTATGTTTATATCCGTATACGGTTTTATATGTTTTAAGATCGTTGCTGACACCCATCGTGACAATGTTACCAGCCGTATTTGCCAAAACTGTGGCGTGCTTCGACCCTTACGTGTATGCAATAAGTCATCCGAGATACAGGTAATCCAAACACAAATCAAAACTATATGTATATCGTTCTTTCATACCTATTTATCAAGCCATTCGATTTATAGCCTTTATTTTCCAAACGTTTTAAAATTTCCTAATTCCCACCTAGCAATGCCACACATTCATTACCTATATAGGTACTTATTTTATTACTGTACAGACCAATGCCCAAAAATACAAAAAATCAAACTAAATGAAATTATTAACTAAGGTCTGAATATAGGTTTGCAGTATTATAGAAAGGCGAAGTATTTACATTTTGAGATAGATAGATAATTTTAGATATTTTTACCTTAATTTCATTCCAGGAAATGATGTTTGAGTAGGTTATGGAAAGATCCATCTCTTAATACAAGTAGACATGATACACACTCATTTCTATCGATTCCGTTTTTTTTCATCCTCAGATTCGTTCATAATAATGTCCCGAACATAATATCCATTATTCGTTAATTATACGTCTTGAATTTGTCATTCAGATTGGAACTGTCAAAGCGCCTCCCGTGTTTGGGCATCAACGAGAAACCACCAGTACTGGCCGAAACACAATCGACGACTACGTCTGCTTGATATTATTTCATTTTATAATTTTAGAACACAATGTTTGATCAATATTACACATACACACACACACAAACATACACTTAAAACAATGCTTTTAAATAAAAAATAACAATTTTAACGGTATGAAATAGGTGAATAGGTAAGAGGTCCCTATAATAATATATTATATTGTATTATCTTATAAATGGAATATGTAAACAACGCAAAAACCAATTATTATTTATACCGAACAATTATTTCACATATTCGGTAAGTATGAGGAATACTGAATAGGTACCTACAGTGGAATCTCGATCGAAACAATAATAATTTCATATCCTTCCTGAACTACAATAGACCTCGATAAATCAGAAGAATACTAAAAAACTATAATAATGTTTGAGACCATGTTTTAACGGCTCCTTCTATACATTCTGCAGCGTTCATTCTAAAATCAATATCCGTATAAATGTCTGTACACTTAAATTTTGTTATGTTAACGTTGCACAAACACATCATTGACACGAACTAATGAAATTAAATTTATGTGGTTTCAGGAAATCTATGAAAACTGGAGATTGTTTATTATTGGTTTTTCTAACCAATCGGTCACCCTGTGTGTGCCAAAATACTTAATCATATTAAGGGTGGAAATAAATTCTTCCGGGTCGTTTTTTGGTTTAAAAAAACGTCAAATCTCCAGGATTTACCTAAGTTCTACTTGGGATATACTTATCAACTGTTAGAATTTTTTTTGTAAACGCCAAAAATAAAATTATTCAAGAGAGCCTAAAAACCATTTATGTATGATTCAACTATAGTTATAAATTAATTTACACTATAATTTTAGATTCTGAGTTCAACGAAGAACATATTGGTTTTACTATACATATTGAGTTGTTTTTTTTTTTTTTTAAATAATTGGACATCGATGAAGTAAATTATATTAAGTTTATCGATACCAGAGTCCTCTTTCTATGAGTCGTTATATCACATACGCAAAAATGACTAAAAGTGTAATTTGAGAAAATTATCGCTTATAACAAATAGCCTTTTAACAGTTGATATGTAAACTCCCTTAGTTAAACATTAGGTTTACTCAAAGGAAATATATGTTAACGCCACTTGGTACAATAATTTTAAACGTATCAAATTCTAGTGAATATACTCGTATGTGGTATTCATGGTTGTGAATATTGGTGAATTGACTACATTTAAGGTGACAACGCTTGAAAGTTATACCTTTTGTAACGAATTAAGATATATAATATATCTATAGTTAGTATATATCAGTTATATTAAGATATAAGATATAATTAATATATATCTTAATTCGTGTCTATAATGGATATAATATAGGTATAATGATATTACATATCATAATAATAATGAAAATGTATATATCATAATATTATTTCCTCCAACCATCTGTTTCAATTTTCAAAACCACCAACCAAATTATATGTTTTTAAGTTCATTTGGTCCATATTATCAGTTTTCACTATAATAATATTCATAATATATTAATCAGGTACAATCGTTTAGTGAAAAAGTGAAAAAAGGCTCCCTGAAGAAGTGTCAGTGCATGCAAACAATTCCACGTAAATTAAACATTTGTTATATGTATATAATAATTAAATAAATATATTTTTTAAAATCTCCAAAGAAAATTTCTGATTCCCATGATTTTCGACTAATGATGACATGATATCCAAATTTACTGTTTCAGTCCAATTAACGAGAAACAAAGCAAAAACATGCTTATACCTTATAAGCAGACTGAGTCAAACTCTCTTAATTTTGGTTTTAGAGTAAAAGCACCTATTATAAAACTAAAAGAGCACACTATTTATGAAGGTACCACGCTGCGCTTTTACTATTATTCCGAATAATTTAACGCTATTAGTATATCGTTAAGAAATAACAATTTCAGTATTTTAAAATATCTACACATTTTCAAAATGTTCATTTTTTAAAAAAAAAAAAAAACCTAGTACCTATGGTTCTCATCTGAATGTCGACCGTTTTTAGTTTTATAATTGGTGGTTTTACTCTGAAACTAAAATCAAGCGAATTTTACTCAATCTACGTAAGCATGTTTTTAGTATGTGGCTTGTTATTTAGACTGAAATTGCACATTCACTTATTGATGTTCCACTATATTAATATTATAAAATGTTATTGATAGCATGTATAGGTATTATAATGCCAAGGTATAGATCATTTTTCGGAGCCCTTAATTCAAAACTTAATACTTTTTTTTTTACTATACGTTATCTATACCAAGACAATATAAATATTAACAATCTCGTATAAAAAAAAAAAAGATAGAAATAAACTTTACTGTACTGTTATTCCAATACAATTTATATAAAACTTTTTTTTAATACACAATATTGTAAAAGATTAAATATATATTTGAAAAAAAAAAAAAAACAAATACACTGATTTTATAACTTCAAAAACTCTGACTGTAAGAAGGTATCTATTAAGTTTATACATTTGTATTTAAAATTGCATAGGAAATCTAAAATCTAAACAACCATGTTAATCTTATCTGATTTATTATTATACTAAGCATAAAAATTGAAAATTAGAATATTGTACAGTAATTTTTATTTTTATTCAAATTGGTATTTAACACAGGCAAAAGGAATAATGTAAGATTACCTATTTACTTTTACGCTTTAATTAATTTAAAAATGGTGTTAAAATTAATTCATGAAATAGGTACTCGATATATTCAACACTTTGTCTCAAATTAAACTGTGTCTATGTGTATGTGTGCGTGCGTTTACAATGTATTCCAAATTAAACCTGGCGCTGTAAAACAAAAGTTTGTGCTGTAATATAGTATTGATTATTGAATATTAATTTTCTTTTAAAATAATAAATACCAATATAATATTTATTTATCGATCGGTGTGAGATCCGATCGAATCGTTTTATAGTATTATAATATATATTTTATTTAAACGCTTTTTTTTAAGCAATGTTTTGACATTTTAGAAATGTTAGACAAAAATCGGTGTGTATCGAATTATCGACGCACAGTGAGATAGAATGAAATTTTTTTATTTTTAAAAAAATTTGAAAATTAGAAAATGTATATTCTAGTCAGGTGGCACTACTGGGAGCTTTCCTACTCTCTCTTAAACGCGATTTCTAAAATTGAAAATTATAATTCAAATTTCAAACTATTTTTTGATATATTATTATATTGCATTTTTAATGTTTCAATAATAATATAATGTATCTGTGAAAATTTTCAAAACTTAAGTGTTTTGTTTGTATTTGTATTAAAACAATTATTTTTCTATATAATGACAGCCCTAATTTATAACCGATCGATTTGTTTAAAACTGAATGCAAAAAAATGTCTTGTCCCTGTAAAAAAATTAGTCGTGGACCAATAATTGTCCATGAAAAATGTATTACAGAGATCGATTGTCTGCATACAACATTTTTGAGGTTACATACAAATCGGGAAAAAATGTCTAGATCAGAATTATTCAGGAAAATATTTGCATATCATGAATTTTTATAATGGAAGGATACTTATTTTTAAAAGAACAATAAAATTCAGAAATGATATTAAATAGGAATTACATTTTGTCGGAAAGATAAAAGATGTCTGGAACTGTATGTGTCAAGATAGTATGTAGCTGAAAAATGTATAAAGATAAACAAAATCACATAAAATGAGAAAATAATTTGTAGAACTGGTTTGAATCGGGATAATATTTCACTAGAAAATAATGTACAAGTAATGACTAATAAATGTTAAGTGATAACACATTTATCGAATCATCACAAACTTTTTATTTAGATCGATGATGCACCAATAAAAAAATCACAGTAAATAAATTCAATGCATAAATCCATCTTAGATAGATGATTAACCTATTTGTTTTTCTAATGTAAATTTAATGACTGTTATTAATTTTATTCAATTATCATGGCGTTCAAAATGAAAACTAATAAAATGCTAAATAGGTATAATTCAAATTCAAAAGACCACTTTTAAGAACATAATACACATGTAAAGGTTAGTTAACCTAGTAGAAAACCTAGAGTTACTTTAAGATTGTGGAAATGTGTATGGTGTATGTACCTCCCCAAAATGAAATCTATAAGAAACGATTGAATAAATTCTAAATATGTTAGTTTTTTTAAGCTTGGAATTCAAGATAATATCTTAAGTATATTATACTTAAGTGGTCTATAAATGCAAACAAATTTTTTTAAGTGTATCGTTTATATAATTAATATGATATATGAACACCCCATTTCAGGTTTTCATCAATAAAAATACTTAGATATTTTAACGAATTGACTCGATTCAATATTTTACAGTTACATATAATACTTGATTAGTTACTTTTTAAGATAGCTATATGAATGAACGGTAATGGTTAATATCATAAGTCACGTTACTTTGGTAGGCACTGAGCAAAATACATCAATATTATTGATGTATTTTTTATTTCAAAGATAATATATTTTGAATACAGTGTTGGATTAACGGGGGGAGGTCAATGGGGGTCTGACACGCCCCTTCTAGACACCGGTATAATTTTATAAAATTGTGTCCAAATAAATGGCATCTATTAATAAATAGGTACCTTTTAAATACTTATTTAGGTACATATGATTTTTCAGGGGGATGGTAAACTCCTACAAAAGTTTGTAATCTTTACAAAAGATAGTGTTAACGCCTATAAAAGATAGTGCTGAGTTAACACTATCTTTAATCTATAAAAGATACCTAATGTTAACTCCTACAAAAGATAGATTTTTTTTTTAATAGGTAAGTAAAATTAGTAAATAATCAGTTATAGTTTTATAGATTCATAAATTATAAAATTCAAAATCAAAATATTTTAATTTATTATATTAAGTTCATGTAATTCAAAATTCATAGTAGGTTTTTGAATCAAAAACCATTTTGGCTGTACATAAATTCCATTGTAATTAATAATATTAAATTGATACCGAAAACACATGCACGCATTACGTGTACAACTGTACAAGAGAGCAAATAACATTGTCAGGAATAACGCGGTTATTCAATTTGTCCTGCGATTACTCACATGGATGCTATAAACCTTTTATATCTCTGAGTGGCAGAAGATATAGTTATATTTCCATACACGGAAATAACATTATCGAAATATTCGAGAATTTCCGATACGATACGATACGGTTAAATGAATGTATTTACTGAATTATATTTTTGTTATTATTTTAATATGACGATGTTAATATATTATCTCAAAAATAATGAAAACATACATTACGTATAAACTAAAAATGCCTACCGTACTAGGTAGGTGTGTAAGTAGTGTTGTAATATGAAATAAGACATTCCCTAACTCAAATTTTAGGCAGGTAAAAAAGGACTATGTAGGAGTCTACATGTAGCCATTTTTTAGGACCTCTCCTTGAAAAATGTTGAAAATTCACCACTGTTTAGATATAATATTATGTTTTTCCCATGTTAATTGTTTATTACTAATGAAAATTTAATAATTATTATCCAGTTAATTTTTAACTGCAATGAAACTATCTCCTGCAATTATTGTGTATAGGTAAATCATTTAGGCTTTGACTTTTGATAAAGATAAACTAACCATATCATCAATATCATCATCAGTCATCTGATTATTTGTTCTTATATTTTTCTGTTTATATATATTTTTTGTAGCAAAATACCAATCCTGACGAATACGGTTTTCGACATTTATTTTATTGATTTATATTATCCACGATTTTACTAATCCTCGAAACGGCGCACCTTACTGCCTCTATACTTAGATATGCTAAACATAAGCAAAGCCGGAACTGGAAAAACTTTGGGGGAAATTGTCAACATAATATAACACAAACAATTTGTAGGGAAGGGGGTTGAACTGCCGAGATCCCCTCCCTCTAAAGTAATGCGTTGGACATAAGAATACTGATACGGACATACCAACCCGGACAATCTGTGGTTGCTGGTTGGACATCTGGTCTGGTCATCACCCGAGAGCCGATTTATCTTTATTCTATGGATTGGATAAAAATTGTATACATTATATTACAACGCTGGGTAGGTATCTCATTCGTCATCAACTGCTGTGTACAATTCAAGACGATATTATAATCGTTTTGTATACCTATCTACACAAATATAGGAGTTGGATAATACGTATTACGTTGTTAAATTTTCATTATCCACTGTGTAAAATCCAAATCAAAGTAAGTATAAACAGGTATACGTATACCAGGGTACATATATATACCTAGTTATTGTTAATAAATTCTGTATTTTTTTCTTCGCGGTAGGTAATGCGAAGGTCGGTAGAAATATTTTTGTTCAAAATAATATGATCATTTATTATATTAGAAACTTTGTTCGTGTACAAAAAAAAAAAGAAAAAGGATTTACAGTGGTTATTAAATTTTAATTTATATTATGATTGTTTAAATTCCAAATATACCAAATTGTTTTCCTTTGTCTAGATTATTAAGATTTTTTTTTTCATAATTATCACCCCTACTGCATTTTATCATTAACACTACCACGATAAAAATTAATATTTGTTATCTGTATGTGGAACTAATAAGTATTAAATATAAATAAAATCTACATTTATTATTGAAGTTGCAACATGCGATATGATTTGTAGACAATATTTTACTACTTACTTATATTCGTTACATTGTATTGTTATAATTTCCTTCACAATTTCCTTCACTATTATTTGACATTATTTACATAAGATTGTGTGATGTCAACTATCGCATAATCTTTTTGATTACTACTCAGTGATTAAAGTACCTACCTATATGCTTTTTTGTCGTACATTTGTATACTTAATGTTCAAGTGAATATGGATGATCAAAATCTAATCGATCTTGTGGAGAGCAGTGATGAAGAAACTCCGTCATTATCTGACAAATATGAATCAAAAATATTGACCGTCGAAGATATGCTTTTAGGAAAAGGCAGACAAGAGAAATCGTTAGGAAATCTAGCGACCAAGTTTGCAGAACTACTTCGAAACTCTCCAGACGGAGTAATGCACTTAAACAAGGTAATAGATTCACATTTTTTATTTTTTCATTAATTAAATAGTAAGATATTTACAATATTACTATACATACTAAATGCTAAAACTATTATATATTAAATAAATTTTAAAAAAAATACTGCTTAGGTACTTATCAAATTATTACAAAAACAAAATACCTAATTGTTATTATTTTTTTTAGTTTTTTATTATTATTAATAACTTAATTTAACTAAAATGAACTAGAAATCAAAGCTTCTTGTTCTTAAAGCTTAAAATATTATGTCATTGGAATGTTAAATTAATTTTTAAAGAAAACATTAATCTGTATGTGTATGTTTTTTTAAATAATGTGTTCTTGAATCGTACAGAAAAAACCAATTTTATCTAAGACAGAAATTTTTTTTCCAGAAAACTGATTAGGACAATAGAAGTAATTAAAAAATTTCATATAACCCTATTTTAAGTTATATAGGTATTGAACTGTACACATAACTAGACTTTTAAAGTAACTATTGCTAACTGAGTTATCTGAAAGAACCTTACTCTTTATCTTTATCTTTACTAAAAATAAAAATAAAGCCTACTATATTATGTAAAATATTAAAATAGGTAGTAAAATTAACAATTTAAAATACTCAAATGTATTGCAGTTTACAATCTTAAGATTTTATCATATGAAACAATATTTTTGAATTCATTAATTATATCATCATAGTTAATTTGCCAACAAAAAAAAAACGTAGAAGGTGAATTTTTCATGAAAATTTTAATAAATGTTTCAATTAAAATACCACAGGACAGAAATGTCGCAAAGAAAAAAAATAGATCATTTATACTCATTGTAAAAACACTTGTTTGTTCTTTCTTTATACTCAAAGTTTTAAATTATTATGTTAATTTCAAGTTATCAATAATAACCAATAAAATAGAGTATTAATTAAGAAATAAAGTATTACACAATTATATAATACTTGGTTATATATATTATCTATTATTCAATTCAGTTGGCAACAAATTATTTAATTAAGTATATTAAATTTTTAGGCCACTGCTATGCTTGCCGTTAAACAAAAAAGGCGAATTTATGATATTACAAATGTATTAGAAGGTATTGGTTTAATTGAAAAAAAGACAAAAAATCAAGTTCGATGGAGGTAAACAAATTAATAAATGTATTTCAATTGATTGTTCAAAAAAATATTTAGTGTTATAATATTTTGTTGTTTACCTTTTTATAATTTATTTTTAGGGGAGTTGAAACAAGTGAAGATGATAAGACTACAGAAATAAGATCAAAACTCCAAGAAGAAATACTAACTTTAAAATGGCAAGAAGAAATACTGGATAAGCAGTTAGAAGTAATTTATTATATTATTTTTAAAATAAATACTGAATAAGGAATGTACAATTAGCCTTTTGTTTAATTTATTTTGTTTAATTTTAAAATGGCAAGAAGAAATACTGGATAAGCAGTTAGAAGTAATTTATTATATTATTTTTAAAATAAATACTAAATAAGGAATGTACAATTAGCCTTTTGTTTAATTTATACAGATCATCCATTAGTTCTTTTTAAGTTGATTATATATAAGCCCATATATTTTCCTCAATATTTTCAAGATAGATACAGGTATTTACTATATAGATATTTTTTTTTTGTTTGTCTAAACACTTGGACAATAATTTAGCAGATAATATTTCTTTAATTTTAAAATCGTTAATTCTGTTGACAGAATTCAATTTTATTTTTATTTTGTTAAACATTTTATTTTTACATGTTAATTTTCAAGTACATAAAGTTTCCTACTTTTTCAAAGCAAAATCTTTCAGCATGCAAATTACATTTCACTGCAATTCAAATTAATATCAAAACATATAAAAATACTTATGATATTATAATCAATGGAGGAGAAACAATTAATTTGTTAACTGTGTTGTTTTGATTCTAAGTAACTAAGTTTGTTAAATAAAATAAATTATTTTCATTTAGTTTTTTTTTTCAGATTCTTAGTCGTGATTTTAAAGTGATTAAAGAAGAAAAGTCTTTTTCTCGGTACATGTATTTATTGAGTAGTGAAATTTCTACCAAACAAGAAAAACGATCAGTTTTCACTATACAACCTATGGAAGCACTAAGAGGAGCTAACATTTCCATACCAAGAACTAAATTGAATCGAAATTATAGTACTATTAAATCATGTGATAATAGTATGCCCTATAGAATAAATTTCAATTCTAAAACTGTACCACTTCATATGAATCTTATTTCATACAAGGCATTTGGTCAATCAGAGGTATTATTAATATTTATCTATTTTAAATTATATTATTATTATCTATATATTGGTTTTTAAAAAATACCTTTTATATTCATATTCTTTTTCATTGATTACATTTAAAACTTGTTTGGTACATAATTTTCTTGGTCAGAATTCTGCTTGTTTCTGTAGTTTTTGTTTTTCTAGTTTTTCCTCTATATCTTAGTTAATTCTACTCAGGATCATTTTTCCAAATAATTTGTTCATTTGTTATTTGTGCATACGTTTTCTTTAGACATTTTTAATATTTCTAGACTTCAAGAGAGTTAAGTTTTTTGTTCTTAATAATTTATTTCAGCTATTTTTATACAATTTAATTCTATATAATTTTGGTAGATTCTAAGCGCAGCGAGTGATCTAATAGTTTTACAATGCTGTTTATTTTTTCTTCTTCTTTGTTCTAGTTTGTGGACACATTTTTTCCTAGTAAACTTGCTTCGATTTTTACGTGTAGCAACTTTTCTGAAAGCGCAAGTTGTTTAGATTGTACTTTAGACAGGTAATTTTTTGATTTTCTACATAATTTTTTAAATAAAAGCACTTATGTGGAATAAAACAGGAAAACGTGCAATTTCATTATTTTATAAAGAAACACGTTTTCTACCAGAAAAATGATTTAATCGAAAAATTACAAGATACCTTTTTTGTTGCCTTTTTAATTTACTTTCTTACGATATCATCCCCAAACTTTTGAGCTTTGATGGAAATTTAATTTTTGGGAGATTTTTTGTTGTAATTCGGTTATAAATACACGTAGAGACATGCAACATGATAATAATACTTATATTGGATTTACCTAGACTTGGTAAAATTCCCAAAATTATCAAATGACTTTTTGTTTTTTTTTAGTAAAAGTTGAAATCAAATCGAAACAAAAAAAATATGATACTTCAAATTATGTGTTACCGAACTGCACTCGGAATCGTGTTTCGTCAAACAATGGTTTATAATTGTTTACAGATATAACTAAAATAACTTTATGTATCCTACCTTCCCAACTTCTCACCTACAACAGTGGCCTCTCTCATCCCCAGTATCAGCTCTTTTTTTCTTTTGAGTTTTTTTTTTTTGTTTGGTTCAATACTTTTTTAAAAAAATGCTTTCATATTTTTGTTGTGACTTTCAACTATTATTTTCATGTTACTCTTGGTTTGTCTTTTATATGATTGCTTCTTTGTATTTAATTTTTATATAGATTTTGGATTATATAATTTTGTCTTTTGACTTTAATGCATAAAATCTTCAATGTTTATCAAGATTATATACTAGCTTACACTTATTAGTTTATGATAAAACTGTTATTAGTTTACACTGTTTATAGTATATGATGATGTAATTCATCACTTATAATATTATTATTCTGTTACAGAGAAAAAGGCATTTATCAGAAGCTATTAGTAAATTAAGAAAAGTATCTCGCATTAATTATTCTGATATACATGCTAGTATTGTACAGTGTAAGTGTTATTATTTATTATTATATATTTTTTTTATTTGTTTTGTATATATTTTATATTTGTTACATTTATGTACTTTTTATAAGTTTATAAAATTAATTATTACATTTGACTTAGGAATAATTTTATAATACTATAATAGATTTCACTTAAAGTAGCCCTTGACAGTAGTGTGGCTGGTAGCATTTTAACTCAGGGGCTCTTAAACATGTGTCAAACAATGATGATATTGTTGTTTGACCACCTGTTGTTTTGTAAAGCTTTCTACTGGCCAATATTAAGAACCATTGTTTTTCAGAAATTGCACTAATGTCAAGGGCCACTTTTTGTGAAATTAATTATAGTTGTATGCCTTTTATTATATAGATTTTTTATTTGGTTGTCATGGTAAATATTAATATTATATATATATTATGTTTTATTAAAATTATTAAATAGAATAATTTAAATACTTATTGAATGCCTGAATTATAAAATATCAATGAAAGTGTATATTAAAGGATACATCTGTAGCTTGTGCAAGAAAAGTCAATGTCTAAAAAAAAAAAAATCATTTTTTTTCTTTTAACATTAGCACTTCTTGTACCAAGCCACAGATATTATTTTCTTGTTTAATGTAATTTATTTTATAATTGTTTTCTTAATTTTAATTGTATTATAATTGAATGTTAAATATAGTTGATAATTTTGCTATAATTTATTTAATCATTTTCATACTAAAAATTATTATTTTATTACTTTTAATAATTTCAATTAATAAAAATTCTATTTTATAGGCTCTGAAGATTCTGATGTCGAAGAAATTATTGTATTAAATAAAGAAGGTAAACAGGTTGAAAATAAATTAAGTAAGTTAAATTATTTATAATAAATTAATGGTTTAATTGGGAAGAAATACCTTGTCATTTTATAAAATATACATAATCATTGATGATACTGCACTCTCTTGGAAGGGGGGGCAGACAATATTTTAAGTAAATTATTAATACTATTGTGTACATCAAGAGTAACCTGTATAATAATCTTAAATTGTGATATTTACCGATTAGTTATTTCGATAATGATTTGAAGTGGGTTAAAACTCTGAACCAGACTTTTGGCACATTCATATATGTAAAATGTAAATATGTTAATGTATAGGAGCAATAATGAATCCGCAGGAGTAGCTGTTACATAATCTGCCCCTCCCCCTGTATTACCACCTATGTATATAATAGAGTATTAGTGACAATTAAAAATAAATAACAGACAATAAATTGTATTTTGATCAATACTTACACACTTTACAACTGTCATTGTTTATAGTTAATAACTATGTTCTAATATTATAATGAGTTCAATGTTTATATTGTTTCTAAATAATATAAAGATATACAGTATATATGTATTACACTGTGATTGGAATTTTATTTGTAGTTCTTTTTAAATTGTTTACCTTTGTAGGTATCTGTTTCTAAATTTAAAATTAATATTTAAACAACAGCTAACTTTTTTAACTCTGTACCTTTCTACAAATTTGTTTTTGGGGCAGAATCATCAAAAATTCTATTTACCTATCATGCATTTATTTTATGTTATACTATACTATACAATTTTTTATTATTATTTGTTTAATAGATGGTGATTTATTAGATGATTATGGTAATAAATCTTGTGCCAAAGGTATAGTATTAATTTAATATTAAATTTTATGTTGAAAATAATCTAAATAAATGAAATACTTCACTTTGTTTCAGTGACCCCACGTTATGATCCGTTATTAAGATTGAGCCCTCCTCCGTCAATGAATACTTTTCCATGTTTAATTGACCCTTCTGAAGGAGCATTTGAGGCTTTTGATATTAAGCCAAAGTAATAAGCAATAATGTTTAGTTGACTATTGTTTACGAAAATACTGTCTACTTCAGTTCATTTCAATATTTTAATTGACATTTTTATTAAACTAACAAAATATTATATTTTTGATTTATTTGTTGGTTTTTTTTTTCATTATTTATTATACTTCTTACATGTCTTATTTAAGAACTTGTAAACAAGCATTTTAATTAGTATATTCTGTAACCAACTTAAAAATAATTTAAACCAAACTAATAACACCACTAAACAAACCACTTTGGTACATTTTACAGTTCAAGGGTTTTCAGTTTATTGATAAAAATGTTTCAATTGGAAAAAATGGAGTTACAATTCAAATGAAAAGTGCAATTGTTCACACTTAATATTTGTGATACAGTATAAAAAGATAATACTAGGGACATGTGTGGCCACTGTTGTAGGTGGTTAGTAGGTTAGGTGGTGTGCATAAAATTATTTAATTTATACTTATAACTAACGATAAACCATCGAAGTTTACTTATACATGTTTAGAAAGGCCGTAATATTTACGATTTTTGTTAAAATTTGATTTTAAAACTTAAAAACAAAGAATACTACAAAAGCTCATTTTTTTTTTTTTTTTTTTTGTACTACAAAGAAACTTGTTAAATTTTCAAGCATTTCTGTTTAATTTTATTCACAGAGTACTGATACCGAATAAAAATTATGTATAAAACTTGCTAAATTAAAATGTCTACCATTTGCTCAAAAATGGTTAATAGATCAAATGTTTTGAAAATTTAACCACTTTTAGAAAAAGCAAATATAAGTTAATTAAATTTATTCTGTTAAAATTTTAAGTCTACGAATATTTTCAACTGAATGACTTTAAAAAAAAAAAAACAAAATTTAAAATAAAAGATTTATTTTCGTAAATTTTCCGGTTCTTTTTACGGATTTTGCGGTTTTGCACAATTATTAGAAATAGCTACCGAGAAAATAAAAAAACGACTTTCTTGGTCACCAACTAGATTACAAATTCAACAAAAAAGATCTCTCGATGTTTTTTTATTGTAGCAATATTTACAGTAGAAAACATAAGCCATACAAATTTAAATTAATGAAATCGTGCCATAATTTTGAAAAAAGTATATTTATAGTCATTTTTGGTTTTTTTCAATTATGATAAAAAATACTTTGGATATTGAAAAACGACTTATACTATCATTGGCGAAATATTATGATGATTCACGCCGGATATGTGGTTCGACGCACACGTATGTGTCAAAATACTTGTTCTTTTTTTCATTACCATTTACCGATCGTTACGAGATTAGTATTGTTGGCAGCAGAAGGAAAAAGCGGTCATTGTGCAAGTCTCTAAAGAAACCCCCAAAAAATCAAATCAAACAGTCGCAAAAATCTGTTAATTATAATTAGTCATATAACACGCCTGTACAAAAAATAAAGACCAACATACCAGTGTGCGCACTTTGTGCAGTAAATCATACGGCCAACTATCGAGGATGTCAGATCCACAAAGACCTTCAACGTCTTCACTATGGTAAAACAATTCCAAAAACAAATACTGTAAAACCAAATGTAAGTTATAACCAAATTGTAAATAAGAGGGGAGAGTCCTTTGATAGAACACAACGTGAACCTCCGAATATAAATAACACTACATCATTTCTCAATCTAACCAAAAATATAACCAATTAACAACACAAAAAAAAGAAGATAACTCTTCAAAACATTTCACCAAATGATTCTGAAATAGCTTTGCAGTTATCTTCGTTTATAACCGAATTCAAGTTAATGGAAAACACAGTGCTACCTGAGTATAAAACAAATCTAATTTCACAAAAACGTCGTTCCCGCTCACAGTACCAAAAATACAGATATCCTTCAGATAAACAAACATTAAATCGAATATTAAACATCCTTAAAAAACAAATACTAAAATATAAAAATCGGAATGTTTCAAAAAAAATACCAACTTCTTAACACTAAAGACCGTTCAGTATGGAAAACTACAAAAAGTTTATTAAATAAAAAAGAACAACTCCCACCACTTATTGGTCCCAGTGGTTCTTTAGCTGTTTCTGACAAGGATAAAGCTGACTTGTTTAGCGAGCATTTATTTAATGTTTTCACGCCACATCCCGATATTTTACCTGACCCTGGTCACTCTAATATAGTTTCTTGACAGTCCCCTTTCTGTTCCATTTCCCGCCAAACCTATCTCTTCAAATGAAATATAATTTTTAATAAAAAACTAAAAGAAGGAAAAGCTCCAGGCTATGACTAATATCAAACAAAATTTTAAAAAAATTACCAAAAAAAACCCTTGTTTTAATTACTTACATATTCAACACTATGCTAAGACTTTTGCATTTTCCAGTAATATGAAAACTATCCACTATTACACTCATCCTAAAACCAAATAAGTCCAAGAATTTAGTTACTTTATATAGACCAATCAGTCTATTACCAACTCTAGCCAAATTGTTTGAAAAAATCATACTCAATAGAATAAGACCAATACTTCAAGCGCAAATGATCATTCCTAGCTCTCAATTTCGTTTTAGGGCTCGACACTCAACAGTACATCAAATACACAAGCTAACAGATCAAATATCGTTCTCTTTTGAAAAAAAATTAATGTTGTTCCAGCGTATTTATCGATGTATCACAAGCCTTCGACCGGGTATAGAATGAGGGTTTGCTTTACAAGCTTAAAATATTTTTACCTGCTCTATATTACATAATAATAAAAACCTACCTCAAAAATCACACCTTCATGGTTCGACAATTTAATTATTTTTCTTTCTATTTCTATATACAAACTGGTGTATCTCAGGGTAGTGACCTCTCACCTAACCAATTTAATATTTTTACTGCTGACATACCAAACTCAACAAATACAATTTTAGCCATATATGCTGATGATACTACGATCTTATCCCCCGGAAGTGGCCCAGTTCTAACCACTATTTCGTTACAAAATCATTTGAATCTAATTGAAAACTAGGCATCCAAGTGGCGAATTAAAATCAATCCCGATAAATCAGTACATGTCAATTTCGCTTTAAATAAGGCTAAATGAATTTTGCATATTCCTACTTCCTCCGGAGTAAAATTTTTAGATATTACTCTTGATAAAAGGCTTACCTGGGACTCCACCTAAAAGCTAAAAAAAAAACTTAATAGCTGACTACATCTCCTTCGACCAATCCTTAAATCAAAAATGTTCATTTAAACAAAAAATACTATCTACAAGTCACTTATAAGACCCATGTGGGCTTATGCAATACAGATTTGGGGTTGCAATTCCTCGCAAATCCGTAGCATTCAAGCGTTCCAATCAATAGTCCTCCATCTTGTTGCTTTAACGTCCTTGTACATTGCCAAAAACGGAAAGGTGCAATACAGAGTGTACTTTGGAGCAAGTTTTCTAGTTGAAAAGTTCACAGACAGAAAAAAATATAATTTTTATAATATTACAAGAAATATTGGAACAAGTCTAATATATTGAATACCATTTTTTTCCAATATTATATTTGGTATGTACGATGAATCCAAAAAAAAATATTTCCATTTTTTTTTATAAAAACCAATGAAACTATGCTGTACAAAAACACGTATTTTGATGGGGGGGAAAGGGTGTCTGATAAATTAAACTTATACCAATCACCAATGGTTATCGATGGTGTAGACCAGTGTTGGCCTGGTACGGTAAGGATCTATATTACTTTATAGTGCCCTAGGTATGGTACATCAAAGCATTTATTTAAAGGGGCTCCGTGGATAAACAATCTAAAAACCATGCAAATCAATGCGAAATCGGGGTAAAATGCAATCTTGTTATTAGTCAATAATGTTTCTAAAAATAACAATGGATTTCATAGCGAATTATTTTATGTTTTAAATTTACAATAATGATTTTCAGCTCCATTATTTCAGTTTTCAATCATTTTCGCGGCCGTGGCTATTTCGGTTTGAACGTAATCAAAAATCATTAGAAATTAGCCAAGGCTATAGCTATTATAGCTGTCATAGCTGTAGCCTACAGTTATAACTGTTACATGACTAATTGTAAAACGTTGAAAACAACTATAATTTTGAAGAGCGCGGGAAATTAGAAATTACTGATAAGCGAGTACGCGCCAATCATGAACTAAGATAATATTATCTTGGTACATAGCGTCAATTAATTGAGGAGGGATAGAGGTAAACATTAACCTGAATAACCAGTAACCTGGGTACCGGGCAGACATGCTGAAAAACGTTGAACAAGAACACTATTGATACCGAAGTTCGACGCATAATAAAGCGTTTCAACTTACAAATCCAACTGACGTTCATTTCTACAAATATGAGTTTTAATTTCGGAACACCCAAGACCACTGGTCAGGCTTCAGTGTTTTCCATGAGTACTCCAGTAAACACTTCAAGTAAGCCAGCACATTTGTAGTAACAAATACATTTGATGTTAATTTATTCTAAAATTATACATCAAATTACCAAATGGACACAAACATAATATTGTATGTGATATGTCATTGTTATAAACTACCACATTATTAATTTTCAATAAGGTCTGCATGAATACCTAACAATACAAAAGCGTTAAATTTGAATTCCATTGTTTTTTAACAATAATTTCCTACTGAATGGTAAAACAGAACATTTATCGTTAGTTTTCATTTGCTACCTATAACTAGAGACAGTGTTTAAATAATGTATGATTACATATTTTGACAGTTATATTGTCAATAAAATGATATACAACTTTGTTTCCTACACACAAACAAATCATATTTAAAATCGAAAAATATTTTGGACCATATAATACATTTAAAAAATATATTTAGATATAGGGAAATTTTAGGTTATAGATTAATGAAATAAATACAATAAAGGTACTTTTTGTTTATCTCGATTAAGTACCTGAGTCTGAGATTTTTTTAAAATTAAAAACCTGTGATGAGATGGATAAGCTTTGTTGGCTTATTACATACACCACTAGTGGGCCACTGTTGTGAAGTATGTCCGTCTTTTTATATTTTGTTCTTTCATTTGCTCTCATGATTGCTATTATTATATCAGTTAGTTCTAGTTTGTTATAGCCTTGCCACAAATTTCGGTTTATTGTGATTCAATTTTTATGACATAACTTAAATGCATGTCGGATATTTAATTGAAAAAAAAATTCTTATTAGCAAAACCACGTCAATGCATTTATTACAGTGGTGGGGCTGTAAAATACTAAAACAATTATTATAAACCAAGAAATATTAAATTGAAAATTGATTAAATACCTATGTATTTTATATTAGGCGGACAACCTCAGTTGGGATTATTTGGAGCTACTACTCAATCATCAGGTATTTAATGCATTTTTCTACCTTTATACCTACTTCATTAAAAGTAATTTGATTTAACTAACAATAATAAATATATGTTTAAATATCTTGAAATAGAAGTTTAAATTGTAGAATTGAAAACAATAGGTATTAGGTGTCTACCATCAAATTAATACTTATATTATATTTTAACCAGAATTTAAAATAATATATAAAATAAAATATTTCTTCCTTGAAATTCGCAATCTTTTATACTTCTATTTTATATATTATTTTAAACATTTTAGATCTATTTTTAATGCATAAGGTAATTGTAAACTTCGCCAAAATAACTATTAGTTATTTATACTATTAGGTTAGTAATTTTATATTTTAAGTGTTATATTTATGTTGGCATATAAAGCGTAACTTTTATTTAATATGGACGTTTATTAATTATTATTATGAAAATTGTGTTATTTTTTAAATTATATTAATTGTATAGGTACTGTTATTTGATTTTCTTCACTGACAGAGTTTACATGAACTCAATTTTACCCGATTATTTTTCCTATGAAGATTATACCAAAAATAAGTAATTATGGCAGAATTTACATGTGTTTAAATATTTGTTCAATACAAGTTCAAAATTAGATTATAAAACTTCAAAGTTAACTAATAAAACATTGTATGCAATATTTAATCTAAAATAATTTTTTTCATCTATCAATAATTTATACTTATTTATTTTTATTTTTAAATGTATATGAAGTTATTAAAATTATTAAATTATTAAAAGGTTTAGTTATCGATAGGTCTCAGTGTTTTTCAAAAATTTGATTTGAAGGTTTAATAAAAAAAACTGACATTAAATTGAAGAATTAATCTGATCGATATAATTCACACTTTATATTAAATTGACTGTAAGGAAATTTGGTTTAAATTGCTATGTTACATATGTGGTAAAAAAAGAAAGAAAATATTATTATTCAATACCCTCAATTTATAATAATTATATTTAAATAGGTATTTTGCTTTTATTATCTTTTAAATTTTTTTAGCTACTGCATTTGGATCAATACCACTTCCTACATTTGGCAGTTCATCTTCATTACCTTCAAGTACACCCATTTTGGGCTCAACAGCAGCAACAACAAAACCAGCATTTAATTTAGGATCTATGAACACGCCTCCTTTTTCTCTAGGTACTACTCCAAATTTTGGATTTCCTTCAGCAACTAATGTACAACCAAATAATACAGTAGCAGCTGCTACAACTTCAGCACCAACTAGTTTTACTCCATCTACAATGCCTGCTTCTCAAGCACCAACTACTCTAGCATCCACTGGTTTTTCTTTAGCTGGTACTACTCAAGCATCTACTGGTTTTTCTTTAGGAGGTACCACTCAACCGTCTACTGGGTTTTCCATTGGAAACACCACTCAAGCATCTACTGGTTTTTCATTAGGGAGTAGTACCACTCCGGTGTCTACTGGTTTCACATTGAGTACAACTCCAGCTGTATCTTCAAGTTTTTCATTGAGTACAACTCCAGCATCAACTACTGGTTTTTCATTGGGTACTACTGGAACAACTGCACAAACTGTTACAACTCAAATTACAACGGCAGTTTCTACACAAGCTCCACTTACTACATCTCAGTATGTTTAACATTTAATTAAATACATTTTTAATACTCACATATATTACTCAATATTTTAAACTTTTTAGACCAGATAGTCAATCTAGTTTAGCTCAACCAACCAATTTCCAACAGCTTGTTGATTTAATTAACAACTGGACAGTCAGTTTAGAAAATCAAGAAAAACAATTTCTAAATCAAGCAAATGAAATCACTGTGTGGGATAATATATTAACAAATCAATCAGCTAAGGTACTTTTTATTGATAATTTCATTAATATATGGTAAATTATTTTAATTTTAAAATACAAATTGTAGCTAGTAAAACTTTATGACATGTTGGAACGTAAAGAAAAAGAACAATTAGATATTGAACAAGAACTTGATTTTTTGTTATCTCAACAAAAAGAACTTGAAGACTGTTTAGTTCCGCTGGAACAAGAATTACAATCTGCTGAAGTGTTAAGTAGTTTAAACAATGAAAGAGAACCAATGTATGTTGTTATAACTTAATCATTTTTGCTTCAAATTATATTAAATTACTTTAATTAAGTTTCTTTTATTATTACATGTAGATACAAAGCAGCTCAAGAAATTGATAATCAAGTAAAACAAATGTCAAGTGATATTAAGGAAATAGTAAATAATTTGAACAAAACCAACTCTAAAAAAGATTCTGATGATGATGTAAGTAATCATAGTATTAATAATTTTAAATTATACATGTGATGTAAATTAAAATCAATCCCAATTGATTTTAATTTTGTTTCAGTTGGATACGATTTGTAGAATATTGAATTGTCATATGACAGCATTGCAGTACATAGAGCACAATGCAGAAAATTTAAGCACAATGGTAAAGGAAGTGAATGAAGAACATACTCGTTTCTTAAGTGCAGCTAATGATTCTTCTTTCATGTTAAACAAATAATTATTATTACAAACTTACACGTATATTTTGTGTATATATATTTAAAAAAATACCTTATACCTTTATAGTCTTAATACATACAATAAACAAAAATCATACATTTTGAATTATTTCAATTAAATTATTTATTTTATTTGAATTATGGCTTATCTTGTTTATATCTCATAATTATTAAAAGTATTGATGAAAAGTGATTAATTTATAATATTACACTTTACTTATTTAATATATATGTATGTGTAAAAGCTGCTTTAAATTTCCATATAGTTAAAAAATTAAGTTGTGGCTACTGTTTTAATTTAGAAAATTCATAAAGGAAGAGTCTGTTACACACACTGTTTCAAATTTTACATTTCAGTTAATATAATCAATATTACCAATATGTTTAATTTATCTATTTTCCTTTTAAATAAATTCATATTTAAAAAAGACTTACATACTTCGCACGTGGGTGCAGCCACTGTTGTAGGTCGGAAGTTGAGAAGGTATAGGATACTGATGGGAATTTACTGTACATCTGTAAGCAACAATAAACCATTACTAACAAAAAATGATTCTGAGTGGAGTTTAGTTAATAGTGTTATTTTGTCAACAATATATAATGTTATATTATGGTAAAATAATTATATATACATTTTCTTAAATAGTAATATTTGTTTGTTGTTAATATTGTACCTTTTTCGTTTTTTAGTATATTAAAAAAAATTTAAAAATTACCTCCTGAGAAATTTCCTTTCAGACAAATTACTATCATTGAAAATCTAAGCAAAATCGCTCGTAGAAAAGTTGTTCACAGGAAAAAAAATCCGTAATATTTTACTAAACATTCATACATTTTACTGGTTTTCCAAATATATTGAGAACATTGAAAAATAACTGCCCTAAAGTACTTCCACAGCCTGATTTCCTTTCAAAAATGTTGCAAAAAAAATAAAAACATCTTTGTAAAACAATAAGCTTCTTCACTCAGAATCTAAAAGGGGGACTTCACGCAACCCTCCACTTGAGTTAGGATTTCCTTTCAAAAAAGTGCTACAATTGAAAATCAGAATAAAAATTCATAAAAATAAAAAAAATGATTGATAAACATTATTGTAAAACTAATATATTCCTGTCTAATTCAAATGTCAATATCGGTTTCTAATAAACATATAAATAATTTCTATGCTAATTAAAAATTAAAGTACCTATTTATGCATCAAAATATTAAATGATACAAAAATGTTTTTGAAATAATATTTTATAGTTTAAGATAGTGACAGTTGGTGTGGGGGGCTATGCCCCCACGACTTAGATTTAACATTGTGTAGAGGTAGATGGATATAAATTAATATTTATTGCCGCAGATAAAACAAATTAATTCGGCGCCACTGTATTCAACTATTATTCTATTGTTATTCAATTTTTCATGTAAAAATTTATCAGGAATAGTTTGATTAAACCGTATTGAGTGATGACTGACGGGTTGGCAAAATAAATCGTACATTAATATGAAACATAATATTTATTGTAAAACAGTAAACAAACAATGCTACATAATGCTAGAAAAACTCAACGTCATAATAAAGATGAAAAAATCCAATTTCGGCCGCAATCTAAAGAAAAAACAATAATGTAAATTATACAAAATGGTTAATAAATAATACAGGTAACTTACATTAGAATTATAACAGTGCTAGTGCTGAAGACACTGGGATATCATGACGTCGATTAACTGCAGTGGCAGTTGTAGCTGTTGGCGTCTGCAATAGGAATTATTATCGAATGAGCATAATATGAGTATATTGAAATAAAATATTATAAGGCATGTGCTGCCCGTTGACGTACATTTACGAAAAGTGAACGGTACAAAGAACAGGGATAGGTTGCAGATTTTAAATTTCAGAACACTCAATATACGCCCTGTATTTCGTCTTTGCCAAACCACCACCCCCCCCTACCACTCTCTAATTTCTGTATTGAAATTGAGACAGACAGTGTCGTAGACGAGAATAATGAAAAAAAAGCCAACAACAATATTTTATTACCAAAAGTAACATAATGAAAATGACGATTTACAATTAATTGTCTTGCCGAAACAAAAAAAAAAAAACAAAACCTAACGTACGTATACTCCGCAACATTAAACTATTATGAAACAAACGTAATTGGATTTTTCAACGAATTTTAAATTAGAACGATTACAATCTATACTGTTATCTGCAGCGTACGGTGTTTCAAGATATATAAAAACAAATTTGTTGTTATTAATGCAGTCAACAAAATAATATACTCATACAATATTTTAATTTGAAAAGCCGGGAAAGGGATACATTTAAACCTAATTGGATAAGCAAATTGTCCTATTTAATATTAGTAGAGTGAGAAGTCATAAGACTGTTAAGTTCTTTTCAGCCCTCTGTTTTCTAGCAATCCAAAATAAAATGGAAGGTGGCTCTAACACGAAAATGATTATTCGATTATTAAATGTATGCATATTTCACACATTTTTGAGACAAAAATGTAAAAAATAAATTATGGATTCGGTATAACATTAAACAATTTTAAGGCAATATATGAAAATATAGAGACAATTTCACATTTTATGAACACGCGGCACGCGCCAATAACATACACGACGTTGCGCGTTGGAAAAAAATTTTCCTCCACACAAAAACATTATATCAGCTGACATACAGCGAACATTCAATGTAGGTAATACTTTTAGATAAAAAAAAAACCCTAGTAGTAGGTACAACAATAATTTATAATCACTTGAGAAAAAAACAGTTTAATTTTATTTTTATTTTTTTGGATTAAGTGATTAAGTGCAATACCAACATTTAATGATTAAATTAAAGTTTAAATAATGTTCGATTAAATCGTTTTATTTTTTACACTATAAATTATTATATGATTATATACATAATAAATAATAATTATTTTTTTTATCATTATCCAAAATTCTCGTTTTTTGTGTGTATCTACTATATAATGTGCGAGTCACATCCCGAACGAGATAGGAAAAGGAAACCTGGAGATTTTATTCACGAGTGTAATATTCATCAATATAATATTCTAAAGTGATTAATTTTCGAATTGAAATTGTTACCTAGGTATTTACACGTGGTACCGTTTAATAAAAAACTAGTTATACTATTATTAATAAAAATTAAAAATTGTACTTTTTTCTATGTACATTTGAGATTTTTCAAAATTTCAATGTCTCAAATAAAATGATTTTCCCGTTATTTGTATAACATATATTATAATAATGACGTACTTTTGCAAATTCTGAATACTTTTAGGCACTAAAAAAAGACCAGATTAGTTCTGTAATATTTTGCTGTAGAATTTGTGAAAAGCGGTTCCCCGTGATTATTTCAGCAATCTGAAATAGAAAATATCATCGCTTTTAATAAATATAGATACACTATAATATAATCAGTGACGTATTACGAGGGGGGATTGGATTAGAAATATGTATCTCTTGACATATTTTGTACCAATTATATTTTATGTAACTATAGGTACCTATTTTTAAATTCAAATATTTTAGTCAGGTATTCATCAGTCGATTTCCATAATATTTAATAGCTTATGCTCCAATAAATAATCTACAAAATACGCCATTTAATATAATTATTATAACACATAACTTATTATAAAGTAAAATGTTTTTCCCGTTGTTTGTATATTACATTATAATATAATATACGTACTTTTGCACGTCCTGAACATTGTCGACCGTTCCGCATTGGACAGCGAGTTGCAGAGTCGGTCTGAAAATTATAAGAGATTTTTGTTAAATCAATGTTGCGCGTTTGTGTTTTTATAGAATATTTATTAGGTGCTTATGCCATCTTTTCGGTCTTGGGTCCTTAAAGTAAATTGCAAAAAATACGTTAGAAAAAAAAAAAAACGTAGGAATCGTAGAATAATGTATGGGTACTGGGAGAATATTTTATTATATATTCAAATGGGTACATTATTATGTTGAATAATATTGGTATCAGATGTGAAAACGAATGTAATTCGAAAAACTATAAGAATAGACGTGCGTCGCGCAGGTATATTACGTTGAATACGGTTCGTAAACGAAGAAAAAACGAAAATTTACGGTTTAGGAAAACAGCAAAGTCGAGTTTATTGAATTTTCGTCGGTCGGCTTTCGGTTCGTCCGTGATTACGTAATATGTGTAACTAGGTTACGTATTTAATCAGTATATGAATAATAATTGTTATTTCAAAAAAGACTACATTTTCTGGCCGCAAATAGGCTGAGTGTTTTTTAAGGAAGTTTTCTTTGTTTGAATGCGCATACAGTAAAGCCCATTGGACACACTGCAGTAAATGTAAGAATATGTTTACCGGTATTGATCCACTATAGAAAATAAATAGTAAATTATTGAATTGATAATTTTGTAACGAAATATTTTTTTTTACATAAGAAAAATAAGTTCAAATGTAACTGGGAGAAGTTTTCAAGTTAAAGGGGGAAGTTTGGCTTATCTGCTGATGGGGTTTTTTTTTTCAAGAGAGAGCTAGGAATGAACATGCATTGGATATTAACTAAGAATGTCCCGAATGTCCGTGTGTATGAATTTAACAATTGTATAAATTGTACAATTCTTTTTTCGCAGTGAAAAAGCAAACATACCTAATTAATATTTTTAAATAACAACGGTGCTGGAATAATGTTTTGAACAGAAATTATTTAGGTAAAAATTCTGAACTCGGTGGTAAAAATTATTGTACATTTAATGGTAAAAAAAAAAAAAAATATGAAAAATCTAGACTGGGGAACCAGGGTAACTCACCTCAACCTGTTATCGAATGACACGACTGTTTATTATTCACTGTTATTTTACAACTAGGGTGCGGATTATATCAGAAACTTCATTTTTTTCTGAACATTCTAAAGCAATGCTTTCCAAGCACAATATTAATTTAATATATATCAAAGAATTAAAATACGGAACTTTAATTTTTTATTTTTAGAACATTAGTTGACATTTGAAGTGCATTTTTAGGTTTTTAAGGTATTTCTTTTTCTTTTTACAAACTCCATAGTGTTATCGGAAAATTTAATAAAATCTATTTTGATTTCCCCCTAAAATAAAAAAAATCATATTTTTATTTTTAAAAAGTATTAAGTACAGATTTACTGATTGTACCAGATAAATACAACTTTTCTACCAGAAATTTTGCTACGATTTTTTAATGTAGCAACCCCTTTTTTGAAGGGAAGTCGAATTGGGGAAGTACTTTAGGGAGGTCATTTTTCATTTTTCGGATTTTTCTCAACAAATGGGAAAACCGGGAAAAAAGGCACGAAAAACGGGAAATCGGTACAATATTAAACAAATATTATTAAAGAAAATATTTAATAACTATTTAATTATTTTATCATAATATGACTTGTATATATTGTTAACATAGCAACACTATCAACTGAACGCTGCTCAGAATCGTTTTTTCGTTAGCAATGGTTTATCGTTGCTTACAGGTCGTTGATACAGGTATATTAAATCCCCTCTGTATCTTCTTTCCCAACTTTCTATCTACAACAGTGGCTGCACCCACGTGCGATATGTCAGTCTTTTTTTTAAGTTTTAAAAAAGATTAATTTGTGTTTGTGGTATTAGAAAATTGTACATCGTAAGTCAAATAAAGGATTTTTTTCATAGCTCTCTAACATTTTTACTTTTTAAAAAATATTTTTTTGGATTTTAATTGCTATAAGTCCCGGGCCATGTTTATTACCTTATGTTTTAAATTAATCTTTTTGATAGTTAAAAAAATAAATGTGTTCTTTTTATGATAAATTTATAATCTATTAAAAAATAAAAATAATTTGTATTGTATTGTTTAGTGTATACATAAGTAGGGTTTTTTTTTAATACATAGGTACCTATCTAATATGATTCAACCATATGTTTAGTTTAATTTTATTTGCCATTTTTTCCGCCCATCCCGGATTTGCAAGATGCAATTATGGCAATTATCTAATTTTACTTTAGTTAATCATTGAATTTCCAGATTTCTTATCATACCAAGCGTCCCATAAAGAATTAAATATTATATATGTTATTGTAGAAACCGGGTATCGTTTATTAATAAACATTTTATGGACCATGTTGTTTTGATACTTTATAAACATAACATTTACCATCTATAGTTTATGACATATTAAACATCTCTTAATGATTAAACGTATTAAAACGGTAATTTGTATTAAATTTATTTATTTATTTAATTCGTACAAACTCTTGTTTTTTCCCATTTATTGAGAAAAAGTTGATAATAGTGTTCTGTGAACATTTCTAATTTTTAAATCTCTGGCTACGATTATTTTCAACCAAATTACATTAAACGAACAAAAATCGAGAATAATGGAACAATCAATATGAAAAGTCAAAAAAACCTACCTAGGTGCTCTTGAAATTCGGAGCAACCTACCTAGTAGAAAAATAAAATAAAAAAATTATGGAAAATAACGCGACTTTTATTGTCATAAATTAGTTTTTTCTAATTATTATGAAAACCACTAGGAAAATCAAAATATAACTTTATGAACCAATTAGATCCAAAATTCCATAAATAAGTTCTGTAGGTAGTCGTTTTTTGATTGGAGCAAGATTTCTAGTAGGTAATAAAGTTGTTGACAGACACTGAAAAAAAAATAAAACAAAAAGTTAAACCAATATATTATACTCGTTGCTGTACTTAGAACCGAAGTATCTAATATACATTATGCTTAATCTAATTTATAATCTGTAATAATGTCCTCAACTCATCAAGATATTTTTACTTATTTCGTGTAGTTTGTACCGTTCGTGGTACATGTTTACTGATTAATGTTCATGTTATCATCAGCTGACCTTCCCCTCTCAAACAATAGATTATACATATCGGTTACGTCATTTTATTGATTATGATTAAAGTGATAAAATTATAAAATAAACTATAGTTTTGAATAATTTAATTACTGATCAAAATTCTAATGGATAATCATTTAGCTTAGTTTGTTTTTATTGTTTGATTTACTCGTTTTGTTTGATTATTATTCCTCGCTAAAATGGTCCAAGAATACCAATCTCCGGTACGCGTTTACAAGTATCCATTTGAAATTGTTATGGCTGTAAGTGTATTATGGTTCAGTAGTCTGTCACTTTATTATGCAAATGAAAAATGTTCACCATTTTCCTAATGTTATTTTATTGTATTTATATAGGCGTATGAAAGACGATTTCCTACATCCCCATTAATACCAGTGTTTGTCGGAAGTGAAATAACGGCTGATACTACAACGGCTGATGGTTCAATAAGAACTACTGAAAGAAAGTGTAAACTTGTAGTAGAAGCGCCATATTTATTAAAAAAGGTATACCTAGTAATATTTTACATAAATTAAATAGTAATATATTTATGAATGTGTACTGTATTTTTTATTTTTAGATTATTGGTGTAGATTATGTATATTTTATTCAAAAAAATATCCTAGATATGAGAGAACGTTGTTTGAATATAGAAGCAACAAATGAGACATTTTCTAATCGTGTAAATGTATTAGAAAAATGTCGTTATTATGTAAGTTGCTCATAATATTAGTTATAACAATAGGCCTTCAATTGAATTTTTATCATATTATTATTATGTAAACCTAAATAATTTAAAAATTTTAAGTAACACTAATCAAAGCAATTATTTTAACTTAATTGATTCAACATTGAAATAAACAGTAGGTTATATAAATATAAAAAAAAAAAAACTTGTTTTGTGAAATTGAAATAGGTACTAAAAACACTTGTTTCATAAGTATAAATTTAGTTTATGCCCCATGCTCATTTTTCAATTTTTTTTTTTTTCAAAATGTGTGTTTTTACTTGTAAATTAAGAATTTAAAAAAAAATCTTACAAACTTCGTTTGGAAGTTATGGGAAAAAACTTCATAAAGTTCAGGTTTTCTGTTTCACGTATTTCTTAGTAATAATTAAACATTTTTAATTTTTTTTTCTTTTCCAAAATGTGTGAATTTCAATGTTTAATTCATTATATAATCAAAACTTACTTATCATACTTACTTTTATAGTTATTGTACATAAACCTTGAAACATAGCATTTTTGAAATTAAAGCAAAATATGGTCGTTTTTATTATTTTCATGATTTGTAATTATTGATATTTTGATAAGTTTTTTTTTATTGAAGTCCGAATTAATTTCAGAAGTCTATCTGGCTTAGATTTAAAGTTACAACTGTTCAAACCCTAGTGACCCTGCCAAGTCTCTAAGTGCACCCAAAAGTCTTTTTCACTTTTCCCTAATACCTACATGGTTTTACACAACAAATCGAGAGTTATTTTTGAATAAAACAGTCCTAGCAAGCAAGTGACCTTGCCAGGTCTATATGTGCACCCAAAATGCTATTTTTCAAGATTTATGTACAATAAATTCAAAAATAAGTATGATAGGTAAGTTTTGATTATACCAATGGATTAAGCTTTAAAATTCACACATTTTGAGGGAAATAAAATTTTAAAAATGTTTAATTCTCACTAAGAAATACGTGAATTGGAAGAATCTGAACTTCATAAAGTTTTCCTGCAACTTCCAAATGAAGTTCGTCCAACTTTTTTTTTATATTCTTAATGTACAGGTAAAAACACTTATTTTGAAAACAAAAAATTTTAAAAATGAGTTTGAGTTGTAAACTAGATTTGTTCCATTTCATTTTTTGTTTTATTTAGTTTATACATTATGGGCACAAATAATACATGTATAAATAATATTATTTTGTTGATATATTTAAGTACCCATATATAAAATCTCAAATTTTAATTTCATATTTAAGCTTTCAAATAAATATTTGTAACTATTAAAATGGGAATTTAATTTGATATTATGTTTCATAATCATATTTCACATAAAACATTTTACTCAGGAAATTTTTATTTCTAAGCAGTGTGGAAAAGCCATTTATTAAGATGTTTTTTTCTCAATAAATTATTTTACCAGATGTAAAAAAATACAGACTTGGAAAGTTTCAGTAACATAATTATTATCTGAGTTTTACATTGTTAAATGTGGGCTTGACTTGGAATCATTTTTCAAATGTTTTAATATGTACATAATAGTAATAATTAATTAATTAATGTATATATTTAGTTTTATGAAATAGTAATTTACCTTAATGTTTTATTTACATATTTATCAGGTTCATCCTGAAAATTCAGAATGGACTTGTTATGAACAGAGTGCATTATTAGATATAAAATATTTTTTGGGTTTTGAATCAACCATGGAAAAACTTGGTATGAAACAATATATTCAGAACATTTCCAAGGGTAAAGAAATAATAGAATTTTATATTGAAGAATTAAAAAAAGATGGAATAACTAATATTCCACGTTGGAAGCCTTGTGGAAGTGATCAACCATGGTTAGTGTATTTAAAGAAATATTTATTAAATTGAATGGAAAAATAATTTAGGTGATAAAATAGTTTGTACATTATTTAGAGATAATTTATTACTGATTAATATTATTGAGTTATGTTGATATTATTAATATTTTAATATTTTAATTTTATAGTGACTCAAATAAAGTGGATGAAAATCTAAGTATTATCAGCAGAGATAGCCCAACTGCAGGTAAATTTTTTTTAATTAGTAATTGTACTTCCATGATTATTATTTAGGTTTTTTTATTTTTCCCTTTTATTAATTATTACTGAGTAAATTAATACATGGTGTTTACTTTTTTATCAGTATAAATGAGAATTAACAATAGATTTTTAGAACAATTTTGACAAGAACTTATTTTTATTTAGATTTAAAAGAAAATTGAATTTGTGGTTAATTTTAGTATCTTAATATATGAGTTTTCTACCCTAAAATCCCAGATATTTCTCATAAGATTTTAAAATCTTGACTGATAATTATTTATGTGAGTTAAAAATGAGTTTAAAAAAAATGATTTATTTACATTAGGAAACTGTTTTGATTACAATAATAATGCAATACAATTTAATATTATGACAATTTTTGGTGAATATTTTTATTGAGATTATGTGTATGGTGTTGTGTGTTCAAAAATATATGTATTTATTTTTAGTAATTTGTTTAGTTAATATTTATGTATATTTAATGTATTTACAGATTCACAGTCAAAAGTATGGTTAGAGGATGAGTACATTAAAAGATATATTGGTGAATTAACACCATTACAGGAATCAAAATTGGTTCAATTCAAAAAACAGTTATCTCAACTACAAAAATCTAAGGTATAATATTTTATATTTTTATCTAAGATTTTTTTATTATATAATGTTAATAGTTGTAGAATGTGATATTTAATATAATTATATTTAATAATTATAATTGTTTTAAAAAATATTGCGTACAAAATAATTCACTAATTAAGATAGTATTTTACATTCTCTATTGAACAGAATAACAAATTGTATTACAATATGCCTCATATTATACTTGACATTATTTATTCCTAATTTGTTAAGGTTATTTCAGGTTTCAAAAATAATAATTATGATTCAGTTGCTTTGAAGTATATTAAGTATAAATTAAAAAGTATTTTGTACCAAGAAAAAAGGCAGCACAATATTTTATTAGCCAGTATTCTGATTCTGTATTAAATACATATATTTTTGCATTTTTAACTGTTGGTTAATATGTTTTTTTAATAAAATCAGAGATTTTTGAAATTGAAATAGAACATATTTGCACACAATATATTTTTGCCAAAATCACCGAGTTTTATTAAAGAATAGTATTTTTTTTTTAAGTTTAATTAATTTAATGTTTACTGATTGTGCCATCTTTAGCTTTGGATATTTCCTTAAAAAAAGTGCTTTGTCTGGTATATGTACAAAAATCATGTTGTGTTACAATAATAACCACCGTAGAAAAATAAAAGCTTTTAAAGTACCTAACAAATTAACTCCAATATGAAACCAACCAGTGCCGCTGTTACACATGCGCTGCCCTGAGTAGAACCATGTTTTTGCGTCTTCCCTCTAATTAATCAAATACAGTTATTATTGTTGAGCCTCCCCCCTTACAGTAGGCACCCTGGTTGTCCACCCCTGATACCGGCCCTGAAACCAATATTATAAATAATTAAAAAAAAACATTAGATGATATTTATTATATTTATTATTGCAAATTAGATTTAAATTTTTGTGTTGCATGATAGTGTTTATAGTCAAAAGCTGTGCAGTTTTTGCATATGTTTTTGTGGTGACATTTATAAATTTACCTATTTCATTTTTTTTTTTTTTTTTTTATGATCATTTCAATGTAAAATATCATAAATATTTATTTTATTCTTAATTTTAGTTGCCCAGTGATACTACATTATTACGGTTTTTACGATCTACTGATTTTAACATCGAAAAGGCTAGAGAAAACTTATCTCTATCACTTACATGGCGAAAAAAACATAATATTGACAATATATTATCAGAACATGAATTCCCTGAAGCGCTTAAGAAATATTTCCCTTGTGGATGGCATCATCACGACAAAGGTAAGACAAAATTATTCAAGCTTTTTAGAGAAAATAAAAATTGCTTTAGTAGTTTTCTTAATTATTCTATAACCATACTGTTATTAATAATACTTAAGTTTAATTCTCGGTACTTAAAAGTTTAAGAGAATACACTTGTATATTTTTTATCAATAATATTATCATAAAATTAGCCGAGAGATAATAAAATAATGAGAATATTATTTCTCAATTGTGTTTCAAGTTTCAAAGTCGGCACCTATTAAATGGTTTAAAATTATGACACCTTTAGGCAAGGTCTTCTTTTTCTCCTTAGGCTTATAGTTTTGCATTTAGAACTATCTCTGCTCCTATGTTTAGCAATGCATTCATTTTATTTAACTTTTTTCTACTGTATCATACCATTTGTGCTAAGGCCTACTTCTTGGTATTTTCCCCATTAGATTGTTTACTGTATCTTTCTTAATAAGTGACTTTCCTACTCTCTAGTCATATCCTACTAACTGAGACAAGTCACACATTTGACTTGTACAGTTGTCGTAAGTTTTCATTGATTCTTCTCTAGAAACTTTCCGAGTCATTATTTTATAGCACCGCAAAGTCCACTTGGCTTGTATTATTAACCATTTAATAAATATTAATAAAATAATTTTTTGTACAACTTTGTATGTGTTTTACACTTTATTTTTAATCATTGATTAATCAAAATTAAAAACTATTTTTTAACATGTTCAATCTTGGTATTTGTTTTGTTTTTTAGAGGGGCGTCCTTTGTATATATTACGTCTAGGCCAGATGGATGTAAAAGGTCTACTTAAATCTGTTGGTGAAGATTGTCTTCTTAAACAAGTAAATAATAAATTATAATCTTATTTAAAATAACCAATACTTTATTTTGCAACTGAGTTAAATTATCACAATTCCACCCATAGAGCTGCTGAAGAAATTTATATTGACCTAACATTTTTCTTCCTATGTATTTTATATTTGACACTGGCCTGCACCACCTCAATATTCCTTTACTAAACAACTATAACTTTAGCTGGATGAGTTCTTCAAATTGTCCTCTCGTAAATGGCATTGCGAATAGTAAATTGGTTTGGTCCTGACGTGATACTTAACAATCTAATATTAGATTTATCCTCTTCTGTCGTTTGTTTGATACTGGTATTTTTTCCTGGCCTGATATATTAATTCAACTATCCTTATTTTAAAATCTGAAAATTTTTTTTTAGATTTATTTATTTATAAATGAATAATAAGCCAATCTTAAATCATTCCTATATCCCCAACATTTTTGAGTCACTTATTCTTGATTACATCCAACTAGCAGCTAACATATTTCTTATGAATAAGTAGCATTCCAGCCCAACTACTCAACTACTCAACCGTTATGTCCAATCAAATTTTTTATATCTGTGTATATGAAATAATATGTATATTATTTTGTATTTAGGCCATGCATGTGTGTGAAGAAGGTTTAAAATTGACAAAAGAAGCTACACATACATCTGGCAAGCCGATTACTACTTGGTGCTTATTGGTTGATTTAGAAGGATTGAATATGAGACATTTGTGGAGACCTGGTGTAAGTGCATTACTTAGGATTATCGAGATTGTTGAATCAAATTATCCAGAAACACTTGGACGAGTTCTAATAATCCGTGCACCTAGGGTATTTCCAGTCCTGTGGACATTAGTGAGCACATTCATCAGTAAGGAAATTGTATTTATTAACTTTTTTTTGTGTAATGCATATAAAAGTAAAAATATTCTTTTGTATATTTACATATTTCATACATTTTTTATTTTATGTACTAGATGAGACTACTCGTACAAAGTTCCTATTTTATGGAGGCAATGACTATCAATCACCTGGCGGTCTCCCTGAATTTATTGCTGTAAATGATATGCCTGATTTTCTTGGAGGTTCCTGTATAGTATGTTCTTTATACATTTAAAAATTATTAAATTGTATCAATGTATATTTTATATTTTTTTATTGAAGGTTAAAATTCCTGAAGGTGGTTTTGTTCCAAAAAACTTGTATTTAAAGGATGGAGAATTAGAAAAAGAAGCATGTACACTAACAGAAAAAAGTATATATCAATCCGTTACACTTACTAAAGGACAGGTATATATTGATAACTTTGTGTCCTATATATTCACTTTATAATATATATATATCATTTTGTTTTATTTAAGGCACATGAAGTATTTGTTGAGGTAGAAGATGCTGGATCAGTAATTACATGGGACTTTGATGTAATGAGACAAGACATCAATTTTAATGTTTTAAAGTTATTAGTTGAAGTTCAGCCCTCTACTCTTCTAAGTTGTGCAAGAGGTAAAAATAAACAATGCCAAGTTTTCAAATAATACAAAGAAAAAAATATGATTGGTTATTATGATTTAAAATGTTTTAGTACAATAAAAATTATATTGTGCGATATTGGTTGCAATGACCTTAACTTGATTTTTCTAGTAAAACTTCCATATTAATTTTACTATTGCTTATTAGACTAAGATAAAAATGATTATACAACAAGATATAAATTATTTCAATTGCAAATTTTATTTTATGTGTGTAATTTTACCTCTACATTTGACTTGTTTAATTTTTTCGTTGTATATTATATAGTATACTAAAGGAAAAAAATAGATTTAAAGATTTTAATAGCTTCCACTAAACTCCATTTATCTCTGTCTTATTGTCTTTTGTTCTTCAGCCTTATCGATTCAATCACTGATGTCTAACTATGATAATTGAGATCTTTCATTTGGAAAATATATTTAATATTTAAAAATAATATAATTATTATTATTTTTTTAAATTTAAATAATTTATATTTTGTATATTCTACTATTTTAGTTGATTTTTAATATTTAGTATTTATAAATATTTGTTTGCTGTTTTAGGTAATTTGAATGTTATAGAAAAAGGATGGAAAGAAGGTGAACATTATGAAAAAGTTGAACAAACTATATTATGTCACGACGGAGAGAGTGTTCAGGGTTCTCATCTCACTACTAAAAGAGGAACTTACATATTACAATGGTACTGGGCATCAGATAGTTTAAATATTAGTTCAGGACATCATACTAAAGCCAAAATTATGTATTATTACGAAATGTTGAAAACTGCTGATTATCGGTAATTATTAAAATTTTGTATTTTTATTTATTTTTACCATACATTGCTAGATATTTGTTAATAATTTGGGAATATATCATATTATTTACAGGGGCTCAATGTCTAGTTTGATGTCGGCCAATAGTAAATTTTCTTCTCTTAGTAACAGATAAACTGATTACTGATTTTTTATTACACCCAATTTTATACATTATGAACCATACTTTATATTATGGACCATACTTTTGAAAAATAATTATTCTATAGTACATTTGAGACAAGTATGTAGTAGAATTAGTTATACATGTTAGTAAATCCTCGTTTTTATCTTAAGCATTTTAAATTTAATATTTTCGTATTTATTAGTGTTATTATTTTTGAATTTTATTTGTTTTTATTATTACAAAAATAATTTTAATGAATGAATTTATGAATTCAATTTTTAATTATAAAATTTTAATTTAATGAAGTTAAAATCTAATAATTAAACATTTAAAAATGTATAATTATTTTAAAATGTACAAAACATAGGATATTATTTATTTGCACGTAGAATAAAATAGATATTAATATAATTTAAATATAAATCAAATATTCACATTTTATCATTAAGTCAATACATTTTAGAAGATATTAAATTTATTAACTGAAATATTTAATTTTGTTTTTGTGGTCCTTTTGTTTAATTTATTGTATATTATTATCTCTTAGGTTAGCATTTCTTTTTAAATTATTTGTCTGTTTAATTATAGCATCACATTATTGATATCATCATATAGTTTATATTAGGTTTATATTTTGGTATTTTTAGTATATTTTCAATTATAATGATCTGATAATGTTTGGACCTTATATGAATCATTGTAATGTTTCTTAATCATTCATAATATTCTCAGTTTTTTTTTTCTTTTTCTTTATTTTAATTATTATTTGTTATTTTGTTTTATCTGTGATCAAATCATGTTTTATCTACTCATATTAATTAAAACATACATTTTGTAGGTTATGAATTAAAATATAATTATTGTACACTATTATTTAATGAAATAAAATTTAGATAAATTAATGTTTTCTCTTAAATGATGTAATTGGTGTCAATTGAATATATTAGTGCATTGATGGTACAAAATGACTATCTTTAATAATTTCTCATTATTGGATTACTTGTCAAAAATATTTTTGTTATTTTAGTATAAATATTTTATGGCATGTATGCTGAAATTAATTAATTCCATAAATTAAATATTGACAATATATGACAAACATCATGAAATAAATATTTTAAAGAATATAATAAAAACAAAAAATAATTTAAAACTTCCATTTATGATTGAAAACATTTATCTATTTATATTATGTATTCAATATTTATAGTTCATACTTCATTATTAAACAGTCATGGCTTCATATTAAATTTTCTTCATTACTTACAGTATATCTATGGTCCATTGCAAAAATAACTATGATGAATGTCATATTTTCTATATTTATTTTATTTAGGTTTACTTGAAAATTGAATTCATTAGTTCTAAAATTATATTAATGTATTTATTTATTAAACAATTCAAATGTTGAATAAAATGTAACTGGTTTACAAATTGTTTTTAGCCTAAACCAATAATTAGGCATAGTTTTATTTTTAATTTCAATAACTTTATAAAATATCAGTGCTCAAGTAAAGTTTTATTAACTATTTGAATTATTTAATAAAAATAGTTGATTTAGTCTAAAATGTATAAATTGTAATTGATTATTTCTATTATATGCATAATCCCTAAAACCATAATCCTAAAATATGTTGTGATACCTGTTATGTGGTTTCTTTATTTTATAATAGTTTAATGTAAATGTTATGTTTTAAGATAGTTGTTAAGGTTAATTATTAAACAATATATCTACTTATAATTCAAGATAAAATTGAAATACTTATTTATATTAATGTTTATGCAATATTCTACTCACCTTAAAAAAAAAAAAATAATATTAATTTTTTTGTGATCTCTTATATATTTCATAGTTTATGATTTTGTTCGTGCCTGATAGAATTATGATACAAAAAGTATTAACTATTAGAAAAAAAATATTAATAATTATTATTTATGATTATATATATATATATATCTTTTATTATTACTATTATACCGTTTTTGTTTAAATATTATGGACCATTTAAGAATAATAATTACATAAATTAATTATTATATAACATTATGATTTTTGAGAAGTACTGATGAAAAATAAACTATTAATACATGATTATAAATTTTGTTTGTGTATAAGTATATACAATATATATAATATATTTGAATACTTTGATGAATACCTATTTTCCTACTTTTTTATTTTTACTAAGCTTATAAAGGCAGTTTTTTTAAATTTTCATCTCAAAAATAGAAATATGTATAATATTTTGTTTCTATACCCTTAGAGTCCAGATACCATAGTATCATTTAAATATCAATATATTAAAAAGGACAGACATACTTTGCACATATGTGCAGCCACTGTTGGGAAGATGGAATACAGATGGGAATTTAATGTATATCTGTAAGCAACGATAAACCATTGTTGACGAAAATCAATTCTGAGCAGAATTTAGTTGATAGTGTTGCTTTATCAACAATATATATATTTCATATTATGGTAAAATGATTACAACAATGTGCGTTTCCATAACAACAATAATTGTTTAAAAAAAATTAAATTAATAAAAACTTAATAATAACAAAAAATAAATAAAAAGGGTTGGCAATTTTTCAATTTTTTTTAGTCTAAAGAGTCAGGCTTTCCTTATTGTTTCGAATATTAATGAAAACTTCGAAAAATTACTTCTTTAAAATAACATCGAAAGAACATTTTTTTTCAGAAAAGGTGCTATACTTGATAAATAGTAAGCTTTCTAGTAGAAAATGTTAACATAAAAAAAAAAAAAATAAACATCTTTGTAAAACCAAGAAATTCTTTGTTAAACTCAGAATCTACAAATAAAATGGTTTCAATTATAAAATCATTGTAAATGTATTAATTCAAAACTAGTCAAATCAAACTTTTTTCATTGATTCTTAATCATTTAAACATACCATAATAAATGGTATTTGATTTTGGAGTAAATTCTTTTTTTCGTATGTATTAAAAGATAATGTTTTTTGTAAAATATGTTAAATTTTATTTTGATTTTAATTATTAAGACATTTTTGGTTTGTCCATCAATAGGCAATATTTTATTACTAATTTATTTTTTGTTATTTTCTATTAAGTATGCTAATAATTTTTTATAATTTTTATAATTTTACTATTAGAAATGTACAAATTGTTATTGACCAGTGCAATTGCCACATAATGGTTGAACGTTTACATAATCCCCATGTTTAGTAACACTGGGTTTGGCAATGAAACATAAGAATAACACGGTGGTTTAAATCCTAGACTGGATTATATTTTTTGCATTTATTTCCTCCAATGATTAACCAAAATTTAAAATAAGTAAAACAAAAATAGATAATTTGCTTTTAAATGAAACATGTACCATTTATATCCTTATATATTCGTAATATATGCGCATAGTTATAACATTAAATATACAAATTGTTTATACGCTATTAGACTTGATGATCTTGGGGTTAATGGCTATTCATGTATATTAAACATATAATATTCATTTATTTATCTACTGTATATCACCTTTACAACTTCCAACTACAACAGTCGTTGCACACCTGTCTTCAGTATTAGCTTTTTTTTATATAATATCTGTATAGATATGTTTAAAAAAGAATACAAATAAATAAATAAATAAATAAATTTCATATTTAATATATACAACACACAACTTAATAATAGTATAATGGATGTAGTAATTATAAATAATCGAAACATTGAATATCATTAATATAATATTAATGTCAATGTTCATGTATTCACATTTGTTATAAACATACTTGTATAATTTTTCATTATTTTATTTAGATAAAAATAAAAATAAAGTTGTAAAAAGCAATAGTCCCAGAGGGGACGACACATCATCCCCCCCATTAAATTGTCTCTGTACACATTAGATCTCAACACTATTTAATAGTTAAAATATTTCATTATAAAATTATAAAATATTTTCATAAATTTACCAAAGAAAAACAAATTTTAACTCATAAAATATAGAAAGGTGTGATCATATTTATCAAGTTAGTTTTCAATTTTAATTAATAATTAAAATAATATGTGCCCTAATTATCATTAATCCCTTTTATTAGAAATCAAAGTACCAACAAATTATTATTATATTTATTTTATATTATAAAAATGATTATTGAATAAGTACTGTTTTATTTATTAAATTTGAACTTAGAATAATATGGCTATCAAGAAGTATATTTTAAAAATGTATATTTATAATGTATTGTATTATTTATACTTAAATATTGGGTAGTGTATTTAATTTTCTTTTTATAAATTTAATTAATTATTTATTTTTATAACTAAAATTTTAAATAATGTTTTAATTATTATTAACCATTAACATTATTAAATAAAAATTCCCACCAAGTATTATTTAAAAATGAATATTTATTAATTTGTTTTGTTTCATTGAAGTATAAACAGAATTAAAATCCAGACTTAGGGAGGAAGGTCAAGGAATCTGGACCTCTTCCAAAATATTTTAAATTAAATTAAATTTTTTTTTAAAAACTGCTTAAAAATAATTATAATTTTATGTACTTGGAAAAAATGAATAAAGTTGCTCTCTATAAAAAATATAAATAAATCTTGGCTATGGTGTAAATGCAATTATTTGAATTTTAGTTGAAATAGAAACAATTATAAAGAATTTAATATTGATAGGTCTAATTTATTTCACAAATTAAAATGTTTTTATTTTCATAATTTTTAATAGGTACCGACATTCTAATATTTGTATTTAGGTTTTGTTTTTACTATTACAATATTTTTTATTTTCTCCTAGAATTTACTGTAGGTTATCCTGTTCAAAATGTAGTCTAAATGTATAATAAATAACTGTTTGTACAGCTACCTACCAATAACAAATATCCTAATTATTATGTCTCTATAATAATACTATAGGTACTAATTTCTATTATTGTTTAAACAAGTCGTAAACATAATATTATTATAACTTATACTACAAATACATATGTAAGTAATTATATATTTATTAGTGTAATTTATACTTGGTATTTTATGTATCTATATATATTATTATATATTAATAAGTATAACTATTGAAAGTCTGAATAACTATAAAATATATTAAAGAATTGATTAAATGTCAATTTTACTCAATAATACATGCTGTTATTTTTATATCAATTTATTTATTTACACACTAACACCATTGAAAACATAAAACAGCTATAATTTGTATAGTTTGAAAAACTAAATATGTCTTGTCTGTCTATTTAGTAATATTTAACCAGGTGGCATCACTTTTTTTTGTGTGAGGGGGGGGATTGACGAAGGGATCAATCGCCTTCTTTTCCTGTGTAAAGTATAATGTTTCATATTTTACAAAATATCTAATAGCTATAATTTTTTTAGTTCTTATTTTACAACAAATTTAGTTTTCAAATAAATTTTTGATATCTTAAGCTGCAAAGTTTTGAGATTTTATACTTAAATTTTAGAGTGCTATATAGTTTATAAAAAAAAAAAATATTACTTTTAGTTTTAAATATGGGAATTTTATGAGGCATGTAAAAATTAAAAACCCAATATGAAGTTTTTATTTTACTAATAGGTAGGTAGCAAATAGTAAACAATAGAGAGAAGTGAAAACAAAACAAATTACTATACAGCTGTATCAGGTAGATCACTTGAATAATGTGTTCATTGTTTTTAAAAAAAAAAACCTAAAAAACACTTATTTTATCATTATAAAATGCGTACACTTTTTTGCTTTATTTTAAACCAAAAATATCTTTTTTATAAAAACGTCATATTCCTACTCTTTTAAATAGAAATATTATTTAACTTTAATCTAAACCCTTTATTAAACTATTATATAAGTAGGTAATATTTGTAAGTACCTATCTATTTAATTGAAATATATTTCTTTTTTTCGGATTTCTACTCTGTATTTAATGTTAATTTTTTTTCTCTTTATAATTAACATGCTAAATCTATTTGACTAAATCCATAACTTCATACTAGTTGAACACTCTTAAAAATATAGAATAAGTATATTATAAAACTACGTTACATAGGTATTAATTACTATAATAGAGTAAAATTAGATTAAAAATTGACCAAACCCAGAATAAAAAAAAAATAAGTTCTACCCTGCGGTAAATTGCTACCCTTCTTGTAGTAAGTGGTAAAAAAGTTACTATACTTGGGCATCAGATTTGGGAGGGAGGGGTGGAAAAGAAGTAAATCATATATCTCAACAGTTATTCACAATTATCTTAAGAACTATGAAGTTTTAGGACAAACGTCTTTATTTACAAAATTAGTCTATGTAAGATTGTACACAACAATGGTTCTTTGCATTTTTTTGTGCCTTGGATAATATTTATGAAGAATATATAAATATGGAAGATGTACAAATTGCATTACATTCTAGTTTGTCAAAAGAGCAACAATTATGCACTAATTATATTATTTTCTATTACAGACGGGGCATATTTTAATATACAAAGCAC